AGCGCCCCTCCTCCAAACCCACGCCCGCTGTGCTGCACTGCAAGTAGTTTCATCCTCAAGCCATCTACGCCTCTGCTCAGAACCTCTCAGCACAGGGTGACTGGGCACCAGGTGGAGAGGCCTGGGCCGCCTCCCCGACCCCCATGTCTCCTCGGTCACCTGCTCCAGCCACGCCTGCCTCCCCGTTCCTGTAACGTGCCCAGTCGCCAAGCCCCAGGGCCTTTGCACTTGCTGCCCCCTCCTCCCCTGGTCACATCCAAGTGGATGTCACTGAGGCCAACTCGTGAGGCCCACACCCCTCTGCTTCCTCCACCATGAGTCTGAAATGCTCGTCTGTTATGTGTTCACTCAGTTCCTGGGGCTCCCGTGACCTTGCTTGTGCTGGTCACCGCCCTGTCCCCTGAGCTGGGCACACAGCAGAGCTCAAATCTGGGTGCTACAGTTTCAAAGGACCAGCAGAAGTCACCGCACCGTGAGACGAGGCTTTCTACCCAGCAAGAAGTGGCCACCAGGGACTGAGCTGCCGGTGTCCCCACAGGAGGAGGCTGCAGTGGCCCTGGCAAAGCTACCTGTGGCCCTGGGCGGTGGCGTTCATGTGGTCCCGGATGCTAATGGCCTGTCTCAGCAGGCCTTCCACGCTGCGGAAGTAGACGCTGCTGTCCACGAGGTTCTTCACGGCGCTGGAAAGGAAGGACAGGCTGATTACACGCCCGCCAGGGTCGTGGACCCCACGCTCTGGCTCCAGAGGAGTCCAGCCTGGCCGAGCGCGCCATCCTAGGTACCCGGGGGACCCGGCATGTGGCAATGGCACAGCTCTCGCCGCTGCGGGAAGAGCCTCAGAAGGTGTCTCGCTGGGCAAAGTCACTGCTGCTCAGGCGTCCGAAACACCCATGGGCGCTCACGGCACACGGCTGTGCAAATCTCTTTGATGCTCCAAACGGTGACGGAACAAACTTTCCCTGTGGATACTCTTAGCACCCACGTGGAAAGTCGGTAAGTTTCTCGTCTTTACAGAACCATTTGGATGTTTTTTCATTTTAACGTAAATAGTAAAACACTGAAAAAAACCGAAAAAAATTGCTCGCTCAGGCTGCAGGCGGCTTGGTAGTGAGCACTCGGGTTCCATTCCAGCACCACGCAAGAAAAACGTGACCCTCTTCTCAGATGACATCCCCTGCCTCTGCAGAGAGCCTGCCAGCTCGGCTGTCAGACCCATCTAGGACAAGTCACCCTAACCAGGGCAGCACGACCGTGCTAACTCCTGTCACTGTGCCACAAGGTAAGCATCTCAGGCCACTGGGGTGTCAGCTGCAGGAAAAGTACAAGTTCTGGCTATTTATTTTTTGTACTGGGGTTTGAACCCAGGGCCTCACTCACGGTAGACAAATGTTCTACCACTTCAGCCATACCTGCTGCCCTCATGTTTTGTTTTTGAGACAGGGTCTCACAAACTTTGCCCCAGCTGGCCTTGAAATCTCCATCCTCCTGTCTCTGCCTACTGAGCAACTGGGATGCAGGTGTGAGCCACCACACCCGGCTCCACCTACCACTCTTACCTGGGGTTCTCACCTAGAGGGTCCCGTCTGAGGCTCTCACCTGCAGGCGTACTCCACGGTGTAGATGGCTCCCTGGCTCTGCTCCTCCCATCGCTGCATGTCGGCCTGAGGAGGTTGGGAGCTGTCAACAGGGAGGTCACTCCCAGAGGCCCCACCTCACCTCTCTGTTTCTCTGTGCTGGGTGGAGTCCAGGGCCTCAGTCATGCTAGGCAAGTGCTCACCATGGAGCCGCACTCCAGTCCCTCCAGCTTCCTTGGTTGGGAGTTCAGAGCCCTCGCTGTGACTGTAGACTTCTACCCCCGGCCTTCCTTCCTTCATGGGCGTGTCTGTGAACCCTGACCACCGGGCCCCTGGGCCTTTGCACAGCCTGCTCCCTCTGCCCGCACACCCTTCCCTGCGGGCTCCACTCATCATGCAGCTGTCACTAATGCAGACCACGCTGCTCCAGATCTACCCACCACGTGCCTCCTGGCTGGTGTCCCTGCCTCCGTCCTGCCCCGACAGCCCCGGCTTACCTTGTGCTGGGCCAGCTCGGGCAGTGAGCGGCGTACGTGCTCCTGCAGCCGGTACAGGGCCACTGACGGCTCGTTGGCCAGGACGTAGACGCTCTCGGTAAACTTGTCTGTGACTGGGTCCAGCATCAACAGTTGGGAAACAGATGGGGGACAAGGAGACAAGCGTTAGACACCTGACTGCTCAACCCATGTACTGAGCCCAGGAATATTCAGTAGTGTCCCCGCACAGAAGCTGTCAGAATCAGCGTAGGCTGGGTCTTTTCTGTCACAGAATTTAATCAGTAAAAACCACTTCACTAACTCGCTTCCCGTTCGCTCACTTCATGGACTCTGCTTAATCTGATAAAAGTTTCCATTAAATAGAACAAAGGAGGCCAAGATCAGGAGGATTGTGGCTCGAAGCCAGCCTGGGCAAATAGTTTGTGAGACCCTATCTTGAAAACCTAACACAAAAAGGGCTGATGGAGTGGTGCAAGGTGTAGCCCCTGAGTTCAAGTTTCACTACCACACACACAAACAAAAAACAATAAAGGGTCGTTATCCTCAGCTGGGCCCGGGCAAAATTCCGCCAGATGCCCTGGTTCCGGAGCTGATCGCCAAAAACAGTTATTGCTGCTCTGAAACTTCTTTGTTCCCAAAGCCCCCTCCTAACCTGGCCCCTTTCTAATCAGCCAACTGAGTAGACTGATCCCAAACCTGCCCAATCCAGGGGCAGCAGAGGGACAGCGTGGCCTCACGTGAAACCCCTGCGTCCTCCCGCCCGGTGTGCGGACCTCCCAGGCTTCCTGGAGTGCACCCTTGCCTGTTGACTGCTGAGTAGTGTCGCCTCTCTCGTGACACCCCAAGATCGCAAAGCTATTCTAACACAGCTGTTGCCTGCAGCCCCAGGAATGGACTGGAGATAGTCAGGGCAGGGCCTCATTTGAGGGGACATTAGCAGAGAATGTAAACACACTTGAAGTGGACGCTTCTGCTCAGACCCCCTTGACTTCCTATTACCCTAGTGACCACACCTGGGAAGGGCAATGACTGTCTCAGAACTGCCTGCAAGTTTACATTCCTGGTGGCCTCCACCACGGCTGGCCAGCGTGAGATATGAAAGCCCTGTGTCCCTCACCAATCTGGGCACATCTTGGAGGGCACCTCATCCCCTGGGCTCCCCTGCTTGGTAGGCCGAGCCCTCCTCTCCAGTGGCCACTGAGCACTTGAAATGAGGCTGTTGGGACTGAGAAATTCCATTTTATTTTGTCGTTCTTGGTTACTGGGGTTTGAACTCAGGGTTTCACACTTGCTAGGCGCTCACCCTACCAAGTGAGCCACTCTGCCAGCCCTTCCTACTTTTGTTATTTTTGAGACAGGATCTTGAGTTTTTTCGCCTGGGCAGGCCTAGACCACCCATACCTCCTTCAGAGGTGAGATGGCAGGGTATCCATTACTTTTTGGTGGGGTTAGCCTAGATCCTCGATCCTGCTCATCTCCACTTCCCGAGTAGCTGGAATTACAGACATGGGCCACCGTACCTGGCCCAGTTTTTAGTTTTACCTAATTTTGCTTTTTTTTTTTTTTTTTTAAAGCTGGTGGCTCATGCCTGTAATCCCAGCGACTCAGGAGGATCTCGGTTTGAAGCCACCTTGAGTAAACAGTTCACATTACCGATCTCGAAAAACCTATCACAAAAAATGGGGCTGGTGGAGTGGCTCAAGGTGAATGCCCTGACTTCAAACCTCAGTACTGCAGAAAAAAGAAAAATTGTTGTACTGGAGGTACACTGTGACATTCACGATATATCATAGTTGAATTCAACGCCTCCATCATTCTTAATTTTACCTAATTTTCATTTTTTTTTTTTTGTGTGTGTGTGTGGAACTGGGGTTTGCAAGTGCAAAGCAGGCGCTCTACCACTTGAGCCACCCCTGGGGTCTGTTTTGCTCTGGTTATTTTGAAGATGGGGGCTCCAGAACTATCTGGCCTCGAGTCACAATCCTCCCGATCTCAGCCTCGCCGGTAGCTGGGATTACAGGCGTACGCCACCGCGCCCGGCTGAGACACCCTTGCAATACTGCCTCCTCTTCATCCCGTCTCAGCTCAGCTGTCCTCTCCCTGGCAGTTAATCCGATGCCCCCGGCACCTCCCTGAAGAGGTCCACAAAGGAGAACACACCTCAAGAAATAAGGAAGCAACACCACAGCGATCACCCCGCCCCGCGATCAATCACAGCACCCTCCCCGCCCGACATGACAGAACCGCTTCAGAACTACTCGGCGACGGAGCGGGGATCTGGCGGCAGCCCAGTCACTGTTCCCCCTGCACGCTCCCTCCGCGAGTCCCCGTCCTCTCCATCCCGGCCCGGGCCCCGCAGCACCTTTCTTCCCCTTGAGCTGCATCTCTGGTTCCTCCATAGCGGCCTGCGGAAGCTGAGGACGGGCACCGGAAGATCAGCGGCTGACACCGGAAGTCCAGAGACAGGGAACGCGGCCTAAGTCGCCCGTGAGGAAACCGGACGCCGCATGACTCCAGTTCCGGTGTAAGTTGGCCTGCTCTCCTGGGACGGTACCGGGGCTGTAAGTGAGGGATGGAGGGAAAGGAGGTACGGCCGCTCGCGGGTGACGGGCGGGCAGGGACCCCTTGAGGCCCAAGCTGGGCACTTATGCATGGGAGGGACAATGATTTGCTTCCTGAACTCCCTTTTCCAGGGAGAAACGAGTTGAAAGAAAACTCCACGCACTGCTCACATCGGGCCGTGCAAAAATCCTCCTTTTTGCTGTCTCGCTGTCACCAAGTCCCCGCACATGTTCATAAGCCTCTAAGACCGTAGAAGGGACATTGTTACTGGCAAGGGGGCGCAACGCTACGTCTCCCCTTTAAATGCCAGGTGTTCCGCCTACTCCCCTCCGCGCTTCTCCTGGAGAAAGCTCCGCCTACTCAAACGTGACTGGAGCCCATTGGTTCCCTTTGTAACTCTCTGCGGGGCGGAGCCTGGGTGAGAACGCGCAGGCGCAGTGCAATCCTGAGCAAATTCTCTGTTGCCCCGCCCACCGCCTCCAAACCCTGGGGAGAGCGCGCGCAAGCGCATACGCACCGGTTGGGCCCCAGCGGAAGCCACGCCCCTCCCCCAAATTCTTAAAGGGACAGAAGCGGCTTCTGGCTGCTCGGGCCCTTTCGTACTTTTGGGGGGCGGGGGTGCGCAGGCGCAGTGGGGGGAGCTCAGGGGTGGGGGTAGTGGACGCGTATCAAGTTGCTCTGTGTCCGGCAGAGGAAGCCTGAGCGCTAAGGGTTCCGTCTGCAGCTTGCTCCCTACTATATCCATCCGAGGAGAAAAGTTTGTGAATCGGGCCCCTAAGTTTTGGGGGACCCGGTCTTGCGGCGTGGAGGGACAGAGGACGCTCGTGGCAGGTGAGTGGACCTCTGGATCGGTTTTGTGAGGTGCGGGTGGGAAGAGAACCAGTTGTATCTTTTGTTGAGTCCTGACTGATTAATTTAGGAGGAATCCCTACCAAGTAACGCCATCAGGCCCCCTGCGGTTGCTGTTTATGGACTTGATTTTTTTTTTAGGATTCGGGTTCCTCATTTTATGGAGGAGGAAACAGGCTCAGCGAGGTGAAAGCAAAAAAAAGCTCAGAGATCTCACATTCTGTAAGTGGGGGGATTCGAACCCAGACCCCGGGGATCAAAGCATTGCGTGTGGCAAGAGCGTGGACACTGGCCCCTCTGCCAAGCCTCACTGTGCGAGGCTGGGTATGCAGACGGTGCGCACTTACTGAGAGCTGTTGAAAATGGTTGTCCCCAGCTTCCCCCATGGAGCCCACCCAGCCTTCAGAGGACCTCATCCTGACCCAGCCGTCTCCCACCCCGGAACTTGGGGACCCCGAGGACCCCGGGGATGAAGGCGCGGACGGCTCGGACACTGTGGTCCTCCGTCTGTACCCCTGCATCCCAGAGCCAGGGATTCCTGAAACCGACGGCAGCACCTCCTCGCTGCAGGGTAAGCTGTCACCCCAGGGAAACCTTTTCTTCCTTGTCGCCCTGGACTTGGGACATGTCTCCCCTTTGCACCCTCCAGGGCCTGTTTGCTTTGTGACAGTTTTGTGCCTTTTTCTTTTTATTGTGGGTAAATACACACAGCCTAAACCTTTTGAACCAGAATTGCAGCGTATTCCAGGGGCATTAGCACATTTCACAGTGCTGTGCAGTCACCATCTCTGTCTGGTTCCTAGAACATCTGTGTCACCCCAAAAGGAGACCCCCGTGCCCATCAGCGGTCGCTCCCTGCCCCCCTACTCCAGCCTCTGCTTTGTCTCGTGTCTCTGTGGATTTGCCTTTTCTGGACGTTTCTCATAAGTGGCTGTCACGCCACACTGTGTGGCCTTTTGCATCTGTCTTCTGTCACCTGGCATCCCGTGCTCAGGACTTGTGGGTCATTGCTCTTCCTGTTTATGGCTGAGTAATAGTCCACCGTGTGGATGGACTGCATTTCGTTAATTCACTCATCTATCACTGGACACTTGGGAGGTCCCTCTCTTGGTGGCTGGAAACAGTGCCACCATGAACGCTTGTGGACGGGTTTTTGTTTGAACACCTGTTTGCAGCTCTCTGGCCTAGACCCAGCAGTGGAGTTGAGCCAAATGGTCGTCCTGCCTAATCTTTGGACTGGAGTGTGGAATGTGTCTAATTCCATGCATCTCACCCCAGGACCTTTGCACCTGCTCTGTGTCACCGCAGAGGACTACCTTGTCTCTCCTGCTCTGTCTCCTTCTCTACTTCCTCTATATTTCTTCAGGACCCTTTACTTTATCTCCACTGAGTCTTGACACTGTGTCTCTGTCCCCACCTGCCTGAGGACTGCACAGCAATGGTGCCCTCGGGGGTGGAGCAAGGGACTGGTGGCATCTCAGCTGCTATGTCGGGAAGCCCCAGAGACAGACAGACATACTCAGGGGAAACTGAGGGCTTCTCCTTCCTTCCGGTAGGCAGCTGTCTGAAGCACTCCACCACCCTCACCAACCGGCAGCGTGGCAACGAGGTGTCGGCCCTGCCGGCCACCCTGGACTGTGAGTGGGGCCTGAGTGGGTGGGGGGAGCCGCTGTGAACGGGGTAAACTGAGGCACGAGGCGGCGATGGGGCGGGTGAGGACACTGTCTTTCCGGCCCCCAGCCCTGTCCATCCACCAGCTCGCGGCGCAGGGGGAGCTGAGCCAGCTGAAGGAACATCTGCGGAAAGGTGCGTGTCGCCCGCGTGGCGTGCACTCATCCAGCCGGCGTACCGTGGGAGGGGACACAGTGGACCTGCAGCTGCCGTGTGTGTGGCATGTGCCCGCCAGGTCCGACCCCAGGCCCTGCCCTGTCCTCACTTGGGTGGCACAGGCAGGGGTACAATCGCGGGTGGCACCCCTCTCGCTTGCCAGGTGACAACTTGGTCAACAAGCCTGACGAGCGTGGCTTCACCCCCCTCATCTGGGCCTCGGCCTTTGGAGAGATTGAGACTGTCCGCTTCCTGCTCGAGTGGGTGCGTCCGGGGAGGCCCCCCGACACCCGGGGTGGGCCGGGGTCTCAGCTTCTGTTCGTGCCTGTCTGTGATCGGGGGCTGCCCTGTTGGGAGACACCAGGATTGCACGGTGCCCCGGGCCTTGTGTCACTGCCCAGTCTGTGTCCCCAGGGTGCCGATCCCCACATCCTTGCTAAGGAGCGGGAGAGTGCCCTGTCACTGGCCAGCATGGGCGGCTACACGGACATCGTGGGGCTGTTGCTGGAGCGCGATGTGGACATCAATATCTATGACTGGGTGAGGCGCCACCCACCCCCAGTCTCTGTTCCTGTCCCTGAGCAGCCATGGGGCACCTGCGTGGTGCCAGGCCTGTTCAGGGAACACGAGACAGACCTGTCCTCCCATCTGCCAGAGCTCCCAGTGTGGGGGAGACAGACCCAGAAACAGGCAGCTGAGCGACTGTGAATAGCTCTGTGATGGCAGGTGCACAGGCAGTTGCAGTGAGCCCAGAGGTGGTCAAGGGAAGTCAGGGAGGGCATGCTGGAGGAAGGGGCATCTCAACTGGGACAAAGGAAGAGAAAGATGAGCCAGGTGGGAAGCAAGAAGAAAAACCACATTGAATAGGAAGCCAGAGTGTGGGGCACTGTGAGAGCGGGGAAAGATAGAGCTGTGGACCGCCCATCCCCACTACAGAACGGAGGGACTCCACTGCTGTATGCTGTGCGCGGGAACCACGTGAAGTGCGTTGAGGCCTTGCTGGGTGAGCTGCAGTGGAGACGTGGATTGGGGAAGTGGAGGCTGGGTTTGGGGACGGAGGTGGGGGGAAGGAGAGGGCCTGGGGTTTGGCTGATCACATCGAGCCCCTACAAGAGACTGAGGCTGGGGGACCTTTATCCGAGGGGTCGCTCCCGGCCCCCAGTCCCAGCCCACCCTGCTCTGCTTTGCAGCCCGTGGCGCTGATCTCACCACCGAGGCCGACTCTGGCTACACCCCGATGGACCTCGCCGTGGCCCTGGGATATCGGAAAGGTGGGTCTGAGACATGGGGGCCAAGATGGCGCCCACCAAGGGACACTCAGGTGTCAGATGCTGGCCCTGGGGGCGTTCATGTTAGCAGACACTGGGCCATGGTGCATCTTGCCAGGACATGTCCCCATCCAGGCTCTTGGGGCTCCAGCCTGCTAACATGGATGGGGCCACACTGGAGGCCTGAGGACTGAGGCAGAAATCTCAGTCTGTTTTCTGTTGCTGTAACAGAGTACCTGAGGCTGGGTGGTTAATAAAGAAAAGAGGTTTACTTTGGTCCCTTGTAGTTTCACCTCAGCAGAAAGAGGGTAAGGAGCCGTGTGTGGGAGATGCAAATGTGAGGGCCTGCCCTGCCTTAAAACAACCCATTCTCGGGACAGGAAAGGCGGGAATCCACCTGTGCAGGCTCTGTCCCAGCTCACCCCTTTTTTTCCTTCCCCCCACTCCCCTGCAGTGCAACAGGTGATCGAGAGTCACATCCTCAAACTCTTCCAGAGCAACCTGGGGCCCGATGACCCCGAGTGAAGGCCGCCCGCCAGGGACTCACATGCTCAGGGAACAAAACGGTGGACCCCAAGCTGGGGGACTCAGAAGTGGCTTCAAAGGCAGCTCCTGGACAGGCGGCAGGAGGGAACCCTTCCAAGCGGAACCAATAAACCTTCTGTGAAGAACTTTCAAGGACTTCGCCCGCTGCTTCCCCGAGGGCTTCCTGGAGGCGAGGCCTCCCTGTTCTCTCATGCTGCCCTCTCCCCCAGCACCCGCAGGTGGTAGATGACCACGCGGCCAAAAAAGTCCGTGGTGTCTTCAAATGTCACCCTTAGCCTGTTCACCTCCGCAGCTGGCACGGGGAAGGTGTGAGCATGGGCAGTCAAGGAAAAAGTGACCAGCCCTTCCTGCCTTTCAGATGACCAGGCTCAGACACTGTCCATGTGCTGGGTGACCAGCTGCATGGAAGTTTTACTTAGGGTCCCTCACCAGGGTCCCCACTCAGGTCCAGGTGGACCCCACGCTTTTAAAGGCGTACGTCCCACCGCCACCCACCCCAGAGGCCAGGGCAGGATATCTGGAGCGAGTTGCTGTCCTCCGGGTAGAAGTCCACAATCTTACGGAGGGGGTCACCCCCCTGTGACCCTGCCGCAGAAGGAGGGGGACAGTGAGTCCCGGGAGGGCCCCGCCTCAGACCTCCACCCCCCCAGGCCCTTCTGGTACCTTCCAGGCGGCCCCTGCGGCTGGAGAAGCCGCCCTGGAACTGGATCTGCAGCTGGGAGACGTGGACGAGCTGGGGAAACTCCAGCGATACCCACTGGGAAGGGCCCTGGAAGCAGACGGGGAAACTGAGGCCCGTGCTGCTGCTGGGTCAGAGCCCAGCCATCCATCGTTCACGCAGGGGGAGGGGCACGTGCAGCACACAGCTCCTTCCTGGCCACCCCTGCGTCTGGGTCACCCGAGGGGCGGAGGCGCGTCACCTGGTCGGAGTTCCAGCACGTCTCCTCGTCCTGGTCGAAAAGGTGCTTCTTGCCAAACTGCCGGGTGTCGCGATTCAGCACCGAACTCACCCTGGCGGGACCAGGAAGGAGAGGTGCGGAGCTGGGTGACACCTGCCATGCCCAGGGCTCGCTCACTGTGCACCACTGAGCCCGCCCCTTCCTAGCGTGGCTCCGCCTCCGCCAACCAGCTCCCATTGGCCCGCCCCCTAGTCACTAAAGCTCCGCCCCTCCCACCAACCAGCTCCCACTACGTCCTGGCACGCCCCCTCCTCATCGTGGCTCCGCCCCCGCCAGCCATCTCCACTCCCATTCGGCCCGCCCACTCCTCGCTGAGGCTCCGCCCCTCCCACCAACCAGCTCCTACTAGTCCCGCCCCCTCCTCCTCGTGGCTCCGCCCCGCCAACCAGCTCCCACTACCATTCAGCCCGCCCACTCCTCGCTGACGCCTCTCTACCAACCAGCTCCCACTACCACTGGGCCCACGTCCTTCTCGCCGAGGCTCCGCCCCCTCACCAATCAGCAACGACCGTCACTGAGCCCGCTCACTTCGCACTACGGCTCAGCCTCCACCCATCAGCTCTGTCTACCACTGGGCCCGCCCCCTGTAACCACGCCCCCTCCGGGTCTCACCTGCTTACGGTCTGCGAACAAACCAAAGATTGGGTCATCCCGGTTCCACGATCTGGCAAAGCTCAGGATCGGACTCAGCCAAGCGCGGGTTCAAATCCCAGCTGCACCTCAGGTGCACAATTGCGCCACAGGTAGTGCAATCCTGGTCACGCCCCTGGACTGCACGTCCTCCCCGGTCAGTACGGACGCGGACAGTCAACCCCTCGCCCGCCCAAGTCCTAAACGTCACCTTGATCACACCCTGGCTGGAAAAATTGAAAATTCGGGAAATCTGCCAATGATCGGGGACCAAGCCTTTCTCGGAGGATCCAAGAACGGGGAATAGGGTCCTCGCGCGTTGTGGGGGGTGCGGCCGGTTCCTATCAGAGCCTCAGTTTCTCTGTCTCCTGCCCTGGGAAACAGAGACCGGGACCCGGAACACGTGGACGCGGCGCACGCGCAGTGCGACTCAGGCCCCGCCCATCCACCGCTCCGGGGCGGGGTTTAATGGGCCCTTCCTTCCTCGTGCCCGCCTCTTAAAGGGCCCGCGTCCTGTGATTTCTGGGCAAGCTGTGCTCGCAGTTAGAAGCATCGGTTTTGAACTCCACCGACAGCCTCCTGCAGGAGTCTGCTGAAACCATTCTTTACGTGCTAATGCAGTGTTGAAACTCTTGCACCCTCCTGCCTCCCCTTGGCTAAAGGAAGAGCTGAGGAAGAGGCTGGATGTTGGGGACATTCGAAGTCCCCCTCAACTCCATGTGTCCTGGCTGGGACCCAAACCTGGCTTTCCTGAGCTGGGTGTGGCGCTGTTCGCCTGTAATCCCAGACCTCGGGGGGCTGAGGCAGGAGGATCCGGAGTTTGAAGCCAGCCTGGATTACATAGCAATATCTAGTCTCTTAGTAAGCACTAAACCCGTCTCTGAGGTACAGGTGTGAGCTTAGGTTTAGAGGAAGAATGGGACCAGCGGGGCAGGAAGTCTGCATAATTGAGCGGTCCCAGGCAAAATGTCCAGATTCTGCAAGGGGCTCTGGAGAAGCTGTCATTGCTGTCCTCATTTTGAAACCGGAGTTTTGGACCCAAGGCCCAACTTCCTGAAATTCCACACGTCAGGTCTGGCCACCCGCCCCTAAAGGCCAAATCAAGAGGCATGGTGGAGGCAGAAAAAGGAGGTTTGTTACACAGCTCGGTGCATGCCATGGGAAGAGGCAGAGCGAGCACTCAGCTCATCGTCACCCATCTTCAGGGTACAGACATGAGCTATAGGTTTAGGTAGACAAAAGAACTGGGGGCAGGGGACAAAGGTGTGCATAGTTAAACGGCCCCAGTCACAGTGACAGGTGTGTTCTGGCTGACCGTTATGTCAATCTGAAATTTCCAGAGGTTGTTAATGGTTGTCACCACTTGAGGGGAGCAAGCTGGGATGACTGCTCCTGCTCCAGGGTGCGGCTTCATCATTACATCCTCATTTGGGGGATGGTCTGTCCTGCAAGTCTCCACCGTTCCTTATGGGATGTTTCAGTCCCTTGTCATAAAGATGTCAGTCATTTCCCTCCTTCCTTGATTCCAAGGTGGCTGCAGGAGACGACAGGTGCAAAATGGAGACAGAGACACCAAGCTTTTCTTCCGTGTTTAGTTAATTCGTGAGCCCAAATAAGGATCAGTACTTCTAAGCAAAAGCAGTTTAAGCGCCCCTTACAACTTGAGGGGAGCAATCTGGTCCCCACAAGCTGGTTTCTCCTGCTCCAGGGTGCAGCCTCAGGTGACTTTAGGAGAGAGAAACTGAGAGCAAAGGAGACAGGAGCAAAATGGAGACCAGGATGACAAGCTTCTCCTGCTGTTGTGCCCAGGTGAGGGCTCAGTGGTTTTGAGCAAAAACTGCTTCTAGGTGCCTATTATGGGGTGTTGAGGCAGGGGGAACAGCCTAAGTGGGGTGGGGAGAAATGCATCCTGCTGGGTCTGGAGCCACCTTGGAAAGGGGTGGCCGCCATCCGTCTGTGGGAATCCAGGCTCCCAAGACCCGGTGGCCACTGGCTGGAGGTGTTCCTGGCTTGGCTGAATGTCTGGGAGCTGTCCCTTTCTTCAAGGCTGGCATCCTACAACTGTCTTCCTAAGCCTACCCAGGATGGGGGCTGGCAGGAAAACTGGGTCACATCAGAAGGCCCTTCCCATCAGCCCCTGACCGCCAGGACTTCCTGCATTCAGTGACTGTTTAGTGCTGTCCAGATCTGGCTTTGCTGGTCTCAGGGCTGAGGCTGGGGGTCCTCATTCCCACCGAAAGTCAGGAAGGCCCCAGTCTAGTTAAGATCTTCAGGGAGCCAGGCACGGTGATACGTGCCTGTAATCCTAGCTACTTGGGAGGCTGAGATCAGGAGGATTATGGTTTGAGGCCAGCCTGGGCCAAAAAAAAGTCTGCAGGACCCCATCTCAATGGAAAACAAGTTGGATATGGGGACAAATACCTATCATCCCGGTGACAGCAGGAAGGGTGAAATAGAAGGATCACAATCCAGGCTGGTGTGGGCAAAAAGTGAGAGCCTATCTCTAAAATAACCAGAGGAAAAAAGGCTGGAGGTGTGGAGTGTGAAGCCCCCTGAGTGCAAACCCAAACTGCCAAGATCTCATGGCTGTGTGACCTGAGACGAGCGTCTTAACCTCTCTGAGCCTCGGTTCCCTCTTCTGTTAAGGGGAGGGGGGAATCCAGTGGGCTTTTAGCAACAGTGGCTGACACTTGGGGAGACACCGTGTTTCTGACTTAGAGCCACGTTTTGTCTCCACCGATTGGCTCATGACTGATCTGTGTCACCCCTGTTTCATAGCTGAGGAAACAGCAACTTGGCCAAGGTCCCCCCACTAAGGAAATGCATGGCCCCCGAGCCCTTCACGTGGCTCCCGGCCTTGGCAGGGGGCCGCCTTGCCCACTGGGCTGAGGCCAGAGGCTTACCCTCTTCCCGCCTCCTCGCCCTGCTGGCGCCTCGGCATGAAAGAACGGCCCTGTTTTCTCCAGGGAATTCCCAGCTCTGAGCTCCCAGCCAAAAGTGGCCCATTCATCCCCAGGAGTGAGGACAGACTAGGCGTTTCCCTCCTTCCCACCCCGGGGATGAGGGAGCATCTAAAAGGGCCAGAAGCAACTCCTCTGGCTCTCTAAGGGAAACTGAGTCAAGGAAAAACAGCATCACTTGACTAAGATCACCCAGAGAGACCCCATCTGACTCTACAGTCCTTGCCACTGGGTTGCCACCTGCAGTTTTCAGGGGGCGGGGAGGAACCAGAGGCTCAAAGAGGGTTTGGGATCTGCTGAAGGCACACAGAATTGATGTCTACCAGTCCGGGGAAGGAGGTCCACCCACTCAGGAACCAGGTCCCACGGGCCATGGCTTCATCCTCCAGAGCCCGGCGGGGGAAAGGACCCCAGGTGGCTTGGTTTTGACCGAAATCTCAGTCTGGGTTTCTTGGAGGGGGGCCAGGTGCGACAGGACCCCTGGGCCTGGAGCCCCCCCACCCCGCCACCCCAGTTGGATTAAGCCTGTGTTTGGTTTATCTGCCAGGATGTGCTGGGGTCAAGCAGGGTCAAGTTCAGAGTAGACTAATGCTGGACGCTCGTGCCTGCTCAGGTCCTGGGTAGAAGGGGGCTGAAGTCTGGGGTCCCACCAGAGGGGACAGTGTGTGAGAGGGGGTGATTGGGCATACAGGGACTGCAGAGGGCACGCATGGGGACAGCGGGGGTTGCTGTGGACGGGAGTGTTGGTGGGACGTGAACACGGGTCTCGTGGATGGTCACACACGTGGTCAGTGTGAACAGCGTGGGTGCGGCAAGTGTGGGTTGAGTGTCAAGTGACTCTGGTAGGTGCAGCCAGGCTCACAGCTGTGACTTCCTTTTCTTCTTCTTTTTTTCTTTTTTTTTGGGTGGTTAGTTATTGATTTTTTCAGCCACAGGATCTCATTATGCAGCCCTGCAACTCAAGGTCATCTTGCCTCAGTTTCCCCAGTGCTGGGATCACAGGTGTGGTCACCTGGCTCGACACAGCTGTGCCTTGTGTGTATCCAGGTTGGTTGCATGTGGCCAGCTGTGTTGTCGGCCGATGACACTGAGTGTGACTTGCCTGTGTCACCTTGGCTATGTTCCAAGGCTCTTTGGGGACACACTGTCCCCTGAGACCCAGCGCTCAGAGATCCTGCTTCTGCTCAGCCCTCCAGCCCCTCCCCCGGCTGTCTCCCTGGCACCAGCCCCTGGCCCAGGCCCCCGTGTTGGGGGGACAGAGAAGGCCCTGAGAGTGGGGTGGGGACTGTGCCCAGTCCCAGAGTGAGCCTATAAATAGCTCTTTGAGCCCAAGGATCCCCAGGGTAGGCTACCTCATTCAAGCCCCCAGCAACAGTGAGCCCAGGCCCCCCGCCAGCCCCTGTCAACGCAGCCCTGGCACCGAGCATGAGGCCGGGGGTGGCGAGGAGGGGGTGGGGAGCAAGGGTGGGAGCCAGCTTAGCTGTGCAGCCGCAGACCTGGGCTCCCTCCCGCTCCCCAGCCATCTGGGCAGCCTCAGGCGGGTGACCCTACTCCCCAGAAACCTTCCCAATGAGCAGCAACAAGGTAGCAGCCCCCGTCCTCCTTCCCCGCCACCCCCATTGTGCCCTTACTTCCTACTTTATTCTCAGAGACTCCCACGATGAGCCCCACTTTACATGGGGAAACTGAGGCACGGAATGGGGAGAAACAGAGAGACACCGTCGTTAGGAGGGGCAGGCAAGGAGGAGGTTCTTGTAATTTTTCTTTTTTCAGTGCTGGGATGAAACTTGGCCTCACATGTGCCCAAGAAAGGGGCACTGAATGTCACCCGACCACGATCGGTCCCCTCCCCTAAAGCCAGCCTCACCTCCAGGTCACCCACAAACACACACAGCCATCGTGACCTCTGATGACCATCTGTCCCCAGTGCCATAGAGTCTGACACTAAGTACTAAATCATGGGGTCCAGTTATGTCACCTTGGGCCCAGGGTTGCCACCTCGCTCTTTTGGGTTCTGCCCTCACCCGGGCTCGTTCCCTCCTCTTTGCAGAAACCTTTGGCATCAACCTCCCACGAGACTGAGGACCCCCTCCCTGAAAAGCCAAAAGATGCTCAAAGACACACACAGATGCAGGACGGGGTCAGGAGGGAACCTCGTTTTGGGGGCAGAAACACGAAGACCCCCCAAAGGAAGACAGGCAGGAGTGGGGCCTCCCTCTCCATATCTTTTTCTTTTTATTTTTCTCTTTTTCAGTGCTGGGGATGGAACCCCGGGCCTGTGCATGGAAGGCAACCTACCTCTCTCTCTATTTTTTATTGTGGTAAAATTCACACGACAGAAAATTTATTATTATTTTTTTGGTGCTGGGGATTGAACCGAGGTCATCACAAGTGCTAAGCACACACTGTATCACAGAGCTACACCCTCAGCCCCAAATTTAGCACTTTGAAGTGTGTAAAGAAGATTCGGTCCCATTACCAGCCCCATTCTCTTCCCCAGCCCCCCAGAAGCCTCTGACTTGCTTTCTTTTTTTTCTCTTCTCTTCTCTTCTCTTTCTTTCTTTTCTCTCTTTCTTTTTTTGTCAGTACTGAGGCTTGAATTCAGGGCCTACGCCTTGAGCCACTCCTCCAGCCCTTTTTTGTGATGGGTTTTTTTCAAGATAGGGTTTTGCAAACTATTTGTCCAGGCTGGCTTTGAACCATGATCCTCCTGATCTCTGCCACCTGAGTGGCCCAGCTTTCTTTGTCTTTCTTAGGGTCTCACTGCGTAGCCCAGACTGGCCTCTAGCTCGCGATCCTCCTACCTTAGCCTTTCGGATGCTGGGATTACAGGCGTATATCACCATATCCAGCTAGGATCTAGGCTTTTAGAAATTGGGCTGTCTAGTTCCAGGACACACACATGTCCCTCCCCAAAGAACGAATATTCCTAACAGCAGCAACAGCTCCACCTTGCTCTTTGCTACCTCAGTGCCGAGTGCACAAGGGTGATCAGTGAGAGATTGGATGAATGACTGACTATGTGAGTGAATGAATGGTGTGATCTGGCTGCACCTTCTGGGGGCGACTCCAGGCTGGGACCCTGCATCTGTCTTACCAGCTCAGTGACCTAGTCCTCTTTCCTACCTCTCAGAGCCAGTTTCCTCTCTATCAATGAGCAAAGCACTAATTGTAACCAAAACTGCTTCCGGAGCTTGAGCTTTGGACACTCATCCAGTACAGGGTTCGAATTCCAGCCCCCCTCCCCTGCACACACACCCTGGTCTTCCTCTGGGTGTGCGTGACCTTGCAACTTTGCTTCCCTGGGGCTCAGTTTCCCCATCTGTAAAAATGGGGCAAGCCCTAATGATGGAGCATGCTGGAGATGCTTTAAGGAAGAGAATGAGGGAGTGGAGGAGAGTCCAGTGCAGTGTCCCCCCGCTGGAGTGGGGACTCAGGAGCGAGGCGGGGCGGGGGGAGAGAGAGGGGGGAGCCCCCTCCCTTGCGCAGCCCGGGCGGGCGCGGCGCATGCGCAGAGCAGCCCGCGGCCCCTATATAAGAGGTGAGGCGGCGCCGGGGCGAGCGGAGCGCAGGGCGCAGGGCCGGGCGGGCGCGGCCGGCGGAGCCCCGCTGTCCTGTCCTTTGTGCCGGCGGCACCCCGGGATGCGTCCGAGCTAGGAGCCAGGTGTGGGGGGTAGCGGGGACCCGTGGATCGTGTGGACCTCGGGATGTGGGAAACGCAGCCCGAGATCGGGGAGGGAGGGGGCTGGGATCCGGAGAAGCCCCCCGGGTGGGGAGGGGCGAGTGGGGGAGGGGAGCCCGAGTGGAAGAGGGGGCTTGGGGGTGTCGGGAGGATACGCATGGAGGGGGGGACGGAAAAGGTGGTCCGGGATACAGAGATCAGCTCACTGGTGGGGAGGATGTCCAAGTGGGGGTGGGTCTCAGCCCTGGGATCTAGGGTTCAGGGAGGGGCGCACCCCGAGTTTGGAGAGAAGAGACGGACCCCCCTAGTGATTGAATAGGGTCTCTGGATCAGGGCATCCCTGTGTCTTGAGCTGAGACACCCCAGGATTTTAAGTGGGGACTCCCAATTTGCACGTGAATGGAGGATTCCAGGCCGGACTGCAGTGGGGAGGGGGCTCCCCCCAAAATCAGCCCAAGTTCAATAGGAGGGGGTCGGCGCGGAGTGGATGGTCATTGGGAAGGGGAGATAGCCTTGTCCCCCCCTTTTGGGATCTGTCCTTTTGGGATCGGTTCTGTCACAGTGTCCCTGCTCAGAGAGGAGGTTCCAGGGGTGGGGGGACATTCCAACGTGGTCCCCCGTTTTTTCCACGCACATCTAGAGTTGGGGTGCTGTTTCTTCTCCCACGGAGCATTCTGGGTGTCCCAGGCCAATGTTAGACAGGGACGGGCACTGACAGTTGCTGGTGACGGATCCCCAGGACCTGTGAGGGACACCAGCCCAGAGACAAGGAGCACCCCAGCACCTCCACATCTGTCCCCATCCTCAGAGCCCCCCACACCCTTGCCTCACCCCTCAGTTCCATCTGCCTGTGTAGATGCATGTGGGAGTCCCCTTGTTCCAGGGCACAGGGGCTGGGACCCCAGACCCGGTGCGGATAGAGAACCCCCCATCCTTGCACACGGGGCTTTGTTTCCTCAGAAGCATGGGAAGCAGCCAGGCTGGGGAGCTGGTGGCAGTGGCCCCTGCAGGAGACATGAGGTCTGAGTGGGGAGAGAGGGCTGGTGCAACATGGGACCCCAGAAATGCGCTGCCTCAGTGGCTTCTGGACATTCCCACATGGAAGGCCCCCTCCCTCCCTGGGGGGGGGGCTTTGTGTGTGAGTCTGCAGGCGTCGAGGAGGGGTGGGTGTGCCCACAGAGCCTGGGGTCTCCTGTGACTGATAGGACTGTGGTTGGTGGGTGGCTTTGTCAGAAAACTTGTGCCAGGGGCCACCTCACCAGGTGGCCAAACGATGCGTGCCCATGGGTCAGCAAGGCCACATTGGTCTCTCCCGGTGTGTGCTGGGGGCTGGAGGCAGTGTGTGGGTTGGGGGGCTGTGCCTGGTGGTATTGGGTCTGTTGGGGGGGCTCATGTGGGGGCCTGAGGCCGTGGGTGTGGGTCTTTGTGTAGCAGATGCTTTTGTGCCTGCCTAGTCTTTGTTGTGTGGGGGTCTCTCCCTGGCTCTGTGTCTGGGCCGTGTGGCTGCATGTGTGTCGTGCGTGTGTGTGTGTGATTGGCCGTGTGGCCCCTGCGCGTGGGGGACGGGGGTGAGATCTTCGTGCAAAGTTGGGGAGATAACTGTGAGTCCAGGTCTCAGCTCTCTTCCCTTCCCCTCCAAGCACTCCCACACTCACGGGCGTGCACAGACACGCACCCCGACTCAGGCCAGGAACACGCACGTGCGTGTCTGTGCGCAAAGCTCCCACCAAGGGGGACCCACACACCCAGAAACCTCACCTGGCGCCCTCCATCCACCCAGGGCACCGGGTTGCCGTGGGCTCGTGCTCAAGTCCACCCTGTCCACACACCACACACCTGTCCCTGCCTGAACTCAGCACCCCGTGTCACCAACACAGCACCTGCTGAGGGACACCCTGACTCAGGGTGCCCCTGAGACAGGAGGTGGGAGAGAGGGACCCCCCCACACACACACACTCTCACGCTGCTGATCCAGCCCTCCCCTCCCCCTGCAGGCCCCTACTTGCATATGCATGAGTCTCATGAATCATTCATGAGGGGCCCGCCCCAGACAGCTGTGTAAAAGCTCACCTCTGTCGCCCTGGGGAGGACAGAGAAGGGAGAAGGGAGTGGGCGGGTGTGTGTGAGGGGGTGGGGGAGTGTGCACCTGAAATCCTGTCTGTCGCCATGTCGGACCATCTGAGGATATTTTTAGCCTGCCCACGAGGTTTTGTGTACAAAGAGCTGTTTTTAAATTTAACGTGTCTAGGACTTTACACGTCTTGGCTCATTGTGGCCTCAGAATAGACTTAGGAGATATGTGCTGGGTGATCCTGGTTTTACAGTTGGGGAAACTGAGTCAGGACATTTGGGTGTCATCTGAGCTCTCCACCATATAGTGTGTGTGTGTGAGAGAGAGAGAGTGAGAGAGGCAGACAGAGTGAGAGACAGAGAGAGAGAGAGAGAGAGAGAAAGAGCCGGAGGAGGGGAGAGAGAGAGGGAGTGAGAGAGAAAGAGAGACAAGCAGAGTTTCCTGGCCTTGTCTCCTAATCCACCCATCATGGCACCCTAAGCTTGCTTGGGGTTTCCAGGCGGAGAAATAAAGACAGCCCTGCATGGAGACAGATTCTGCTGAGGTTTATAAGTTGGTGTTTGGCGCCACTGGGCCTGGACCTTGATCTCGGCCTCTGCCCTGCTGGGCAGCCTCAAGCAAACTGCTAGCCCTCTCTGAGCCACTATGTGCGTAGGCAGGAGGCAGGGATGGATTATAAGGGTGGCCAGGTGGCGTCACCATCTCAGCGTTCAGCACCACGGACAGGTCCCTGCTGTCCTCTCAGAGGCCTCTGGGAAGTGGGAGGGACCGTGGCGAAGGGGGGCAACTGAGTCCCACGGCCTCACATTCTGGAGTCCACCCATAACCCCGACCTCAGGCCTGTTCTTTTAGAGGGGCGTGGTGCAAGGGTCCATCTGTGCCCATGTTCTGAGCCCTGGTGAGGGGCAGGAGGCCCTGGGGGAGGGGGCCCTGGGCAGGATAGTTAAGTCTCTGGGAGGGTGAGAGGTCCCCAAAGTCACCTTGGCGCCCTAGCACGTGAAGTGGACTTCTGCTCATGGCAAGCACGCAGTAATTGTCCATGTTTATGGTCACTGGGCCTCTTTATATCTCTGGGCCTCCAAAGCCTCTTGGAGTCGGGGGAGGACGGGCTGGGCAGTGGGGAGGCCCCTTCCTCCAGCTGGATCTTGGCAACTCCTTAAATATCCCAGGAATCAAGAATAGAAGCTTGGTGGTTACCAAATCCTGGAGTTGGAGCTGCGAATCGTGTCAGTCAGCCAACCTAGATGAAAAGCTGGCTTGGAACATGGCCTGCTGTTTGGACTGGGGACCCCGGGGAGGATGGGGACTGGTTGCTCTGGTTGGCTGCCCACCCCAGTCCAATGGGGGTAAATAAGACTTCCGTTCTGGTTATATTAAGATAAATAATAAGATATTAGCAACAGCTAAAATAAGCTCCCGGATGCCAGGTAGTTCTAAGCTTTTCATCTATTCCTCCACACCGTGAAGCTATCCCAGTCTGACCTACAAAGAAAAGGAGGCACAGAGAAGTTGAGCTACGTGCTCCAAGTCACACAGCAAATTGGATTCACTTTACCACCCGGGCTCCTGGCCATGAAGTTTCACTGCTTGGATTCTAAAGCCAGGGGGAAGGGGCGGGGGGGCCCTAGGTTCGAATCCTGACTCTGGCCTTGCTTGCTCGGCTCATCTGTGACACACTGGCCTCTCTGAGCTCCTGTCCCAGATTCCTACAGGGATTCGGTCCTTCCGAGCTGCACGCCTGGGAAGATGTGCCATGACTCACTCTCCTTGCCTCCTTCTGCTTTTCCTCCAGAATGGGGACCACATCTGTCTGGGCCTCAGGCCTCCTGATGCTGCCGGTGCTACTGCTTGCGGCTGGAGATCAGGGTGAGTTGTGAAGGGGGGGTGGAGCGGGGATGGGGGGAATGCTTTTCCCTCTGCAGCCACAGCTAGGGGTCTGCGGGGTGGACCGGGTGGGGCTTTTTCATTCCAGAGCCTTCTCCTGCTGGCATGTAAGATGCGAGTAGATGAAAAAGGTCTTTGAACAGTCAAAGCGAACAAGACACCTGAGAGGTTATTTTTAACCCCGCCTCTCACTGTTTTTGCCAAAAGGAACTGGAAAGAGAAAGAAAAGACAAATACTAGAAAATAACGCATTAGTTTATCAGTGATGTCTGTCCCGGGTGAAGCAAGAGAGCACTATCTGCTCCCTGGCCTTGGGCAAGCAGTTACCTCCCTGAGCCCATTTCCTCAGTGAACCATGGCTACCCCTGCAGACGGTTATGAAAATCAGACAAACTGATTGTGGCATTAAAAACAAAAAGAAAAGGCACTTCACAAACGCCACCTCCCCTCCCGTGGCTGCTTCTTGATTGACTTTGGAGAAACCGAGGCTCAGAGAGGGCAAGTGACTTCCCCACGGCCACACAGCGAGTCAGTGATATTGGAAGTCTGCATTTTATGTTTAGCGACCTTTTGTGTTGGATGAATCTTACAGAGCAGGGGGGACGGTGACATTATGTGGGCCTCCCCATCCCTGCTGGTCTCTGCCTCTGAGTCAGTCCCTCTCTCTGCCTTCCCCACCCCAGGCGCACAGGACACTACTGCGGCCACCACCACTGAGAAGGGGCTCCACATGCAGAAGTTGGGGTCTGGGTCGGTGCGGGCCGCGCTGGCAGAGCTGGTGGCCCTGCCCTGCCTCTTTACCCTGCAGCCCTGGCCAGGTGTGGCCCGAGACGGGCCTCGGATCAAGTGGACCAAAGTGCGGACTGCATCAGGCCAGCGACAGGACTTGCCCATCTTGGTAGCTAAGGACAATGTGGTGAGGGTGGCCAAGGACTGGCAGGGACGGGTGTCACTGCCTGCCTACCCCCAGCACCGAGCCAATGCCACGCTACTGCTGGGACCCCTGAGGGCCAGCGACTCGGGGCTGTACCGCTGCCAGGTGGTCAGAGGCATCGAAGATGAGCAAGACCTGGTGCCCCTGGAGGTGACCGGTCAGTCGGGGACAGGGGCGGGGCTGAGGGCGGGAGGAGGAGGGGCAGAGTGAGCTCCACCCATGGAGGGGAGGAGTTGGAAAGGGCGGGGCATTTCCTGGAGCCCGCCCAATGCCCACTGGGGCGGGACCAATGCTAGGAGGGGGTGGGTAAAACCTAAGCTCCACCCACTGAGAGGAGACGCCAATGCCAGGAGAGGGCGGGGTGAAACAAGCTCCACCCACTGAGTGGGAGGAGCTGAGGCTAGGCGAGGGTGGGGCATTGCCTGGAGCCCGCCCACTGCGGAGGGTTCAAGGCAGAGTGGGTGGGGTAAAACCTAAGCCCCACCCAGTAAGGGAGAAGGACCAATGCCATGAGAGGGCGGGGCATTGCCTAGAGCCCACCCACTGCCAGGAGGGGGCAGGCAGGCAGGGCAGAGCCGAAGCTCCACCCACTGAGTAGGCCTAGCAAGTGAGGCCCTGAGTTCAAATCCCAGTACTGCCAAAAGAAATACAATAAGAGAAAATAAAATAAAAGCTGTCTTTGGAGACGGATCCTCGTGAATGTGTTTTGGCTCTGCCTCCTGCTTCGATCTTTCTGAGCCTGTTTTGCCCTCTGGAATAATCATGGGGTTGTCATAAGTGCTCCGTGACATGGTGTTTATAATTGCTTTTTCACATAGTAAATATTTGTCAAATTTGAGCCCTCGGTGGCCCTGACCAATTTCCTCACCCCAGTTGTCACCCAGCACTGTGCCAGGCTCTGGGTGAGGACAGGAAGCAGGGGGTTGTCTTTCAACAGGTCTGTTGGTACCAGGCTGGGGGGAGGGGGTGTTCTGCATGGGGGGGATCTGCTGTTGAAGACTCCAAGTGTGAGTCTCTCTCCCCCATCCTGATGTCCCCCCACCACCACCCAGGTGTTGTGTTCCACTATCGGGCAGCTCGGGACCGCTATGCACTGACCTTTGCGGAGGCCCAGGAGGCCTGCCGTTTCAGCTCGGCCACCATCGCAGCCCCACGACACCTGCAAGCTGCCTTTGAGGATGGCTTTGACAACTGTGACGCTGGCTGGCTCTCTGACCGCACCGTAAGGTGAGGTGGGGCGCAGGGTGGGGAGATGGAGAGTGAGCCCCTGGGGGAAAGAAGAGGCTCCTTGGGGACATGAAGGGTGTGTGTGGGGTGGGGGGGGAGAGACAGCTGCAGGAGTGCACATCTGAGAGGGATCCCCTATCCTGGTATCATCAGATACCCTATCACCCAGTCCCGGCCTGGTTGCTATGGTGACCGGAGCAGCCTTCCAGGGGTTCGGAGCTATGGGAGGCGCGACCCACAGGAACTCTACGATGTGTACTGCTTTGCCCGCGAGCTGGGGGGTAAGTCTGGACCTGGCAGGACCCCCCCACACCATACACACCTCTTCCTAAGTCCCTATGCACCTGTCCTAAATTGCATCCCAAGATGGGGGCCCACCTCTGCCTCCATCCTTCTCTGAGCCCTTCTCCCTAGCTGTCTCCCTCTCTCTGAGCCTCTGTCCCCTCCCCATACCCCCGTTTCTCTGAACCCCCATTTGCCCAGGGGTCCAAGGGGTACCTCATTTGTACAAAGATGCTAAAAGCCCTGCTGGTTAATTAATGCTCTGGCGAGCAGAGGTCGCAGCCTCCTCTCACCACCACCCTAACTGAGCCATTTTGGGGTGTCCCCTGACCTCTGCCCACCCCCCTCCCACAGGCGAGGTCTTCTACGTGGGCCCGGCCCGCCGCCTGACTCTGGCCGGTGCGCGTGCCCAGTGCCACCGCCAGGGCGCAGCGCTGGCCTCGGTGGGACAGCTGCACCTGGCCTGGCACGAGGGCCTGGACCAGTGTGACCCGGGCTGGCTGGCCGATGGCAGCGTACGCTACCCGATTCAGACGCCGCGCCGGCGCTGCGGGGGCCCAGCCCCGGGCGTGCGCACCGTCTACCGCTTCGCCAACCGGACCGGCTTCCCCGCGCCCGCCGCGCGCTTCGATGCCTACTGCTTCCGAGGTGCGTGCGCGGCCGCCGCCAGAGGCCACGCCCCCGCGCTGGCCACGCCCCCGCGGCGCGCAGGAGGCGAAAAGCCACGCCCCTAACAGCTTCCTTGCTGCTGCAGGCCACGCCCAATTCTGGGAGAGCCACTTGGAAACGCGCTCACAATAAGCCCCGCCCCTGTCCAAAGGCCACGCCCCCAGAACCCGCTTTCCTGTGAAAGGACGCTAGTGATAAGCCCCGCCCTTGAGGCCACGCCCCCGGGGACATTATTTTTTGTGAAGGCCACGCCCTAACGGCTTTGCGATCTAGTGGAGGCCACGCCCACTGCTGGGAGTGCCACTTGGAAACGCGCTCATGATAAGCTCCGCCCCCAGCAGGAGGCCACGCCCCCGACGCAGGTCTTTTCTTAAGAGCCTGGCCATAGAGCGAAGACACAGCCCCTAGGGGGACCAGGCTTTGGCAGGATGCCACATTTTGCCCAGTGGACTGTATTTCCTAAGGTCCTCAGGCGCTAGAACCCTAAAAGCCACGCCTCTGGGCAGAGCAGGTCCTACCTGGAGCCACGCCCATAGGCACACCCCCTGGGGAGCAGGGGGTGCCACACCTGGGTGCATCCACGTGTGTAGTGGGGGGTGCAGCCTCCAAAGGTGCAAACCTCAACTCCAATGGGCCAGGTCCTTTGCGCAAGCTGGCCCGGCCCTGGGTGGCAAAAACAAGTACCCTTAGTGGGGGTCGTGCCTACTGGGCACCTCCTGTCCCCAAGGGAGGATCCATGGCATCTCTCCGCGAGCTTTTGCCCAAGGGCCAAGGTGTCTGTGAACGCACTGTGGCCTGTTGACCCAGACCCTGTCAGTGAGTTGCAGGTGATCGCAGTGCATCTTCCCTTTCTCAGGCTGGGGAGTGTCAGGAGCCACCCAGAGAGGCAGAGGGTGCGCGGAGAGATGCACAGCTAATCTGCCTGACAGCGCAGCAAGCTGGAATGTGGGCAGACATCAAGGAGAACTGGGGCAACTCTGAGCCCTAGCACAGCCTCTTCTGCTTTCCCCCACAGCCCATCACCCCACGCCGCAACATGGAGACCCAGAGACGCCCTCATCTGGAGATGAGGGGGAGATTCTGTCGGCAGAGGGGCCCGCAGTCCGAGAACTGGAGCCCAGCCTGGAGGAGGAGATCACCCCTGCCTTCCAGGAGCCCCTGGTGTCCAGTGGAGAAGAAGAACCCCTGGTCTTAGCAAAGAAGCAGGAGTCTCCAAAGACACCCAGCTCTACCCCTGGGGACCCCAAACTGGCCTTGTGGCCCCCTGGGGCGGTGTGGCTGAGCACGGTGGCCCCCAGCCCCAGCAGCACGGTGGTAGGCTCAGCAGGGGCCGTCCACACAGAAGTGGCCTCCGCCAGCCCCACGCCCAGGAAGAGGACTCGCTTCAAAGGGTTGAACGGGCGCCACTTCCAACGGCAGGAACCTGAGCCCAGGCTGCAGGCGGAGCTCCAGACTGGCGTCCCCACCCCGCCACCCACCCCAGAGGCTGCTGGGAAGCACGTGGAGCCTCCCACGGCCACAGAGGCCTCGGGAAGTGGCCACAGCCGGAGTCCCTGGGCCGTTCTGACCAACGAGGTGGATGTACCTGGAGCAGGTGAGTGCCGTTCAAGGGCAGGGGGATCTGGAGACCAGAAGGGTAGACATGGCTGTCCTCAGGTTGGGGAGGACTCTGTGAGTCCCAGCTGGGTCCCCTTGCCCATCCTCAAGAGCCCCCTTTTCCGCAGGCTGGGGACCGAGGAGTTGCACAGCAGCTGTGAGGATAACTATAAGATGATTCTCCTTTTTGAGGAGGGATGGGACAGGGGTGTCACTAGGAAGCACTGGGATTTGAACTCAGAGCCTCACGTTCACTAGGCAGGCTCTCTACCACTTGAGCCACTCCACCAGCTCTTTTTTGTGTTGAGTGTTTTGAGATGGGGGTCTCCCAAACTATTTGCCTGGGCTGGCCTCAAACCTTGATCCTCCTCATCTCGGCCTCCAAGTAGCTGGGATTGCAGGCATCCGCCACTGGTGCCCAGCACTTACAATTACTCTTGATCTTACAGGTCCCTCTGATGGCAGGGGGCCCTGGCTATGGCCCCCAACCAAGATCCCACCCAGCATCCCAGCCCCCAGCAGGACCCCTGACCCAAAACTAGAGGGAGCCAAGGCCCCCAGCAGGAAGGTGGCCACCTTGGAACTGCCCGGGTCTCCCTCAGAGCCCACTGTCCCTGTCTCCAGCCCTCCAGAGGGTTCCAGCATGGCCCCCTGGCAGGCACCCCCCATGGTCACTTCCCCAGACCTACCTATCGTGGCCATGTTACGTGCCCCCAAACTGTGGCCAGAGCCACACTCTACGGTTGAGGGGCAGCTTGGTGACGCCACGGCTGCAGTCCCATTGTCACCAGTCTCAGAGACCAAGGTGTATCCCCCGGGCTCCACAGTGGTCCCCTCTCTGGCAGCCATGGACACACAAACCGGAAATGGCTCTAGCTCCCCTGGGGAGGACATTAAGGGGATCATCTCGACTCAGCCTGTCAAAGCTGAGCACCCCAACTCCAGCCAGTGGGCTTCCGTGGACAGGACCATGACGGTAGATCCTGTCCCCTCTGGGACCACCGCTGAACCCACGAGCATCGGAGGCGCAGTGGGATCTGAGCCAGGGGTCTCCCACGCAGCAGACAGCCCCACTTCTGGGCCTGTGGTCACTGTGGACGAGGTACCGGGCACCTGGTCATCATCGCACAGCAATGGCAGTGTCCCATCTGCACCCCCGGGGGACCCTGGAGTGTTGATGTCTGGAGTCACCCCAAGTTTGGGGCCATGGGGGACTTCAGCTGGAGCTTCCGTGAGTCGTATAGACTCCACAGTTGTGCCGGACCCCAGTGATTCTGGGGGACTTTGGGAGTCTGGACCCCATGTAGTTGAAGGAGCCAGGAGTCACACTTTGAGTCCTCAGGTGGCTGTGCATACAGATGTGGTGACATTGCTCCCATCCCTGGACCAGGCGATCAAGGTGGAAGTCCTGACCACATCCACACTGACCCCCTCAAGCTCCCAACACCATCTAGAGGCAGATGACCAGATGGTGGCCCAGGGGACACTGGGACCTTCGGCCCCTCCACCTCTGGGCAGCCCCCCGGGGAAGCCAGTCCTTCCTTCTTGGACAACCACGGTGGCCAGCATGGACGAAGCAGCCTCAGTGTCCTCAGGAGAGACTTTGGGGCCGTGGGGCTCTCCGAGTGCCCTGCTGCCTGTGTCCCTGGGTACGGTGGAGTCCGAGCTGGAGGTGGTGGCAGGGAGGCCAGGCATGGAGGGCTTCTGGGAGGAGGCAGCGAGCGGAGAGGAGCCAGCCCTGCCGGGGACCCCTGCAAACCGAAGTGCGGACGAGGGTGAGTTCCAAATCCCAGGGTTCCATCCAGCCCAGCGTGGTCAGGGCTGGGGACCAAGGGCTGGGGGAGAGCGGGTTGTCCCATGGGATTTCGGGAGGGAGAGCAGGATGCATGAGTGTCGTACGGGATTCATTTCCACTTTCGTGACCGGGTTCCGGTGGGGGGATCCTGTCTGGGGGATAAGTGTGTGTCACTTTCAACAAGGTCACTGCAGCCTGCCCTTCAAGGCCCCCGCCGGGTCTGGGGAACACAGAGTTGGACACAGACGCCTCCTAGGTGGGGCAGAGGGCGAGAAATTGGAGTTCAGATCCACCTTGGGTCAGGGGACCTTGAGACAGTGGGTCCCAGGAAGGGACAGGGGTGGCAGGCGTCACCTCATTCTATAGACAGCAGCCTAGGTCTTGGGGACAGTCACCAGCGGTTGAACTCAAATGATGTCCACCTGAGCCCAGCAAAGCCCAGAGAAAGCCGCTGGCCAGGTGTCCGTCCTCAGGGCCAGGCGGCCGCAGCTCGGCTGCAAGTCTCGGTCCTTTGGTTGAGATTTTGTCATATTGAGGGGTTTGATTGTTGGTTTTTTTACAGAAACTGATTAAAAAACACGCCTTCTGAGTTGCAAGACAGTCTTATTAGCACAACTGGTTTTGAGTTTGCCCCTCTTCTTGGCGGGAGGAGATGAAGTGCCCCGTGCGTCACCTGCGGGCTGTGTCCTTCCCGGGTTGGGTCAAGCCTTTGGTGCCCTGGATGGGCGCAGGTGACCCTGTTATCACCTGGGTGCTCGGCTGGCCTGCCACTTGACTGGGATTATCTTAGTTAATCCTTAAAAGGTCTTTCTTTATAGGACTGACTTGAGTATGGTCCTCCATGTCCAGATGGGGAGACTGAGGCACAGGGAGGTCAAGCAACGTGGGCATTGAGGCAGTGAGGGCAAAGACAGGAATTTGACAATGGGGTCTCGGTGCAGTGCGAAGGGAGGCAGCAGAGCCCGGCGGAGGGGGGAGAGGGAGGGGACCCTGGTGTCCCCAACCCCCTCTTGCAGGAGAAATGCTAATGAAGCCAAAAATACGCTGGACTGAGTCACCACCAGTCTGTGGGCAGGAGTCGGCAGCGAGGGGCACCTGGCTGGGCTCACGCATCCCCCGCCCGCGTGCCGTCACACGTGCTGGGGCTGCGCCAAGGCCACCGTGCCACCCACTGTCCCCTTTGCTATGCCTCAGGGCACCGCTGTCACCCACCGCCAAGGGACAGGACTTGACCACCCCAGGCGGGCCAGCTGTGACTTCATTCAGTTAACAAGCCGTTATTGCACACCTGCCCTGGGAGAAAGCCCAGTTCCCTGAACCCCGAAAGCTGGCATGCTGTGACCACGCTCTAGAAGGCTCCCAGGATGGGAATATTGTGCCTCTGCTGTCAGCCTGACATCTGGCAGGGACCACAGAGGAGTCAGGTTTCACGTCCATCTCCACTTAATTGATGGAAGCTCAAGTGGCAGTCTGGGGTGCCAGATGGACATGGCCGCCCCAGGGAGAGATGCACACAAGAGCCGTTAATCAGAATAAAAAGTTCCTGGTGTCGGAGGATGAGGCCATTCCCAGCCTGCAAAAAAGAAAAAGAAAAAAAAACATGGAGCCGGGAGCTGTGGCTCACACCTGTAATCCCAGCTACTTGTGAGGCAGAGATTGGAAGGACACTGGTTCGAGGCCAGCCCAGGCAAATACATGAGACCCCCATCTCCACCAATAGCTGACTGGGTGCAGTGGTGCACACCTGTCTTCCCAGTTATGCAGGAAGCACAAACTGGAGGAGGATCACAGTCCAGGTGGTCAGGGCTTAAAGCAAGAGAGACCCCATCTTGAAAATAAGAAACACAAGGCCAGGCACCAGTGGCTCACACCGGTAATTCTAGCTACTCAGGAGACAGAGATCAGGAGGATGGCGGTTCGAAGCCAGGTTGAGCAGAGAGATGTTGGCGCAGCTGGCGCAGAGCCCCTGGGTTGCTGTGAGCACTTGGCTTTTCTTCTGAGGACAGTGGGGAGACATGGAGGGTTCTAGGAAGAGGAGGGGTGACGCTGGTTTGCATGGCTCCCTCTGGTGGCTGTGGAGAGTGACAACAGAGGCCAGGAGAACAAGGAGGAGGGACTATATATCGAGATGATATCTCTCTTTTGAGAAACGATCTCGCTGTGCAGCCCAGGCTGGCCTGGAACTTGCAATCTTCCTGCCTCAGCCTCCCGAATTCTGGGATTACAGGCATGTGCACCATACCCGGCCCATCCCATCTCAATTTCTAGTGAGGCCTCACAGCCCAGCAAAGCAGAAATAAACTCCAGGATGCAGGAACTGGAGATTGGCTCTTGGAGACCCAGAGGCCAGTCTTGCATGTTGGTCGCTGTGCAGCTCTGGGCCAAGCCCCGTCTGTGTCTGGGCCTGGGCCATCCCAGGCTGCCACCCACAGAGCTGCACACGGACAGCATTGTGGTCAGAACTATTTGTATTTCCATTTTATAGATGACTCAGTCAAAACTCACAGCAGTGACTTGGTGAGTGGCAGAGTCTGGGATTAAACCTGACCTCTCGGTTGAACAGCTGTGACTCAGGCCTGTAATCCCGGTTACTCGGGAGGCTGAGATCGGGAGGATCAAGGCCAGTCTGGGCAAACAGTTCTCGAGACCCCCCATCTTTAAAATAACCAGAGCAAAGTGGAGTGGGAGGAGTGGCTCAAGTGGCTGAGTGCCTGCTCTGCAAGCGAGAAGCCCTGAGTTCAAACCGCAGTTGCGGCCCCCCCCCAAAGATCATAACGATAAATATAAACAGGATAATCTCTGTCCCCCCAGTCCCTTCGGATCCCTGCGAGAACAACCCTTGTCTGCACGGGGGGACCTGCAATGCCAACAGCACCACGTACGGCTGTCGCTGTGGCCAGGGCTTTGCCGGGGAGAACTGTGAGATGGGTCAGTGCTCCAGGCCCAGGATGGGAACCTGCTACCGTTTGATCCTAAGCGTTGGGGCGGTGTACCCGGGGGACCCGGGGGACTCGGGACTCAGCACACAAAGAAAAGCCCTGTCCCACCCCCATTTTTTTTTTTTTTTTTTTTAGCACAGCAGAATCAGCTGAAGTGATGTGTCCCCTCCAGGGGACTTGGCTGTGGTGGGCTGGGAGGGAGAGACAAAGGGGTGAGAGGGCTCAGACTCCCCCCAGGAAAGTGTCCTGGAGACCTTTCCCCTCATCCGGGCCAGAGTGGGACCCGCTCGTATTAATGCTAATTTATGTTAATTATGCAAGGCTCCACCCCCTCATTTGCATTACCACCAGTGGGGTGGGGGGGGCGGCTGTGCGGACTTGGGTGAGGTTGGACGGTAGGATCCCGACTGCCATCTTCTGCCGGCTGACCTCTGACCTCTGACCTCTGACCGGTGTCTTCCCACTCCCCTCCAGACATTGACGACTGTGCCTGCAGCCCCTGCGAGAACGGAGGCACCTGTATTGACGAGGTCAATGGCTTTGTCTGCCTCTGCCTCCCCAGCTATGGGGGCAGCCTGTGTGAGAAAGGTGAGCGTCCACTGTGGCCCCGCTGCCCGGGCTGTGGATTTTGGGTTCATGGCTGAATCCCACCGGAGGTAAATGATTACTGTTATTATTTTTGTCTTTTGAGCCGCAATCTTGCTCTGTAGCCAGGCTGTGAGCTCCTGGGCTCAAGTCCACCTCAGCCTCCTGAGCGGCTGGGACTACAGGTGTGTGTCACCATGCCAAGCCTTCACCAATTCAGTGGAATCACTTTCAGTGCTATGCAGCGTTCGCTTTTATTTCCAGAGCTTTTCAACACCCCCAGAAAGGACCCCGTCCACATCACAGTCACTTCCCCACGCAGTAGCTCCTGGCAGCCCCTGCTCTGCCGCCTGTCTATGTGGCTTTGCTGTTTTTTGGATGGCTCGTGTTGATGGAGTCACGCAATATGTGTGTGTCAGGTTGTGCCTGGCTTCTTTTACTTACCCTAGTGTTGACCTAGGAATCCGTTCCTCGTTCTTTTTTACGGCTGAATAGTATTCCATTTATGAAGTGAGTATATTGGCTCCTAACTACTTGGAAGGCTGAGATCAGGAAGATGGAGGTTTGAGGTCAGCCAGGGCAAACAGTTAGACCCCCATCTCCAAAATAAACCAGAGCAAAATGGACTGGAGGCGTGGCTCAAACGGCTCTGCAACCGTGAAGCCCTGAGTTCAAACCCCGGTGCAAGTTTCTATGTAAATACCCGTCTTTTTTCCCTTCTTTGTGACTTATACTCAGGAATTTCAAGCCACTTCCCCAGTGCCAAGAAGATAAATTAATGTGGCAGTGGGAGGTGAGAGAAGGGGGGTGGCCCCTGAGGTGGAGGGGTGACCTTGGCTGGATCACATCTCTAGGGCACTGGCCATGCTTGTGGCTGGTTGACCTTGGATCAAGGTCAGCCCACCTCATACCCATCCCTGTCCACCTCCCAGACACGGAAGGCTGTGACCGAGGCTGGCACAAGTTCCAGGGCCACTGCTACCGATATTTCGCCCATCGTCGGGCGTGGGAGGACGCGGAAAGGGACTGCCGCCGCCGGGCGGGCCACCTGACCAGCATCCACTCGCCTGAGGAGCACAGCTTCATCAACAGTAGGGGCTCTGGGGAGGGGGCCCCAGCCAGAGGGCGGGCAAGGGGATGCTCTGTCCATTCACACAAGCCCTGTCCACTTCTTAATTCACCTGTCTGTCCATTTCCTTCATTCATAATTCACTTCATTTATTCATTCATCAAATGTGCCCCACAGCAGTGAGTGAGCCAGACCTGTGTCCTCAGTGACGTTCTTGGGGAGAGAAGGGGAGGGTGGGGAGGATATGGACAAAGGAGCAAATATCTAATTAAGTAACGTATGATTTAAGAGTTGGGCACCGGTGGCTCGCGCCTGTAATCCCAGCTACTCCGGAGGCAGAGATCAGGAGGATCACGGTTCAAAGCCAGCCTGGGCAAATAGTTCATGAGACCCTATCTCAAAAATACCTAACACAAAAAAGGGCTGGTGGAGTGGCTCAAGGTGAAGGTCCTGAGTTCAAATCCCAGTGCCAAAAAATAATATGTGATTTAAGACTTGTATCATCTGAGTACTCATAGGCTTTATTGTATTATCCTACACCGTAATTTCTTTTAGTACTGCAATTTAATGACTCCTATGATAAAGAGAATAGGGGATAGATGGGAGGGCGCATCTGTGATGCAGGGGATGAACCTAGAGAAAGGAGAGAGTGGCTGGCATTACTGTTTGATCCACTGTCCCTTCTGCCCCAAGTGCATCCATCCCGTCCCCCGCTGATTCTTTCATCCTTCATCCCCCGGCTCCTGGGTCCCTGGTTCCCTTCTTCCTCCCCGGGCGGGAGCCAGCGCCCCCGTATTCGCGCCCCCATCATTTCGCCCCCCCACCTGCTTTTCCCTCCACGTCCAGCCACCTCCAGATGGAAAGGGACTAAGTCCTTCCTGCCACCCGTGCCACCTCCCCTTCTGCCCGCGCCCCAGGCTGGGAACCGGGCGGCCCGGCAGCCTTTATACCGCGCCCAGGCACTCCCCGCCCCGCCCCCGCCCCGCCCCCGCCAATAACACTCCACCCACTCAAGTCTTGCCCAGTCACAAAACGCCCTCTCAAGCCCCGCCCTCCCAGTGCTCCGCCCACCTCTCATGCCCCACCCCCTTCCGCCCATCATGCCCCGTCCCAACACACCAAAGCCCCACCCACCACGCATGCCTCCGCCCACTCAAACCACGCCCACTCACCCAGTCACATCACGCCCCGCACATCATGCCCCTCCCAAACAAAGCTCCGCCCACCTCAAACACCTCCCACTCAAGCCACGCCCACTCCTGCAACGTCCAATTCTCACCCTCTGTCCCAATCACTCCCCACCACCCTCTCCCATCATGCCCCGCCCCACCTCTCTCACCCCGCCCAATCACATCATGTCCCAGACCCCGCCCCTCACACTCCACCCAATCACAGCACGCCCCGCCCCTCGCGCCCCCCTTCCTCACATTGGGCCCCAGCCACGCCCATGACGTCACGCCCCTCACGCCCCTCCCCCAGGCTTCGGTCATGAAAACACGTGGATCGGCCTGAACGACAGGATCGTGGAGAGGGATTTCCAGTGGACAGACAACTCCGGGCTGGTGAGTAGCGGGTCCCTGCTCTCCGCCCCGTGGCCTCAGTTTACCCTCTTGTGCAAAGCAATCGCGGGTGGGCTTCCAAGGTCGCAGTGTCCCTGAGATGCTGGGGTTAGCAGCGAGCATAATAGGGTCCACGTCAGCAGCCCGACCTCCCCCGCCATGGCTGAGGGCTGTCGAACTCCGTGAGAGTCAGGCCTCTTCTTGCTCTGGGCCTGCTGGTCCCCTGGGTCACTCAGTCAGCCACATTGCTCTGCATCCCTGTCCTGCAGAGCCACTGCACCTGTCACCTGGACCCTGGCTGCCCACACCGCTGCCCGCCGTGGGGACTTTGTTTTTCTTTCTTTTTTTGCAGTGCTGGGATTTGAACTCAGGGCTTTGTGCTTGCAAACCAGCCTCTTTACCGCTTGAACCACACCTGCAGTCCATTCTGCTCTGGTTATTTTGCAGATGGGGTGGGGGAGGTCTCGTGAACTATTTGCCAGGGCTGGTCTCGAACCCTGGTCCTCCTGATCTCAGCTTCCCGAGTAGCTAAGACTGCAGACTACCAGTGCCCGGCCTTTCTTCTTTGAGATGAGGTCTCCCTGTGCGGCCCAAGCTGGCCTGGAGGGCTGGGGTTGCAGGCGTAGCCACCCAGCCCTGTTTACACGGGCTTTGAAATCTTACCTCGGTGACAAAGCCTGGGGGCTTCTTCCCCAGCAATGCCACAAAACACAACAAAACTGAACAGAATTGAAAGCTAGTCTAAGAGATACCCCAAAAAAGAGCACCCGAAAGGGGGCGAGAACCCCGGTATCCGTCAGTGCGTGAACAGAATTGGTCCGTCCTTGCGATGGAATAGTATTCAGCCGTAAGCAGCACTGACCGACTGTCCCCAGGCACAACACGCATGAACCTTACAGGCCACAGTGACGGGCTGAGGTGTGGCTCGGTGGCGAGCGCTTACCCAGCGTGCACCATGCCCTGGGCTCATCCTTACCATCGCACAAAAGAAGGCTAAAAGCCAGTGCCGTGAGCCAGACATAAGAGCACAGAGAGGCAGGAGGCGCGTTTAGGGAGACAGAAGGTAGGACTCGTGTTTCCGGGAGCAGGGGAGAGTGGGGAGTTGTTTTTCCTTAACTGGCACAGAATTTCGGCTTGTCGTGGATGAGAGGTTCTGGAAATAGTGTGACGGTTACAGAACACCGAGGACTTCAAAATGGGTAAAGTGAAGGAAAAAAAAAAAAAAAAAGAAAGGAAAATGGGTAAAGAGAGCCGGGTGCAGTGCCTCACAGCTGTAATCCCAGCTACTTGGGAGGCAGAGGATGTGGGTTTGAGGCCAGTCCAGGTACGGGTCTTTGCACCTGCTGTTCTTTTTGCTTGCAACTTTTTTCCCTGTCTGGATCCCTGTCACCTCCTCGAGAAGCCCACCAGGACTTCCAGGCTGAGGTCCCCTTGCATTCAAATCTATCTCACAAGACAGGAGGCAGGAAGGCCAGAGCGGAGGCCAGGGGTGGGGGATGGGGGTGTCACAGGTGCCGCTCCCTCTTCCTACAGCAATTCGAGAACTGGCGGGAGAAACAGCCGGACAATTTCTTCGCGGGCGGGGAGGACTGCGTGGTGATGGTGGCTCACGAGAGCGGGCGTTGGAATGACGTCCCCTGCAACTACAACCTGCCCTACGTGTGCAAGAAAGGGACAGGTACCCCGCCACCCTCGCCCCTTCCCGATGGCTGGTTCCCGTGACCGCCGAGTGCTCTAGCAGCTGCTTAGTTTGGGCGGCACCGGGACTTGAACTCGGGGCCTCACACTTGCTAGGCAGGCGCTCTGCCACTTGCGCCACTCCGCCAGCCCTGTTGTGTTGGGCTTTTTTTGAGCTAGGGTCTCGTGAAGTATTTGCCTGGGGCTGGCCTCGAACCGCGATCCTCCTGATGTCGGCCTCCTGAGCAGCTGGAATTCCCCGCGCATGCTCTGTGCTTGGTGTAAGAATTGGGCTGGCGGCTCACACCTGTGATCCCAGCTACTCAAGAGGCTGAGAGCGGGAGGATCGCGGTTCGAAACCAACCCGGGCAAACAGTTCGAGAGACCCTATCTGGAAAATAACCTGTCACAAAAAAGATAGGTTATTTGGTGGAGTGGCTCAAGGTGAAGGCCCTGAGTTCAAATCCCGGTACCACCCAAAAAAAAAAAAAAAAAAAAAGAGGGTCCACTTCCTTCAGCCAAGGTTCGTGTGTCCCCAGTGTTCTGTGGTCCCCCTCCCACCGTGGAGAATGCCTCCCTCGTCGGTGCCCGCAAAACCAAGTACAACCTGCACGCCACCGTTCGCTACCGGTGCGAGGAAGGCTTTGCCCAGCACCATGTGGCCACCATCCGGTGCCGGACCAATGCCAAGTGGGACCGACCCCAAATTGTGTGCACCAAACGTAAGTGCTGCCTGCAGAGACCCCCAACCTGTGGCGGCCAGGAGCAGTTGGGCATGCCTGTAGTCCCAGCTACCGGCTCAAGAGAGAATCGAGGCAGGAGGACTGCTTAAGTGTCAGTCCGGTAACACAGCTTTGCAGATAAGTGAGAATTTAGCAGCCCGCCCGGTTTGTTTCCTGGTTTTCCTCCTCTGTGGAGGCCTCCCCAACTTTTGTCCCTTCCTGTCCCCTTTCCCAGCCCGACGGTCACATCGGATCCGTCGACACCATCACCACCAGCACCAGCACCAGCACCACCGTCACAAATCACGCAAGGAACGTAGAAAACACAAGAAACACCCCGCGGGGGACTGGGACAAGGACCAAGGCAATTTCTGCTGAGGAACCCGGCACGGGCCCAGCACCGCCCCTATTCCACTCCCGCTCTGGACTTCACCTGCTGAGACACGGCCCACAGAGAAGCCAGAGGGTCTGGAAGCCCCCGAGCCCCACCCGTGCCACAGCCCCACGCATAGTCCCCTGTACAAAGCTCCCCAACCCTCCTCTTTTTCCCCTCCACACGGTCCCCAATGGCAGGTGACCATGTGTCTCAAGCTGAAATCCAGGTGCACCTCCCAGCTGAGGGACCCTCGAGGACGATTTGATCTTTCATTTGCCCATTGTTGAGATGAGGCGTCGGTGAGGGACCAGAGTGTACGTTTGGATTTGTGCAAAGGAATCCCTCTGCACGCCAGAGATCCAGGCTTAGTTTACTAAACGGTTGGCGATTCCTCGATCAGTTAAAGTCACCGACTTTGGGAGGAAATGGCTGCACGGAAGCACAACTGGGAACTTGGACTTCAGCCCAAGTTCTGTCTCTGGTCTTGGTGCGCGATGGAAAACCGTCACCCTGCGTGTCCTCGGAGCTGGGGTGACGATGTTCGGGTCACAGGGAGCAGGGGTATGGCTCCGTGGAACCCCGTTGTTGTGACTGTGGACAGATCCCTCTGTCGGGCACGTGTGAGAGGGGATTTAGGGTCAGAGGAACCCCGGTTTCTTCCCCCTGCCTCTCTCAGGGAGACGAAGAACATCTTGGATCAAGCAGGTGCCCTCTTGTCCCTCGAGCCGCTGCTGTAGTGTCCTTGTCCTGAGTCCCGTCCTATCCCTGCGTCCACCGATGCCTGGTGGACTTAGAAGCCCGTGTCGTGTCCTAGAGCGATGTGTGGCGTTGTTAAAACTGAAACGCACGCACGAACCCCGAGCCTCCTGATCTCTGCCTCCTGAGCAACCGGGATTACAGGCGGGAGCCACCAGCACCTGGCTCTTAGTTTTTAGATGGGAAAAAAATTCACATTGCCCTGCTCCCCAGTTCTACGGCCCACGACAGACTTCCCTGAGCCAGACTTCCAGACTCTGCCTCCGTGATCCTGGGCCAAACCGGGAAGATCTACAGCTTCTCCTCCATGCCTGGTGTCCCACCAGCCCTCCAGATGGGGTCAAATCCGTGGATTTGTGTTGGAGTTGCAGTGGAGCTCAGTGATGAGTGCTTGCCTAGCGTGCGTGAGGCCCCCGGATTCATCCCCAGCACCCCAAATCCACAGTGCAGAATGGCCCACTGCAGGTTGGAAAGAGAAGCACATGTACGGCCCACTTAGGGCTCAGCAGAGAGGGAAATGTGTTAACTGAGCCTGGATCCCTCCCAGGAAGTAATAACCGCACTTGACAATTACGGAGTAGGAATTATGGTAAGGATACAGACTCTGTACACCTGAACCCTCTCGACGTCTCTATGGCTAAGAAAATGTTACCCACCCCCCTCCTTTTATTGTTTTTGTGGGACTGGGATTTGAACTCAGGGCCTCATACTTCCTAGGCAGGCGCTCTACCGCTTGAGCCTTTCTGCCAGTCCATTTTGCTCTGGTCATTTTGGAGATGGGGGGGTCTCCTGAACTGTTTGCCCAGGCTGGCCTCGAACTGCAATCCTCCCCATCTCAGCCTCCCAAGTAGCTGGGATTACAGGCGTGAGCCACGGAACCTGGCTATTGCTGAGGAAACCCAGGACGTAGGTTTATCTTCTTAACAGTTCTAGATTTAATAAGATGATGGTAACACGTCTGCTGTCACCCACGTCCCAGGACACTCGTCCCGGGCTTGGGGACCGGGATGTTGGCTTTGCCTGGGGTCTGGCTCGGTACTCCCGGGGTGTGTGGGGGGCTCCTGTGTTTTCTAGACTTGGGGTTCGTGTTTTGCTCTTTCCCTCGGGGAGGTGCGTGTGTGTCCGTGGCCCCGCGTGGCAGTGCGTGTGCGTGGACGGCCGTGGGCTCTCTTGGTGTTGCCGTGAGCTGCAGTGTTCCGTGGACCTGTGGAATCTGACACTGTGGACATTATTGTACTCTTCTTGGACATTTTAATAAAATTTTTTTAACAGTTCGACTGGCCTGTCGCTGCCTGATCCCTTCATGCATTCACTGGGCATGATCACCCTGGGGGTGATCAGGGAGGGCTTCCTAGAGGAGGTGGATGGAGTCTTTTTTGGAGGGTACTGGGATTGGAACTGGGATCCTTGTGCTTGCTAGACACTCCACAAGTCCTTTTTTTGTGATGGGTTTTTTTGAGAGGGGGGGGGGTCTCGAATTATTTGCCGGGGCTGGCTTCGAACCAAGATCCTCCTGATGTCAGCCTCCTGAGTTGCTGAGATTACAGCTGTGAGCCACCGGTGCGACCGACCGAGTCTTGTTGGTTTGCAGAGGCTACGCCCACACTCTTGGACCAATCAGAGTTGCCCAGCGAGATGAGCCACAGCAGTCATTGGCGGAGCCTGAAGGGGGTGGAGTCAGTCCCCTCCAACCACCACCTTGGAATCAGATGCAATTTGCATACGCATGCGCGAACCTGCGAACGCGCCCCTCCCCATCCATCCTCTGTTGGGGGCTGCCAGGGCCCAGCTGGAGGTCCTGGCCACCCAGGCCAGCGCCTGGTCCCCTGCTTCCCACGCCGGGTCGCCATCTGGGGACTTTCTGGAGGTTGTACAGGTAGCTAGATGGCTGCCACCAAACCCTTTGTTCTCTTCTGGTTTTGTATCCTAGAAGCTTCCAGTCCTCCCCTTTCTTCCCTTCCTGGGCAGAAAGTCCTGACTCAGTTTCCAGTATTTGCCCTGTATTATTAGGACACAGCTAAGGGGCAGACCATGGGTGGAGGGGCGGGGGACAGAAAGTGGGGCGGGAGGAGGAAGGGAGGGTGATGTGGGGGGGCTTCCCCACCCACCCCACCAAGCTGTCCACCCAAGTCCATCCACGAAGGAGTTTCCCATTGGCTGCCTGGTTTTCTCATTCATCAAAAGAAACAAAGGTTTATTGAACCCCAGTGGCGGGGACTTCAGAACAACTCTGGGTACAAGAAGGAAACAGGCTCAGAGGGGTTTTGTCGCTGTTCACACAGTAAACTCAAGAACAAGAGGTGGGATTCGAACCCAAGCCCACCTGCTTCCAAAGTTCAAAGATGGGCTTCCTAGAGGCGGAAGTGACAGTAAGGAGCCTCCAGGGAGGGCTCCCAGGGCTCTTCCAGGAAGGACCTCAGAGCTGGGGTCTCCCACACCGGGGTGGCCTTCTCCATGGCTACCGGAAGCTGGACCCAGAGTTCATCTGGGTCCTGAGCTCTTAGCACAAACCGTCCCCTTAGAACCTGGTGGATTTTGAAGTTTAAGGTGCATTTCTGCCCTCCTGGGTCTGTAAGGAGGGGAGAGGGAGCAGGGGGACAGGGACAGAGAGTGGACCTCGTGAGACCGGGGACAGGGGTCTCAGAGGGCTAAGGAAGGAGAGCTCGGTGCTTGCGCAGCACTGCCTCAGTTTCCCCGCCTGCAGCGTGGATGTGCAGCGTGCAAGGGTGTGCGGTGGCATATAGGGAGCGTGCGTGCAAACTGCAGGAAGTTCCGCCCCATCTTGGGGATGCTGTCTGGGCCTGGGTCCATCTGGCAAAGGGACAGTCATCAGGCCCCGGAGGGGACACTGTAGGCGGCCTCAGCGGGAACTCCCTCCCCCCCAACCCTGCCTCCGGCCCAAGTTCCTGAGAGCTGGGAGGTCGGTTGTCATGGCGACTGTCTCTATGGCAACAGCTTGGTGAGGCTGAGACAGGACCCTGCCGTGTGGGGAAAGCCTAGGGGGACAGGTGTTCGGTTACCTCAGACACCAGAGTTTGGTCTCCATGGCAACAGGCGACGGGTCCGAGCCGCCCCGGGGGCGGAGCTTGGAGGACCGCAAGGAGCTCGGGGTGCTCCTGGGGAAGGGGGGCAGCCTGTTTCCATGGTGAAAGCTTGGAGAAGCAAATGTTGGGTCACGCTGGGGACGCTTAGGGGGAGGGCCGTCTCCATGATGGTTCGTCAGTGTGGGGACAGACAGAAGTGGACCTGTAGGTCCCGCGGGGGTTGGGGGTGAAGGCGGGTGAGATGGGGGACGTGTGGTGTCCATGGTTACAGCTGGAGGAGGGAGACCCCATCTTTGTGGATGTGACTGATGAGGCAAGGGGTGTGTGACTTTACGTGACAGGTGCACTGGTCACCTTGGTGACAGTGGGAAGCCAGGCAGCTGGTCTCCATAGCAAATGGGAAGGATGTTATGGGTCCCTGAGCCCGAGGGAATGAGCTCTTTGGTGACAGCCTGGTAAGGGGGTGGGGTGGGGGAACAGGACGACGGGGCATCTGTGCCTCCCTCGAGAGAAATACCTGAAGGTCAGGCAATGACCGCCACTCCTGAGAGCCAGCTGGGTGTCTGTCCGTCATCTGAAAGGGTGACGGTCGAAGGCGCTTGCCCTTGACACTGGAGGGGTGGGACTGTTTTCCACAGTGGCCTGGGGACACTGCCTATTACCCTGGAAATATTAGGGGATTCTCAGGTAGCAAGAGGAGACCGGGATACTCAGCCCCAGGTCACCGTGGGGAAGGAAGCCCTGAACCGACAGTCTCCATGTGCGTGGTCACTTGGAGAACCCTGAGGTCTGTTTTCTCGCCAGGTGAAGGGGAGGGGAATTTGTGTGACCAAAGGGACCCGTTTTCAGTCTCCAGGGAAATGCAAAGATATGTGTGGGCAGTCTCCAGATAATCCCCGGGACCCAAGGGGGCGGTCCGAGTGTTTCCAGGAGGCCTTAGAGGGGTGGCCTCGGAGGGGAACCACCGGGGTCAGCTGGTCTCCTGGGATCCTGGGGGGGGCGTGGCTCTCCTGGAGAAAGTCGGGGAGCCTGGAATTCCACAGTCCAAAAGAGGTGGGCGTGGCCAGCCTCCAAGGACCCTCAGGGGGCGTGGCCAGAGTCCCCGGCCCTAGAGAGGCCTCATCAGCCTGCAGGGACCGCCAGGGTTGTGTCCAGGGGACCTGGGGAGGGGGAGGGAAGGGGAGTGGTCCGTGTCTAGGGACTTCAAGGGGGCAAAGCCCATCTTCAAGGACTTCAGGGCCGAGTCACCACACAGCCCCAAAGCCGTCCATCCTCCCGGATCCTAGACGCGCAGCGGGGTCCAGGCTGCAGGGTCGCGCGCGCCCCCCGCCCAGCCGCCGCCGCCAGCCCAGCCCCAGCCCCAGCCGCCGGGTGCGGGGTCGGGCGCGCCGGGCGCGCGGTAACAGTAGACACCGAAGAGGCGGCGGGAGGCGTCGGGGAAGCCGAGGCTGCGCACGCCGGGCCGGAGGCCCCCGCAGCGCGCGCGCGGGTTCACGATGGGGTAGCGCGCGCTCCCGTCGGCCAGCCAGCCGGCCGTGCAGCGGTCCAGCAGCTGCAGCTTCCACGCGGCGAACAGCTGCCCCACCTTGGCCACCGCCGCGCCGCGCGCCGCGCACGCGCGCGCCGCTCCCGCGAAGGGCACGGGCCGCAGCGGCTTCAGGAAGAACACGCGGCCTGCGGGGCACGTGGCGATGAGGGGGTGAGGGGACTTGGCCTTGGGGTTCAGGGTCCCACCCCAGCCTCACGCCTGATCTCAGGATCCTTGAACCTCCCCGCCCACCCCCCCCCCGGTGCCACCTGGGACCCCAGCCCTGGGCAGGGCAGCTTGGGTGCCAGGTGGCCAGGTGGGGAAGAAGGGCAGGGGCGGGGCGGGGCCTACGCGTGGAGGGTGGGACTTCTTAGTGGGGCGGAGCCTAGCACTGGGGGCGGGGCCTACGCACCCGGGGGTGGAGCCTTTGAAAGGAGATGTCTATGAAGGACCCTCCTCCTGGAAATGGGGCTTTCCGAGCGAAAAGGGGAGAAAGAGAGGAAGGACCTTCTTCCTGGGGTGGGGGCCTCCCTCGTGGACTTGGGGCCTTTCACACGGGGGGAGGGGCCTCCTCGGGATGGGGGGGTCTCCCCGTAGGGGCGGGGCCTCCCTTGCGGGGCGGAGCCTACGCACCCAGCGGTGGGAACTTCCCGGGGCGGGGCCTATATACTAGGGGGTGGGACTTCGGGAGAGCCTGAGCAAATGAACCACGGGTGGTGCCTCCCTCGCGGGGGCGGGGCCTATGGACCAGGGGCAGGACCTCCTTTGAGGGGGCGTGGCCTTTCACACGAGGGAGGAGGGGCCTTTCTGGGGCGGGGCCTATGTACCTGGTGTGGGGCTTCTGGGGAGGGGGAGGGGCTGAGCCTATGGACTAGGGGAGGGACCTCCCTTGTGGGGAGGTGCCTTCAGCGGGCGTGGCCCTCCTTTTCGGGGGCGGGGACTACACACCCGGGGTGGGGCCTTTGTGTGGGCGGAGCCTATGTACCTGAGAGTGGTGCTTTCTTTGGGGCACTGAGCCTATGAATCAGGAGAGCCTCCCTCGTGGAGCGGAGCCTATAAATCAGGGGCGGGGCCTCAGTCGCGGGGTAGGGCCTATGAAATGTGGGCGGAGCCTACCGTGGGGTGGGGCCTATGGGCCAGGGCCTCCCTCATGGAGTGGGGCCTAGGAATCAGGGGCGTGGCCTATAGAGCAGGTTGGGAGCGGGGCCTGTGGACCAGGGACAGCCTCCTTCGCGGGGGCGGAGCCTCCCTCGTGGGGTGGGTCCTGATGAGCAGGGGCGGGGTCTCGTCGCGGGGGCGGGGCCTGTGGACCAGGGGCGGGGCGTACGTACCCGGCAGGTTGGAGGTGAAGCAGAAGGCGTCGTAGCGCTCGTCTGCGTTGTGGCGGTATCCGTAGTTGCGCACGCCCCCGTTGGCGCCGCCCGCGGCCCCGGCGCTCCCGGCACCGGCCAGGCCACCGCAGGGCTCGCGGGGCTGGCTCACCGGGTACTGTACGGAGCCATCACGCAGCCAGCCCGCGTTGCACCAGTCCAGGCCGTCGCGCCAGGCCGCGTGCAGCTGCTCTGCAGACGCCAGGATCCCGTCCTGCTCGGCGCACGCGCGCTGCGCCTCCGCGAAGCTCAGCTTGTAGCGGCCTCCACGGGGGTGGTAGGGGAAGACCACGCCTGGCAGGGGTGCAGGGCGGTCACCCAGAGCCACACGCCGTCCCCGTACACCTGCCATCTGGGGTGCCCTGTGACTAATGAACTTGGACCTTGCAGCCCATCTCTCTGGCCTCAGACCTGGCCATGCCTCTCCCCAGCCCCACCGGTTTTGACTGCTTTTGCTCTAAGCTTTGGGATTCACTTGACTCCTCGTTAACATACTTGATCATGTCTACCGTTCCGCCGCTGGAGACCATTGCTTGCGTTCTTCCCACCCTTTTCCGTCTAACTCCTACTCATGCTTCAAAGCCCAACTCCTAACCCTCCTGTACATGTCTCCGATAGTCCACCAACAGAGGCCTTCCCGCTGGTCCAGGACTAATCCACGGAGCAGGGAATGTCTGTGTCCAGCGCAGGACTTCCCCAGACTGGGGGTCCCTGGAAGGTTGGGGGGCTTGGTAAGGATCTCTCTTCTCGGCCAGCACTGTTCAGGACGGTACCCTTTGTTTCTCTTCCACCTTGCTCTTAGGACCTTGAATTTGTCCCTCATTCACGGTCAACTCAGCTCTAGAGCGTTTTTGTGATTAAGGGGCAGGGCTGGATGCTCTCAGCGGATCCAGGACGGAGGCAGACGAGGGCCAGGGAGAAAACCTGTGCCCGACACACTGGAGATCGAGTCCCCGGGCCGCTTATTAGCATGTGCCCATTCTCCTCGAGCCAGGTGGCCACCTGCTGGTTAAATAGCTGTCTTCCTTGGGGACTTGGGGAAATTAAATGAGAGGCTCCAGAGAGCTCTTCAGCTAAGTGGCTGGCACATGGAGAACGCCTCATAAAGGCGAGCTGCTCTTAGTTGTTGTTGTTGTTGGAAAGTTCAGCAAGGCAGAGCCAGGAAACCTCTCCTAGGATCTGAGGCAGGCAACCCAGATGGGAGGGAATCCTTCAGATGGAAACCCCGCCTTCCGGCCTCAGGGCCAGCCAATCAGAGCAGCCTGTCTTCTAGCCACAGTGATTGGCTCGCAGATGGCACGTGACTCAAGCTGACCCAATGGCAGACAACTCTGGGACTGTAGCTGCCGCTCCTAGGAAATCAGTTGCTAAACTCTGAGGGTGGACGCCTGGCCTTAGCATTTGTGGTTTTTGGGGGTGCATATGAAGAAACAGAGATGAGGGATGCGTTTGTGACATGGTGCAGGCACCTGGATGTCACTGTACCTAAACCTAGCCCTATTGACATTTTGGACTGGATCATTCTTTCGTTAGGGGGACACTAGATGTTAGTATCATCCCTTTCCACAAATGGCCACCTAAAATGTCTTTGGACATTGCCAGGGTCCCTGGGAAAGCAGCATCACCCTCATCAGAGCCATTGCTCTGACCCACAGAATCTGACTTTCTTCAGCCAGCTCGATCTGCTCCCTGTCCCTTGCAGACCCCTCCTGTGTCCTCCCTTAAAATCAAGCCCCATCCTCCTGGCCATGGGCGGGCAGATCACCTTCTAGGTCCAGCTTGACCATGCCCGCGTCATCTTCCAGCTCGTTGGTGACCTCGCACTCGTAGCGCCCATAGTCCTGCAGGGTGACATTGCGCAGGACCAGGGAGGCGTCCCCGGGCCCATCGTTCTGCAGCTCGGCCCGTCCCCGGTAGCTGCCGAATGCCCGCTGCTGGGGACCCAATGCCACGAAGACGTCAGCGAAGGCCAGCGGGTCCACCACCTTGGTCCACTTGAGGCGGACGCTGTCGTGGCCGTGCGCGGCCGCCTCGTAGTGGTAGCGGCAGGGCAGGACGATGGTGCCACCCCGGTGGCTGACCACTTGCCCAGGCGCGGTCTGCACCACCACGGAGCCCGACTCGCCCTCTGCGGGGCGACCAAGTAGGGGTTAGAGGGGGCGTGGGGTGGGCGTGATCCTGGGGCGTGGCCACCGGGGAGGGGGCGGAGCCATGGGAGAAGGGGCGGGGCCTGGGCGACTGGGCGGATCCGAGGGTGGAGTGGGCGGGACTTCGGGGGAGGGGGTGGGCCCGTGGGGTGAGTGGGTGGAGTGCACGGGGTAGTTGGGGTTGTGGGCGGGGCCTGGAAGCAGTGGGCGGGGCCATGAAAGAAGGGAGGGCAGGGCCCTGGGGTGACTGGGAGGATCCCTGGGTGGAGTGGGCGGGACTGCATGGGGAGTGGGCGGGGACATGGGAAAAGGGAGGGCAGGGCCGTTGGATGAGTGGGCAGAGCCGTGGGTGGAGTGCACGGAGCAGTTGGGGTGGCGGGCGGGGCCTGTGAACAGTGGGCGGGGACATGGGGTGACTGGGTGGTGCCGTGGGTGGAGTGGGCGGGACAGTTAGAGTAGTGGGCGGGGTCGTGGGAGAAGGGCGGGGTCAGGGAAGAGGCTGGGAGAGGGAGCAGCGACACGGAGCACAGTGATGGTTGTAGGACAGGGACCATCTGCCCAGCCCTACCCTTCCCCTCCAGCTGGCCCGGGGTGGTCACCTTCGCCGCCTGTAGGGACAAGACCCACGCGGCCCGGAGCGACTCACCGAGCACATGCACGACCTTCTTCCGGCCCCGCTGCGCCCCCGCGGGGACCGTGAGCAGCAGGAGTCCCCACGCCGCGACCCAGAGCGTGCCCGGGCCCAGGGCCGCCCGAGCGCACACCTGGGACAGACACAGGCGCACGGTGCAGCCTCAGCTCGACCGGGGCCCGCGGGACCCACCGCCCACGGGGAGGTGGACGCAGCCTCCCTCCCCCCCGCCCCGCCCCGCCCCCTCCCCCGCCCGCTGTCCCCGGGCCGGCGCGGGAGGGGGGAGGAGCTGCGCCGCAAGGTTATTTGCGCGCCAGGAGACTGCAGCAAACCCGGGCAGGCGCGGGACAGCGGGGGGAGGGGGGATCGGGGACAGAGGGACAGGTGACAGAGATGGAGAGATGGGGACGGAGAGACAGACACAGGGAGAGATGGGGACAGAAAGACCCGGTAGAGGCAAAGATGCGGAGACCGGGAGGGACGGGGACAGGCGCACAGATGGAGACGGGGAGACAGGGAGAGGGGCCCCGGTGGGAGGAGGAGCCGGGGACACCGAGGAGGTCGCTCCGCAGGAGCCACGGGAACAACCGCGCACCGCAGCAGGAGAGCGGGGAGGAGAATCCGGGGCCCCCCGCGGACCCGGGCCGCACTCACCATCCTGCCCGCCCCGGCCGCGGCTCCGCGCACCGCGCACCGCACCGGCGGCTCTGGGAAGCTCCCGCGGCGGGCGCGGCGCAATCCCGGCGTCTGCCTGCAAGGGGAGGAGCGGGCGGCGGGGGAGGGGGGTGCATTAAAGGGGACGCGCTCCGTGGGAAGGACGCCCGGGCAGGGGCAGAGGAAGGACGCGCGACTGCTCTGCAGAAGGAGTGCACAGATAGCCACGTCCCGGCACTGCTGGTGACCTCCAGCCAGGGGAGGAACCTCTCTGGGCTTCAGTTTAGCTGTCTTTGAAATGGAATGGGGACAGCCAGGTGCAGCAATCCCAGTGCTGGAGAGGCTGGGGGCCACCCTGGAGTCCAGGGCCCATCAGTACCCACAGGAGGAGGAGGAGGGGGAAGGCAACACTGGCATGGGGACCTGGAGCCACAACTGTGCCCCTCCCTGACTGAAGGACCTGGGAGGAGGCACTGGCCTCTCTGATCCATTTCCATCCAGGGGACACAGCTGGACCTGTACCGGGAGCCTGGCCAGTGCTGAGAGGGGTAGGAGCCAGGGGAAGCCCCTGGTGCACTGTGGGCGGAGTCACCCCTGCATTTGGTGCTCCATCCAATTTCAAGGTCACAAACCAGGAAATGGAGAACCCTATCCCCCCAGCCCCTTGGTTGGCTCTCCAGCCTCAGTTTCCCCTGAACGAGCCCAAGGTGGAGCAGGGCTCAGTCCCTATCTCAGACGCATGACCTTGGAGCTGGACCTTTACTTTGTGCAGCCTCAGTTTCCCCATCTAGAATATGAGGGGAGGGGTGAGAACAAGCTGTCACATAGCCTTGGCAGGGTATACAGCCAGTGCTTAATAACTGGACCACACTATTGGTGACAGTGCACTGTATCAGCAGAGCAGTGGCTTTTCTGATTGTGACCTCAGGCGGGGGTCTCGGCCTGTCTGAGCCTCAGTTTCTCCATCTGGAAGACAGAGCCCGACACACCACTTAGAGACAGATGTCCGCGTCTGTCCTGGCCCCTCCGGGCTCTCCACAGCCACAAGAGCAAGGTCCAAGAAGGTCTCAGGCCCTGGCATTGTGGAGCACGCAGGCAGTGACATTTGTGACACGGAAAGGGCTTTTTATTCAAAAAGATCCTGTGGCCCCATGGGTAAATTCTGCAGAAGGGTCCAGGTGGCCTTTGGGGCACAGTGACAATGCTGTCTCTCTTTGCAGGAATGGGTCTCCCAGTTCGCCCACGGGCCTGGACACCCCTGAGCACCCCTCCTCCTGTTGCTGGCTTCGGGCTGAGTCCTGGGGAGCCCGCGGGCCCCTCACTGCTGCTTCTTGGGGGCCGGGGGCGCGGGGGGCGGCGGGCGCTGGAAGAAGGCCGGGCTCCGCAGGCAGCGGAAGGCCAGCAGGTGCGGGCCCAGCGCGAAGAGCGCGTTGCTCAGGAGGAAGCAGGCCCAGGCGTCCTCGGGCACGCGGTAGGTGAAGGGCGTGCGTGGGTGCATGGATGCCCCCGCGTGGGAAAACTGCGCCTGGGGGCCGCACGGAAAGGATGGCGAGGGGCCATGAGTCCCAGCATCACCACTTCCCACCCACCCCGAGGGGCTGCAGTCCTCCTAGCTGCTCTGGCATAAATCCTTCCTGGGTCCCGCTGGCCTGTCCTGACCCCAGGCTTTCTCTCTTTCCTTCAAGGACCCTCAATCAGGCCCCCAGCTCTGACTGGGCCCTCCACGGCTCTAACACATCCCATGGCTCCCTAGCACCCTGAGCACAGCCCCGACAAACGCCCAGAGTTTGGTCTTTAGCTGCCAGTTTCTCTTGCCCTTCCCTGCGTGGAGAACTCATCTTCATACATTGAAACCCTTACCCCTGCCCGTTTCTAGGAAACCTTTGCAATTCTTCTCAGCCCCTGTCCTTCCTCCTCTCTCCAGTTTTGGGGGGGGGTCTGTGCTGGCTGGGCCTGGCTCTGTCTCCCAGAGTAGGCAATTCTGGGGGTACTGGACCTGGGCACACAAACAGAAGTCTGTCCCCTCACCTGGCCGATGGCTCCTGCGAACACCAAGGCCCAGTCGGGCAGCCAGGAGCACCCAGGGACGGTGAGGGCGTAGGCGGCCAGGCAGAAGAAGGGCAGCACGTAGAACAAGTACAGCAGCATCTGGAGGGGGGACCACGCTGAGTGAGCTACCCCAACTCCATCTCACCCCACGGATGATCCTGACATTCCCAGATCCCACTCAGACCCTGCACAAAGTGGCCCTCTATTCCCCTGAGGGACCCCTTCCCCAATCCCCCAACACACTGAGCCCACCCACCCATTTCCAGAAGGGCATGTGACCCTGACCTGGCCAATCAGAACACTCCAGTCCCAAAGCCATAGTGATTGACAAGGGATGGGGCCAATCAGAACCCGCCTGAGTTCTGGGCTAACATTTCTCCTGTGTGTGTGTGGGGGGGGGTGCTTGAGTTGGGTGGGTGGAAACCTGGAGCTGCCTCATCTACCCTACAAAGGAAGCCATGCCAAGGAAGCAGAGCCCAGGCTGGGCATGATGGGTCACGCCTGTAATCCTAGCTGCTCAGGAGGCACAGATCAGGAAGATCACGGTTCGAAGCCAGCCCAGGCAAATAATTCATGAGGCCCTATCTTGGAAAAACCCATCACAAAAAAGGGCTGGCGGAGAGGCTCAAGTGGTAGAGCGCCTGCCTAGCAAGTGTGAAGCCCTGAGGTCAAATCCCAGTGCCACCGAAAAGATACAAAAGAAAGCAGAGCCCAAAGACAGAGGTTTCCTTGAGCACCTGGATCCAGACATACCTGAAGACCATCTGTATTACTTTTTTTTGGTAAGATAACAAATTCCACAAATGCTTCTGCCTGTTTGACTTGGAAACTGCTTCAAGGACGCCCAGGCAGGACAGTGGCCCTGTCCTCCCTCTCCTCCCACCAGCCCTCTCACCTGAACCTTTGGATAGGCCACAGGGTCCCGCAGGTATGGCTCAAACTGGTAGATGTAGACAAAGCAAGCATCCGTGGGGCAGTCGAGCACCACCTAGGGCAAACAGACAGACAGACCAACCACTCACTTCAAACCTCCCACTCACAGGAAGCCTCCCTGCTGCCCCTCAACTCCCAAGGAGGTCCCGAATTCCCGGCTCTGGCTTCTCCCAGCCCTGGTTGGTTGTCTGCCCCTGGGTACACGCTGAGGAGACTAGGGCCTTGTCTTGTCCTGATGTAGCTGGGTCAGACGTGATGAAGAACTTCCTCTGATGACAGAAAGGACAGCTGCAGCTGGCCGCAGCAGACTCACCAGGCCCCGGAAGAGAGTGAAAAACGCAGCAAGGATGAGGTATATGACCAGGGCCAGGTCAGCAGGACGCCGCAGAAGGCTCTTCCCTTGCTGCTCCTGTACCTGCCCCAGGGAGAACCAGAGCGGACGTGAGGTCTGGAACCCAGCAGGCCCTCGGTAAAGGTTCTTCCCTTCTTTCCTGGCAACCACGGAGATCCAAGGACACAAAATCTTTCTCTTCAATTAAAAAAAATTTTAGCCTGGCGCTCGTGGCTCACGCCTGTAATCCCAGCTACTCAGGAGCCAGAGATCAGGAGGATCACGGTTCAAAGCCAGCCTGGTCAAATACTTCATGAGGCCCTATCTCAAAAACACCCATCACAAAAAAGTGCTGGTGGAGTGGGCCAAGGTGTAGGTCCTGAGTTCAAATCCCACCACTCAGCCCCTGGTTCCTTTCTTTTCCTTCCTTTCTCTCTCTCTCTCTCCCCATCTGAAGGTGGGGAGGGTCTTTTTTCTTTTTGGCAGCACCGGGGCTTGAACTCAGGGCCTCACATTTGCTGGCAGCCTCTTCACCACTTGTTTTTTTTTTTTTTTTTCAGAGATCGATAGGGTCTCTCGAACTATTTTCCCAGGGCTGGCTTTGAACCCAGATCCTCCCGATCTCTGCCTCCTGAGTAGCTAGGATGACAGGCAGGAGCCATCGCCACTGGCACCCAGTTGTAAGACAGTCTTTGATGCGAATCAGCTCCCGCAGGGGACGCTGGGGCAGGTTGGGACAGGCCTGCCTGGTTACTAGGCACTCACCATGTTGGGCATGAAGCGGGTTTGCTCCCGGGGCTGGTTGAAAATTCTCATGCCGGCCCAGCTTGGGACCAGCAGGTAGGGGATGGCCAGGAAGAAGGCGGGCCTGATCTCTGAGCTATATTTTCCTGCCATGGCAGAGAAGGGACATCCCCTCAGCCAGGACATCTCCCAGGTCTGGCTGGGCCCATTAGCTGGACCACACCAGAGCCCTAGCCAGACATCTTCATTCCCAGGTGCCATCCTTGCTCAAGCTCCAACACCCCCCATGGCTCCCCAGTGCCCACAAGGTGATATCCAGCCTGCTCAGCTTGACCTGCCTCAGTTTACCTTCTGAGTACAACTCCAGCGGTTCTCTGCTTCCCATGAGAGCCCAGCATCCTGTTATATGTGCTGTACCTCTCAGGATTTACCCATAAACCTTTTGCTTTGTCCCTGGACTGCAAAGCCTTCTGGGTCAACCCCCAGGGTCAGGGGCCAAGAGCCCAGGGAAGAACAGAATTCGTGTGGGCTCCCCCACCCCCAAGAGGAAATGGGGCATAAGGCAGGTCGGGAAGGGGTCTCTGCAGACAGTGGGGAGGGGATGGAGAATCCATGGCGGGGGACAGCCAAGGGGGACGGGATTCCCCCAAGTGGGTCTCTTACCAAGAATATTTCCTGGGAGGAACACCAGGACACTCATGGCGAACGACCCCAGCCAGTAGAGTCCCAGGTTCCGGTACCTCTTTCTGGGAAGGGGATGGGGGTGACTAGAGGGTACCAGCCCCCTGGGCTCTCTGGTTCCGGAAAGCCCTCTGGCTTTTTCTCTTCGGTGCTGGGGACAGAACCCAGGGCGTCCTGTGCGCTCACCACTGAGCGGCACCAACCCTGCCTTCTCAGTTTTGCCTAGCTCCGTGGAAGGGACAGCCAGGGGCTGACTAGGACAGCCGTGGTCAGCAGGGGCAGTGTGGACAGGAGCCAAGACGGGCCACCTCCACTCACATCTGGCAACATTACCCTGGGTGCAGCCCTACAGGTCCTCCTGCCAATGCCCCCAAGACCTGGAACTCCACCGGAGGACTCCATGTCGCCCAGGGTCCAACCGCCACCCCAGCGCACCTTGTGCGGATGGCGCCGGCCATGGCCAGGTAGAGGAGGTAGTGGACAGTGCCGTCCCAGTAGCAGATGAGGATGCCGTGGGCTGTACGCAGGTACGGCTCGCCCTGCGGGGGACAGGTGGACGCTCAGACCAGTGGTGGTGGGGTTGCGGGGCTCCCCGGCCACCCCGCACGCACCTCCTTGGTATAGAACTCCATGAAGCCCTCCACGTAGCCATCCTCCTGCAGCGCGATCATCAGGTCCACCACCGAGGTGAAGGCGAAGACCGCGAAGACTGCAGGGGAGAGGGCGGGGCCGGTGTGGGCGGGGCCAGGGCGGGTGTGGACCAATTACAGTCAAGCTTTGGGCGGGACCAGGGCGAGCGTGGGCGGAGTTTGGGCCAATTATGGTCAAGCTTGGGCGGGACCAGGGCGAGTGTGGGCGGAGCTTAGGCCAATTACAGTCAAGCCTTGGGCGGGACCAGGGCGAGTGTGGGCGGAGCTTAGGTCAATTACAGTCGAGGTTTGGGCGGAGCCAGGGTGAATGTGGGTGTGGCTAAGACCAACTGTAGTCAAGGTTTGGGTGGGGCCAAGGCTAATGTGGGCGTGGCCAAGACCAACTGCAGATGAGGTTTGGGGCGGGGCCAGGGCTAATGTGGGCGTGGCTACGGCCAACTATAGTCACGGTTTGGGCGGGGCTTAGAGCAGCAGGCGCCGGGCATGGGCTCCAGGACCAGCCCCTGTCTTCATTCCACGGGTTACGAGACCCAGCCCAGCCTCATTCTGCGTGACTGATGGAGGAGGAGGGGGCCTGTCCTGATGGGGAGGCACAGTCCCTGCGTTTGGGGGTCCCCAGCTTCCTGGGGAGGCACCACACTGCCCTCAGGAGATATAGGAGTCTGAAGCGGGAGGCTCTTTGAGGTTCCCCACTCTAACGCGGGTGTCCGAGTCTCTTTGGGGTCTCCAGTCTGATGGAGAAGGCCCCAAATCTGAGGGTGGAGGTCCTTGCTCAGACAGCCCGCCTCTCCCAGGGACTCACCAGCATAGAGCGGGTCATAGGCGGTGTCCACGCGGCCCAAGTTGTAGAAGGCCGTGAAGAGCAGACCCAGGATCAAGGCACTCATCAGCGCCACCCACAGGGGGCTGAGGAGAGGACACCAAGTCAGAGAGGCCAGGCCCAGTGCGCGTGCCTCCCTCTCCCCCGCCACGTAACATGAGAGCCAGGTAACATGGCAGGCGCATCCGTGTGTCTGAGGCTCCCAACTCCTCCTAGGTAAAGTCCAAATGCTTCCATCCACTCCACCCCGCCCGGGTCTCCTCACCGACCTGATAAGACAGGTCAACCAGCTGCACAGATAACAGAAGCCAAAGCTCTGCACTTCCTCCAACATGAGTGGGCAAAGCAAGGTTCAGAGAGGGCGACAGTCTTGTCCAGGGTCACACAGCAAGGTTCTGTTCGCCAATTTCCCATCCTTTCTGAGCCCACCTGTCCCGAGGGTCTCCATCCAGGCCCCATCTAACCAGCACGTCGATGATAGGACAACAGTCTTTGCACACAAGTTGCTGTCCTTATCCGTGACTATGGGATTGGAGCTAGGACGACTTCCATTATACAGATGAATAAACGGTGGCTTGGGAGGGGGTGACTTGGTTCCCTTAGGGTCCCAGGAGACGGAGACAGGTGTTTGCACCCGGGCAGCCAAGACCACAGTCAAGGTTCTCCTTGTCTCACAGCTTGGATGGAGCTAGTTTTGGGGGTTACTCGGGATCTTGGGACACCATGTGTGAGGGAAAGGTGTGTGGGTGGCAACAAGAACTGGGTCACCTGGGCCTGACTTCTCTGGGACAATACTTTGACCTTTGGCGACTTTGGAACTTGCGAATGGCGCATCCCTGGGCGCACCCCTGAAACCCTTCAGAGCCCTGTCCTAAGTGGAGGTCCTACTCCTCCAACACCCGTCTGTTCCTCCCAGTCCCCGCCACCGCGTGTCCCCCGCAGCCCGGCAGGAAAGGGACTTCCGGTCAGAGGCAGCCGCGCTCGCGCCCAGCCCCCACCCCGCGGGGTCCGGCGCGCATCCCCGGTCCCCGCCGTCCCGCGTCCTCTCCCCCCCGCCCCCGCACGCACTGCGACAGCGCCGAGACGCGGTTGAGCGCGTAGGACACGGGGAGGGCGCCGAGCGACAGCGCCGCGACCTTGCCGGCCAGCGGCGGGATGTCCATGGCGGCGGCGGCGCCGGGACCCCGGCTTGGCCCCGGGCGACCTCCAGCGCGCTCGGATCCGCAGCTGCAGCGCGTCCCAGGACGCGGGATGGCCGAGGACCCGCCCCGCGCAAAGGTCGCCCCCCGCCGCCCTCCCCCGGCAGCCCAGGCCCCGCTCCCGACTGCCACGCCTCCGCGTCCCCGGGCACCCTAGGCCCCGCCCCTTAGGCAGCCAGGCCACGCCCCGGCCACACCCCCGCGCCACCTGGACAGCACGGACCACGCCCCCGACCACGCCCCGATCCAGACATCCAAAGTCACGCCACCCGTCACTCTCCCCGGACAGCCCAGGCCACACCCCCTGCCCCTCCCTGCACCGCCTGGACAGCCCAGGACCCGCCCCCTTTCTCCCGGACCACGCCCCCCCGCTCCGCAGACAGCAGAGGCCACGCCCCGGCCACGCTCCACGTGCTCCCCGGGCAGCCCAGCCTCAGTTTCCCCTCCAGCCAAGGCTGGGACTCCTTCCTTCTCCAGGCTTTTTTTGTGCCTGCTTTCTCGGACCTAAGACCCTGGTGTCCCAAAAGAAGCTGCGCCTCAGACCACCCTCACCCCACCCCGGGATCAACCCACTTTGGCACGGAATCCCCTTCCGGGCACCTGGACTTGAGGTTCTCCCGGGCAAACTGAAACACGTGTCCAGTGCAAAGCTTTGACTGAGGGGGCCGGGGCTTGGGGACGGTGGGGAAGTGGCTCAAGGAGGGCCCCCTGTAGGGGTGGCAGGGTCTCAAGGGCAGGCCTCTGAGATTAGAACGCCCCACCCCGCGTTCCTCGGAGCTGGGCGGGCCAGGGTGTCCTCCCTCCCAGCGGCCTCACTTGCCCAGGTAGGTGGAGGACTTGCGATTGATGTTGAGGGTGGATTTGAACCCTGCCCTGATGGTCAGGGCCCTTCCACATGCAGCCCAGTGGCCTCCCGGTCATTTAGGAATGGCTGAGCTGGGCTGCATCTGGCCGGTGAGCTTCAGGCTTCTCTGGGAAGACCCCACCGTCTTGTGGCATGGCCTCCTCCTCACCTCTCAATGCAGGTCACCGTGGTACCTCCTCCTCCAGGAAGCCCTCCCCGTCTGTCCCTGCCCACACTCCCCATAGGGTTCCCAGGGTGTCTGTACCCGGCTGCTTTGGGACCTGGCCAGCCACCATGTCCAGAGTGCCTGCACATGCACACAGCATTTGGTGAGCTCTCCTTCCCCCACCAGAGGGTAAAGTCCATGCCCTGCCTGGCGAGCCTCCAGGTGACCCAGATCTCAATGGAGGTGACTTAGTACCTGGCACCAAGTCCCAGGGTCCCCTGGGCCTCCGACTGCACAGATTGATGCCCATGCCTGAGGCCCCAGCCTGCTGCCCTCTGGGTGGCCTTCCACGTGTGAGCACTGGGGCTAAACCCACCGTCACCCTCTGCCCTACCCTGGTCAGTCAGAGGGGACACAGGCTGGCATGTGACCCCAGCACTGGGGCAAGTGACACCTTCCTAGCTGCCCTGCACCTTCAGCTCCCTGGCTCCTCTCGGTGGCTTCTGAATAGCTTATCCCATGGCTGCAGCTACGGTGACCCACCGCCAGCCTCAGTCCCTGTCCATACTCGGTTCAGTTGTGTTCAATGACTGACTGAAGGATGGTCCAGGGGCTCCACTCCAGCCCGAGCTCGGGAGCTAGTGAAGGTCCCTGCGGGCTGGTGGGGTGGGTAGGTGGGTGAGATGCCCAGCTCTGATTCTGCAAGTGTGGCTGGCAGGCCAGAGCTGGGGGCAATGCAGATTCCTGGGCCTGTTGCCCTGGGATGAGTCTTGGCTGAATGAGTTCCTGGGTGGTTTCTGTGCACTGAAATGCCAACCCTGAGGAGATGCAAGAAGCCTGGTACCCCCTCAGCCTGAGCCACCCTCCTGCCTCCATGCAGCTGTCCCCAAAGGGATGAGCCCCAGGAACCAGCACACTGAGCAGCCTAGGCTGCAGCCACGGCCAGTGTGGCTTGCCATGTGTGCTGGGCCCTAGCAGGGTAAGAGGCACGGGTGTGCCCTGGGGCTGCCTCTCCCTGAGGTGTGTCGGGCTGGCCGTGGGAGCCCTTGCTGTCCCTGTAGGGCAAAGAGGCAGCGTCCGGCCTCACTGAGGGTCAGGTGATTGTGGTACAGGCAGGGAGCAGGCCACTGGTGCGGGTGAGCACTGGGACTTTAATGCACATGTGACACGAGTGACAACAGGAGGAACGGGCAGAACCACAGCCCAAAGCTTCCCACAGTCCAAGGACGGCCGTTGAGAAAGCAGGCCTCGCGTCTCTTCAGTAGTACGGCCGCCGGGGGTTGTTCTGTGGAGGCCAGAGATCAAAGGGGAAGTCAGCGGCCTGCTGGGGACAGGCAGGAGGGACCCCCGCTGCCCCCTCCAGCCCCACGCCGGCCCCGAGGCCCTGAGGAGCGAGGGAGCACGCACCAAGGGGTTGGGCCGGAAGCGGTAGGCCAGCATCATCCTCTTGCGGAAGGCCTCGTACTCGTCGTCCTCCTTGGAGAGCTCGGCCGGCCGGTCGATGCCGAAGCCGGCCCCGTCCACCGTGGTGGTGCCCCTGCGGAGGGGGCGCCAGGTGAGCGGCGGGCTGCGGGGCAGTGGGCTGCCCGGCCCAGCTGGAGGGGCACTGCTTTCTCACTCCCTCTCTCGTTAGAGCGAGCTTTTTCTCTCCTTCCTGGTTATTACTGAACCTAACTGGGCTTAACTGGGGGCGACTGGAGATTTCAGAAAAGACACAGGACAGACAGACAGGAAAGGTGTGTTGGGCGCTCAGGTGGAGATGCACAACCCTCATTGCTTCTTTGCTCTATCTTGATTCTTTAAGGCTTTACTCCTTGCAGTTCTTTAAAACCTTTTTCCTTAGGCTTGCCCTGTCCCATGTCTTGTCTTTAGCCTAATCGCTCTTAAAGTCTTTTGCCCCAGGCTTGCAGCTTTTCTTTAGCATTCTCTCTTTAGCTTTCTTAAAGCCTCAGTGCTCAGACTTGCAAAGTCTCGTCCTTTATCTTGCACTGCCCCGTGTTCCCTTTGGCTTTTCTTTAGCTTCTAAAGCCTGTGTTCAAATTCTTTCTTTTCTAAGACCTTTGTTAAAAGTTCTCAATGCAGACTTTCTATCAACCCCTCTTCAGCAATTTCCCTTTAGCAATTCTTTTCCCTTCAGTAATTCTTTTCCCTTCCAAAAGCTTCCTGCACCAAAAAGCCCAAAGCAAACGCTAAAGCCCCAAAGCCCAAAGTAAAAACCAAAGGCAAAAAGCAAAAAAAAAAAAAAAAAAAAAAAAAACCCAGCCGCAAACCAGGTGGAGCAAGGCTCTCGGGAGGCGTGACACTGTCACAGGAGAAACCTGCGCTCCTGCTTCTCTGAACGCAGGTGCAGGAGGAGCAGCCATTCTGCTCTTTTCTGTTTGTGGCCGGGCTGTGCCCATATTGGCAAGTGAGTGCGTTCCAGTTCTCACAGGCTTTTCATGGCCCGCTCCCCACCTGCAGGCACTCACTTGTTCACCGGGTTCTTGATGCCCTGGCCCTCGGAGCCCAGCCCCTCGCCCTCCTTCCAGCCCATCTTCACGAGCATCTGGTAGCCGATGTTCTCCACCGTCAGCTTGAACTCCTTGTACTCAGAGTAGTCGGGCTCGCGGCCCTCCTGCGGGAGGGAGGTGGCCGTCAAGCCTGGGGGAGTGGGGCCCTCCTGCCACGTGCCCTGTCCCCTCCCCACCAGCACGGCGTCCTCAAGCACAGATCGAGCTCTTCATCCTTCCCTGGGTCCTCAGGGTGGCCAAGCCAACAGGGGCAGGGTGCCAGGTTAGGCAGGCCTTGGCAGTCATGGGAAAGGCTAATGCTTCGTTCATATCTGGGAACCACTCGCCTCTGCCCTTCTGAGCTGGGTCTCGCTCTGCAGCCCAGGCTGGCCTGAACTCCCAGGCTCAAGTGGGCCTCCTGCCTCGGCCTCCCCAGAGGCTGGGGCCACAGGTGCATTCCCGCCGCGGCTGGGAACACTTTGCAGAGTGCGGAAGCGCTGTGGGCAGTGGGGACGCCTGTCTCCAAGCGATGCTAACAAGAGCTTGGAGTGGCCCCGACCCCAGGCCGGTGCCAGCTCACCTTCAGGGCCTTGAAGGTCTCCATGAACCTCTCCAGCTCGTCTGGGGGCAGGAAGTCCCCGATGAAGTGCTTGCCCCGGCCCATCTTCGTCAGCTGCTCGGCCCACTCTGCCAGGGACATGGGAGGAGGGACAGGGAGTGGGCCAGGTGGCTCCTGGACACAGGGACGCGCCCTGGGGGCAGCCCGGGGCCTCCGAAACTGAGGTGGCTGCTAGAGCACCTTTCCCCGCAGGGTCACCCTTCACCGCAGGGCTCCCCCCGCCCCCGCCTGCCCCACACTGAGGAAAGCAAGGCACAGAGGAGCTGACTGCCACCCGAGGCATCCCAGCAGAAGAAAGGAGAAGCAGGCAGCCCCACGCACCCCGTGTCTTGTCCATCTCCATGCGCCGCAGCTGGTGCTCCCAGGTGCCCAGCTCGCTGTCCACCTCCTCGTCACTGTCGTAGCCGTGCTGGTGCTGCTGCAGCGCCTTCTCCCACAGCAGCTGTACATCCTGCATGGCCCGCTTGTGCTGCATGATCATGTCGTACATCTGCTGCATCTGTGGGGCGGGTGGCACGGGAGGGGCGGGGAGGGAAGAGGCAGACACCGCAGTCAGTGCTTACCCTGGCGCAGGGCGGGTGGGACGGGACGGGGCTCGGGGCGCCCTCACCTCTTGCTGCTCCTTCAGCTGCTTCTTCTGCGCTTCTGACAGCTCGGTGACGCCCACCAGCCCCACGGGCTTCCCCTTCTCGTACCCGAGCCCCTTGAGGTCCTGAACTGCAGAGTGGAGACAGGGTGGTCAGCAGCGACCCTTGCGCTCCTGTCCCACCCCAGGTCTCAGCTCTGAGCATTAAGACCGGCCTGCTGTCACGGCTGTCAGTGTTCCATTCTTCCCGATCTCTCCAGGAAGTTCTATGGCCCCATCGGTGGAATCAGGAATCAGAGAGAGACGGGACCCTGCCAGTGTCATACAGCTAACGGGCGAGGGGACAGGGACAGTGCCCAGCTGGAGATAGGAAGGCCAAGCTGGGCACCTGCATGTGTGCACCTGCATGCATGTGCACGTACTTAAAGCACAGTGGCTCAGAGGGAGGCCCTGACGCTAACACATTTCCGGTACAGACGCACAGGGACTGAGTCTGGAGGGGGACTGACCCATGTGGCTCCCTAGCTCCTCCGGCGAGGTGGCCAACCACCCTCAAAGCTGCTATTTAATTTGGTGTTGGTTTTGGAACGTGGCTGGTGCCAGCCACACTGATCCACGGGAAGACACTGTGACGGCCCCATCTGGGTGGTAGAAGCAAGCACACCCCTGGCATCTTCCCGGGGTCGGGGGGGTGGACAGAGACCCTCTGGGAGGGGAAACAGCCGAGTCCTCTGCCCTTCAGACTGATCATGGAGCCTATGGTATGGTTTTGGGCAGAGCATTTGCCTGGCAAACATGAGACCTTGGGTTCCAACCCCAGCACTACGTGTTGAAAAAAAGGTCCCCAGTTGCCCCTGGGCCTTTGCATGGGCATGCTTGTCCTATAGACAGTGAGCATGGCCTCCTCACCTGCAGGGAGCAGAGGCCCAACCTCAGGGGTGGGGTTTTAGGGGGTGCCTGGCTGGGCATCTTGGAGCTGGGGTGCAGGTGTGTTAGATAAGCGCCCCGATCTAGTGTCCTCTGTTCTGGATGGCAGGAGTGCGCCAGCCCTGAGTGGAGTCCTTGCAAGTTCTAGAGCCTTCACTGAGGGGTTTTCTATTTGACCAGAACCTCTGAGGCCCAGGAGACCAGGCAGGCATCGAGCAAGACACTGGTCCTCAGAGGTGGACAGAGGGCCGAGAGGCCAGCCAGAGGCCTGGGGGACATGCCCTCTTCCTTGCGCCTATCCTCCTCTTGCAAATGCAAGTGATGGCACCCGTGGACTCCCTCATGCACGTGTTGACCTACGGGGGAGACCGAGACCTGCCCGAGATGGCCTCTACAGCCACGACGGCCAGCTGCAGGAGAGGCTCAGACACCAGGCCCCATGCCCGTGTGGGTGCGTGGAAGTAAACAAGAGACCAGGCCACATGATGGCCGTACCTGACACTGCCACAAGGAGGGTGAGGGCAGAAATGACTGCCACGAAAGGTGCTTCCTGAACACTTCCTGAGTGCTCTATGACAAAAACAACTCATGGGGGATGGCAGTGCCTCAAGTGGCACAGTGCCTGCCCAGCTAGCCCCAGGCCCCAAGTTCAACCCCATCCCCAAAAGCCAATCCGTGCAGTTCACAGTTTAAGGCAGAGAGCAGGAACTGTCTGTGTGACCTCAACCGCAAGAGACACACAGACTGAGTGAAAGGATGGAAAGGATGCCACCCGGTAGCAGTGACTGCAACATGTCCCTGGGATGGCTGTGCTGGTACTGGACAGGACAGACTGTGAGGCCAACAGCTTACAAGAGCCAAGAGAATGGCGTATGGGGAAAAGGGGGTTGAGCCAGGAGGAAGGTGACATCACAAACCTGCACCTAACAAAGTTCCCAAAACCTGATGTGAACACTGGCACTGAAGGGAGAAAGGCGACCTGCTGTCAGGGCTGGAGCGTGTGGCACGCCACTCTAAGCCGTGCTGTGTGTGCAGGGCTGGGGACGGGGGCCAGCGCTCACCACTGAGCAGCAGCCCCAGTCCTGAGTATGTTGTGGGAATAAACTTAGGCTGGGGCTTTTCTGTCCAAGAATTTAATCAGTAACCGTGCCGTTACAAATGTCAGGCTCACTGACCCGCTGCCCATACGCTTGCTTTAGGGACTCTGTTAACATCATAAATCCTCAGCTAGGCCCGGGCAAAATTCTGCGAGATGCCCTGGTTCTAGAGCTAATTGCCAAAAACAGTTATTGCTGCTCTGAAACTTCTTTGTTCCCAAAGCCCCCTCCTAACCTGGCCCCTTTCTAATCAGCCAACTGAGTAGACTGATCCCCAACCTGCCCAATCCAGGGGCAGCAGAGGGACAGTGTGGCCTCACGTGAAACCCCTGCGTCCTCCCGCCCAGTGTGCAGACCTCCCAGGCTTCCTGGAGTGCACCCTTGCCTGTTGACTGCTGAGTAGTGTCGCCTCTCTCGTGACACCCCAAGATCGCAAAGCTATTCTAACATTGTCACTTTTTTTCCTCCATTGTGGTACTGGGTTTTCAACTCAGGGCCTACCCTTTCAGCCACTCCACCAGCCCTGTTTTTTGAGATACGGTCTCTCAAACTATTTGCCTGGGCTGACTCTGAACTGTGATCTTCCTGATCTCTGCCTCCTGCGTAGCTGGGATTACAGGCATGAGCCACCAGTGCCTGGCTGAATACGTCACTTTTTATAAATGACAGAACACCTAGTCAAAAGGTCAAAAAGAACGTCAATAAGGATAAAGAGGACTGACAGTGATGTAAACCAACTAGGTTTAAGAGACTCACACACGACATGCAACCCGATGACGGTTCTTAAGAGCACAAGGAACCGTTTTCTGGATAGACTAAGTTAGGCTGCAAAGCAAATTTGAAATACCAAGTATGTTTTCCAGTCACTGTGAAATGAAACTACAAGTCCAAAATGAGGGAGACTGGAAACCTGACACATACCAAAAAATTTAGTAACACACTCTCTAAGAAACAATGGATCAAGCTGCTGGTGGCTCACGCCCGTAATCTCAGCTACTTAGGAGGCTGAGATCAGGAGGATCGAAGTTCAAGGCCAGCCTGGACAAATAGTTCTCAAGACCCCATCTCCAAAATAACCAGAGAAAAATGGACTGGAGGTGTGGCTCAGGCGGTAGAGCGCCTGCTTTGCAAGTGCAAGTGCAAAGGCCTGGATTCAAACCTTAGTCCCACCAAAACAAAAACAGAATGGATTTTATACCAGGACTAGGACCAAGTGGGGTTTATCCTAGGTGTGCATGAAAGATGGTTCAACATATGGAAATCATTGTGGTATAACATTAATATTTATAGAATGAGGAGAAAATCATACAATTTTAACTGATGCAGAAAATAAACAAATAAACCACGTGACAGACTCTAAGACGCTTTGATAACAAAAACGCTCACTAAACCTGGAATACAGGGGACCTTCTTCAGCACAATTAAAGCCATGTTTTTAAAAGGCACTGGCTGAGGGTGCAGCTAAGTGGGAGAGTGCTTTCCTAGCATGTGTGAGGCCCTGGGTTTCAGTTCCAGCACTGCAAAAAGCAAAAACAAAAACCTCCACAGCTAGCATCCTATTGGCGGTACAGAACTGAAAGCTTTCCCCTAAAATCGGCAGAAGGCAAAGACACCCACTCCTGCCACTTCTATGCAGGGTGGCAGCGGAAGTCCTGGGCAGGGAGAGTCGGCAAGAGAAAGAAGAAAGAGGCTCCAAACTGGAGAGGAAGAAGCAAAGCGTTCCACCACAGGTGACACAACCTTGTGTGTAGAAAACCCCAAAATACACACACCATGTGCACTTGAGCACACACACACCTTTGCTAGAACTAATAAACAAATTCAGCTAAGTTACAGGACGTAAGAGAAACACCCCAAAGTCAACTGAAGCCAGCTGTGGCAACTCATGCCTGATGAGCAACCTGGGAGGCTGAGGCAGGAGGACTGTGAGTTTGAGGTCTGTCTCAAAAAACATTAAAAAGGGCCAGGGATGTAGCTCAGTGGTACAGCACTTGTCTAGACTCTGAGTTCAATTCCCACAGAATTAAAATACTCAGAATATAGAAAGAAGTAGGACTCAACAACAACAACAACAAAAAGACAATCAGTCACCTGTCAGTGGCTCACACCTGTAAATCCTGGCTACTCAGGACGTACAGACCAGGAGGATTCCAGTTCAAAGTCAGCCCAGGCAAATAGTTCCTCGAGACCCTATCTCAAAAACACCCATCACAAAAAAGGGCTGATGGAGTGGCTCAAGTTGTAGAGCACCTGCCTAGCAAGAGTAAGGAAGAGTTCAAACCCCTGTATTGAAAAAAATAAAATAAAGAAGACAACAAACAATCCAATTTAAAAATAGGCACTGGTGGTTCACATCTGTAATCCTAGCTACCCGGGAGGCTGAGATTGGGAGGAATGCATTTCGAGGCCAGCACACGCAAATAGTTCACAAGACCTCATCTGCAAAACAGACTGGGGGCGCGGCTCAAGTGGTAGAGCACCTGCTTTGCAAGCAAGAAGCCCCCGAGTTCAGACCTCAGTCCCACCAAAAACAAAACAAAACAAAAGGCTTAAAGGACTGAGGGGTCAAGTGGTAGAACATTTGCCTAGCAGGTGCAGAAGCAAGCCCAAGCTCCCGTACTACCCAAGCAACAACAGGGCTGCAGGACTGGCTGTGTTAGAAGTGCACACAGCTCAGCATGGAGCATGTGCCTACGTTTCATCCCCAGAACTGGAGAAAAAAAAGGGACAGAGCCCTGTGCCTGCACATATACACCTAAGCGTTTTGTTTTTTTTGAGATGGGGTTTGGGTATGCAGCCCACACTGGCCTGGAACTCGTGACCCATTTTCTAAGAGGAACGTGAACATTCACAGACCTCAGCATCTAGGCCCTGGTGGACGGTGAGGGTTGCTGGAAGCGCAGATTATTCATCCCGGGAAGGAACAAAACCGTGCTACAGCTACCACATGGGTGACTGCAGAGATCGGCTCAGCGAGCACTGCAGACCATGACAGGAGATGGGGTCAGCCCACCTGACAGGGGCGAGGGAGCGGCGTCCACGTCCCGCGGCACCAGCTCGGCAGGCGGCAGCTCCACTTTGTCCTCTTCGGGCCCCCACCGGCTCTTCCGCTTCCTCTTCACGGTGGTGGTGGAGGCTGGTTTCCCAGGGACAGCAGGAGAGGGGGCGCTAGCAGGCGTGGGGGCAGGAAAGGTGGGGCAGGTGGTGGGCAGGGGTGAAGGCCCTGAGGGGGCCTCTGGAGGGGACCTGCGCTTGAGGCTGAGGTCCAGGTCAGTGGGCGTGCCCGCGGAGCCTGCCCTGGCCTTTCGGAACTCCTCCAGCTTCTGCCGGTAGTATTTGTACCCCTGGCTGTTAGGCTCGTACAGAAAGCTGCAAAGTAGAGCAGGGAGGGATACCGTCAGCTGGGCCAAGCTCCAGGCCCTGGGTCTGGGCAGGGGCAGCTTGGGTACTACCCAGGTCATAGTCTCTGCCAGGACATGTCTGCAGGCTCCAGTGGCCCTGGCATGAACGATGCGACACGCCCACAGCCTCCTCAGCACCCTTCCTGCCACCAGGGGCTGCCCCAGCCTCTATCAGGCGTCAATCACACTGTCAACAATGCCTAGCTTCCAAGTGCGGGACGGGAACACTCAGACTGCCCAACCTGACAAGTTTACGAGGCAGGGACGTGAGACGGCCGCTGCAAGCAGGGACTGGGCTGGGTGCCAGTGGCTTACGCCTGTAATCTCAGCTACTCAGGAGGTAGACATCAGGAGGATCGCAGTTCAGAGCCAGCCAGCGCAAATAGCTCATGAGACCCCATCTCGAAAAAACCCAATACCAAAAAGGGCTGGTGGAGTGGCTCAAGCCAGAGAGCACCTGCCTGGCAAGTGTGAGGCCCTGAGTTCAAACCCTGGTGCCCAGTCTGGGGACTGGGCTTTGTGGCTGCCTCACACCTGAACTGGAGCGGAGGTGGAACGGCTTCATGTGGTCCGCACACTGCTGGGGCCACATGAGGCCCGACATTAAAGCATCTGGCTCTGGTCTCGTGGGCATGCCCTCCCGATGGCCATCCTGGACACCCACCCCTGGCCTGCTGTACCCGCAGATATGCAGGTAAGCTGAGAACTCACTGCCAACCCTATCCAGCCGGACAGAGGGCTGCACGGGTGCCTCAGACCACCTGATCCAATGGCACCTCTTGGTTATGACATCAGGAGAGGCTGGGATGGGGCTGAACCCTGGACGGCTCTGAGGGCACAGCCACCTGGGCTCAGCGCCTTGACGGAATTCCACAACCTTGCCCACTTGTCCTGTGATAATTGCCAGTCAGTGTCTGCTTGTAATGAAGACAAGATGACTTCTTATTTAGACAAGCTTAATTAGACAAATAAAGAAGACTATTAAGCAGCCCTGGTGGCTCCTCTAGCTACTTGGGAGGTCGAGATCGGGAAGATAACAGTTCGAGGTCAGCCCAGGCAAACAGTTTGAGAGACCACATCTCCAAAATAACCAGAGCAAAATGAAGCAGAGTGCCTGCTCAGTAAGCGTAAGGCCCTGATTTCAAATCCCAATCCTGCCAAAAAAAAAATAATTGCACCAGGTGTGGCAGCCATGCCTGCAATCCCAGTACTCAGGGAGACAGAGGCAGAAAGACTGAAAGTTCCAGACCAGCCTGGCTACATGGTGAGAAGACTAATTGGATTGGCTGGCAGAGCAGGGACCACGCAGCACAAACCCAAGAGCAGGATGCCCGGTGGGCACCTCCAGTGTTAGGAAGACCCCCTCCTGAACCCCAGATATGAATACTCCACAGCCCCCATGGGGCCTCCCAGGCACCAGCCCCAGGAGCAGCCCGGCCATGTGCTACCTGAGCCTTGGCCCTCCCTGTCCCCGCCCCAAGATCCATCTGCCCACTTCCTGATTGTGCCCACCACCCATCTGCCTGGCCATGTCTGAGCACCCCCCAGACCCTCGGCCAGTGGTCCTGGAAGGACAATCGATGCTACCCTTATTGGCTCAGGTCCTCCAAAGGCTCTCAGTGATGCCCTGAGGCCCCTGCACCCCAGCCACGTGGGCACAGCACCTAAGATCTCTGCTGCGTCCCTCCCGGCATGGCAGCTGCTCTGGGTGCACCCTGTTCTGCATTTAGCCTTTGCCCACTCACGCTGTGGACGCGCCGGGCCTGGGTTCCACCGCCCGTGTCCTGAGTCTCTCTGAGTGCAGGGATGGAACCCAGGGCCTTACACGTGCCAGGCCAGTGCTCTGCCACCGAGCCATGCCTAAGCTGACTTGGAACTCATGACCCTCGTCTCTGCCTCTTGAGCACAGGGATTACAAGTATGGTCACTACACCACTTTGGATTCATGAGTCCGCACAAGGTCACATCTCACTGACTGAGTCAGGACCTGTCTTACGTTTGGCCAAAGCATCCTCATAGGTGCATCACCTGCAGGGGTGCATCACCCCCGCGGTCCACATCCCAGGCATGACTGCCAGCTCCTGCCCTGCGGCAGTGGCGGTCCTCAGCATCCACCAGCCTCCCCAGCTCACATCTGGTGCTGTATCTGCCAATGATGACTGAGGGGGTCACCATGTCACCTGCCCCTCCATGGGACCTGCATAGGCTGGGGTTCCCACGCCTCGTGTCCTAAGGTTCCACATTCCCTGCTGCTCCCTGGTCCTAAAGGGCGACCCCAACAATACAGTTCTGCGAGTTTCTGCTTGAGAGCTGGCCTGCCCCAGACAGTGGCTGCCATCCATCACAGAGGGAGCCAGGCAAGTGCTGAAGACTTTCTCTGCAGGTGCCGGGGGAACCACAGTGCACTTGGGAAATGCTCGTGGGGGCACAGGGCTGGCTGAGGTCAGGAACTCCAGACCACAGTCCAGAACACCCCCTTACCTGAATGCTTGGTTCTCACGGTTGTTCTGGAGGGCGATGGTTTCCACCTCAGGACCCCCATCCGCTATGAACCTGGCCAACTTTTCTGCAAGGTTCTTGGCCTCTTCGTCCTCTGGGGGTGAAACTTTAAGCAGGCTGTCAGTACTGAGCTCAACTCACCACACCCAACAGCCTAATTTCTGCTAAGAGCCCACAGCCACAAGTGGGGTTTGTTTTAGAAGCAATGCAAAGAGAAACAGGCAAACGGGAATCAGTTACTACACGGGACCAAGCCAGAGCTCACAAACACCAACCCTCTCCCACCCCGTGGGTCGCAGGGGCCTCGGGCATGAGCCGGACAAGGGGTCAGGACGGGAGGGAAGGTGTGGGTGGGGCAGGAAAAGAGGTGGGCGCTCCTGCCCTGACCCTTCCACCAGAGGTTGGAGGAGGCTTCATCTTCCTGTCCTGGGGAGAAGTACAGAGCAAGGGGCTCAGCTGAGACAGTGACTGAACTTCTGTGGGCCTTCTTGGCCCCAGTATCGGACCTGTGCTGGGATTCTGTCATTTCAGGTGGTGACCAGCTGGCATCCCCTCTCCTGAAACTCATCCTGTCCTCCTCACCAGCTCTCTGTCCCGGGGCCCTGCCCTCAGCACCTGGCACGAGCCCCATCCCTGCACGGCTGTGGTGCCCGGCACAGGCTGCGTGCGTCACTGTTGCTAAGATCACAAGTGAAGCTCCCTCTGTGCCCTCCACATCCACAGAGCTGAGCTGGACGCGACCATGAGCCTGGAAAGTGCTGCCCACCCCAAGACCCAGACTTGGCATTCAGACTTCTCCTGGTCCTCAGATCACCAGTGGGGAGAGGCATGTCTCCAGAGTAACCCCTGCTTCCAGGAGGACACAGGCCTTAGCTATGAGAGCCCAGTGGTGCCACACCACACCACACCTCAGTGTGTCCAGGACCCTGGCTCCTCCCAGCCCTGCACGCACTTACCTTTCTGAGGAGCTGCCTGGGACTTCTGTGCTTCCTTCCTCATCTCGGCCACCTTCTTTCTGTAGTAGAGGAATTCCCTGCTATTCTTATCATGTAAAAATCTGCAGAAAACATTTGCAGAAGAGAAATGAGCTTTGGGGTGGTGAACCAGGGCGGCTTCCACCATGCAAAAGCAGGCTGGGGAGCAGAGGCCCCAATAGGGCCGAGTCAGTCTCACTGTCCCCAGGGTCCCCTGTGACCTCTGGTGTGTGTTACCAGTGCTCAGGCTGGGTGCAGTGGCACCTGCCTGTGATCCCAGCTACGTGGGAGGCAGAGACAGGAGGACCTCAAGTTTGAGGCCAGCCCGGGCCACACAGCAAGACTATCTCAATAACAAAATGCAAACAAAAGGGCGGTGGGTATACTCAGAAGACAGCACTTGCCTACCAAGTGCAAGGCCCTGGGTTCCATTAAAAAAAATAAGCCCGGGGCTCAGAATTAGGCCTGGCTCCGTGAGATGTCCCCCAGCCCTGGCCATGTGATGAGTTTCCAAACATCCGTGTGGGACACAGCAAGCCCGGGGGCCAGGCCAAACTCCCTGCCACAGCGGTACTCACGCAAACGCGGGGTTGTCCTTGTAGTCCTGCATGGCCACCTTCTCTAACTCGGGGCCTCCTTCTGCCACAAAGCGGGCCAGTTTCTCTATCACGTTGCGAGTCTCGGCTCCCTCTGGGGGTGAAACTTTAAGGAGGCTGTCAGTACTGGGTCCAACTCACACACCCCACAGTAACAGGCACACTCTCTCTAGACCACAACGACAGAGGGGTGGGAGAAGAGCATGAGACGTGGGAGGCCGGCCGTGCGCTCCACGCACACAGCACTCCATGCTCGAAGTGCTCTGGCACTGTGGCGGGTGGGCGGTCTCGTCTGTGAGACACACCGGGCAGGAGAAGTGGGAGGGCTGCCCCAGGCCATGTCTGTCCCCAAGCTGAAAATACCGGCTTCCCTGGTATTTTCACGGGGAGCGGATGGGGACATACTGAATTCTTTTCTTAATTTACCAGTTTTCAGTGAATACATCGGTCCCTTTCATCCTTCAGAGATGACAAATTCTCTTCTGAACATATTGTTATGAACTCTGACTTAAACACCCCGGGTGGGTTTTAACCCATTGAGTTAGCGTCATCTCAGAAACTCTGGGGCCAGAGCAGCCTCCTCAAGCTGGCTCTGGAGAACTTGGACCTGACCCCAGGAGTGTCCGATGGCCATCTCCGCCATCTGTCGGGACAGGCACTCCAGGATCACCTCAAATGCATCTTGCCCAGGCCCACAGCCAGTCCTGTCTCCGCTCCTGGGTGCCAGCTGCTGTGCAGGCCTCGTGGTGACCACAGCTAGGACGGTGTTTTAGGAACGGAACCGCTTCCCTGCTGCAGCCCCGTGGAGCGTGCGCTGCCGCTTCTGGTGCCCCGTTTCTGAGGCCAACTCTGCCAGTCACTACATGGATCGCGGCCCTTTTAGGAGACTCACAGGAGAAACGTCTCGCTGTCAGCCGGTGCCTAGCAAGCAGGGCAGATGAGCCTACAGCACATCTTATTCCTCTGGTTGCTTGGAAGCACAGAGCTTGGGGGGCGGGGTGCAGAGGAGAGGATACCCTTGACCTAAAGAGGGCCTCAGAGGCCCCAGGGCCTTCTCTGCCTGACTTTCCCCTCCTCCCAGGTGTCCCTGGAGAACCCCAACAGAAGGTGTTTCTGAGGCCACAGCACCGAGTGGCCAAATCAGGCCTTAAAGGCCTTGGCATGGTCCACGCCAGTTGTAAAGCAGCAGTTCCCACGAGCACCGCTGAGGCCATGAAGACCTGAGAAAAGGCACCCCTAGCCCACACTGCACTGGCCTGGGTGGCCGCTGGCCTCTGATCTGTTCAGGTGCTCAGCCCACCACTGGTACCCTGGTTGGGAGTGCTGAGTCTTGAGACCATGTCAGCAGTAACTACATGGTCCCTCTGGTCTGTCCTCACTGTCAGGGTGGCGTGACTGCACCACCAGTTGGTCAGGTGTCCCAACCTTGTGTGTCCCAACCTTGCTCTGAACACAGACAAGGCAGGACTCATGACGAGTGCTGACATGGTGCCCTCTGGTCTCCTGCAGCACCAGCTCAGGGGCCATCCCCTTCACAGGAGGGAGAACACCCTTCAGCCTGTGCTCTGGGACCTCTGGCCCAAACTGCGGGGACAGGTGACCCTGGGTGAGGAGCCGCACCTTTCAGGCCTCAGGGACACGGGGAGATGCCCTCCTGGGCAGGAGGACAAGGCAGTTAGTAGAGACGTCTGAGATGGGCACGAGGTCCCCAGCGCTGCTAAGACTCCTCCTACAGCCTTCTCCGCTCTGCTCACCGCCGAGGCCCCGCCTTGGCCCTCAGTTCAGTCCAGAGGCCTGCGGCTGCGGACCCCAGCCACGAGCACCCTGTGCCTCTGGCCATCCTGCCCTGTGGACTGTGGCTCCGCCTGCTGGAGGCACGATTGCCAGCGGGAGGGCAGCAGCCCCACAACTTACCTTTGATCTCCAGCCACTGCTCGTAGTCCTCCTCCTCGTCCTCGTCAGGAGACTGGAAGACGCTCGGGCGCTGCGCCACGGGCAGCTGTTTGGCATGTGAGTAGCTCTTCACCTGGCCCAGCTGGCTGCCCAGCCCCAGGCCCGTCCGTTTGCTGAGCAGAAGGGGCTTCTTGCCCGTGCTGGGGGGCGGCGTGCTGGGAGGGGCGCTGGGGGGTGGGTCTTGGGACAGAAGAAAGAAGATGCATGCTTGGGTTCTGCGGCCTCCCTGTACCCTCACCCGAGTGCTCTCAGAGAGGACCCATCACTCTACAGACTAGGACACAGAGGCTGAGCAGCAGTGGCTGCCCCGGCCAGGCTCTGCAGGTAGCCTCTCTGGCCTGATGCCCTGCATCCTGGTTCCCCATCCCTGACACGCTAGGCTCCTCAGTGCCCAGGCACTCTGGGCGAAAGACTCAGACACCCTGCCCTCCCCTCCTTGGAAACCTGACAAAGGTCGAAGGTCAGCTGTTCCACAGCAAAGCCTCCCACAGCAGTGATGAGCTCCCACACTCATATCTGGCCCACACTAGGCCAGTCCACCACCTTGCTGGGACCAGGTCACTACAGACTAGGGACTGGACTGCCACCTAGTGGGCAGGGCTGGTGAGTGTGGGCTAGGGAAGAGCCCAGAAGGCCTGGAGCAGCCCCTCCTACCCAAGCCTGGCTCCTCAAGAGCCCACAGGTGCAGACAGGCCCAGAGGTCACTGGGGAGCGCGCTGTGAGGCCACTGGCTCCCCACCTGCACAGGGGATGAGCATCGCATGGGCAATGGCACAGGCTGACTCTACACTGTGGCCTTGTCTTTCTAAGCCTCAGTTTCTCCAGTGCAAAGTATATGTGGGGGTAGCTGGCTACATGCTGTTTAGAAGCTGAGCTCGCGAGAAAGGTGTTTACATGTACACACACATTCACGCATACTGAGCCTGGACCTAAAGAGAATCATGTTACGTTACGTGAAAAAGAAAGGCACAGAACAAAACAGCATGTCGTTGCCTGGGTGAACAATCAAGCCTCCCAGACGATGCCTAAAAGGTGCCAAACACACCACAGCCGTCACCGTGACTACTTGAAGAGGGCTGGGGGCTTTCACTTCCTGCCGTGCTTTTCACTTTTAAAGGTCACAAACAGAAATGGCAAAATGTCCACTCTATGGACCCTGGTGGAGAGGATACTGTGTTTCCGCAAATGTCTTTCAAAGAGAAGCAGTGACAAGGACCCTGAACACAGGCTCTGCAGAGGGCAGAGCGAGAGGATGGGTAAGGCAGAGCGCCAGGTACTGGTGCTCAGTAAACACCAGTGCCCGGGTGATAACTGCTAGAGGTCCTGGTCACCTCCAGGCTGTCCACCTGCCCTACACTTCAGCCACACAGGGCCTGAAACCTGACATTCTCTGAGGCAACTCAGGTGCCTCAGGCCAGCCCAACACCACGTGCATGAGGCCCACTCACCTACGGGGACTCTGGCTCAGGCAGCCTAGGGATGCCTCTCCTGCACCCTGCCCACCCTCCTGACTGCCCCTGGTCCTGGGGGAAGCAGGTGGACAGCGGGCTGTGCTTCCCCTGGGAATCCACTGTGGGCCCTGGATGAACTCATGGTCAGCGTGATGGCTTGGATGTGGAACCTGTCACTTCCTATTGTGACTTCTGGAGGGGGTATTAAGAGGTGGGGCTCACCTGGGCTGGTCTGAGCCTTTTGCAACTTCAGAAACTGCTGCAAGAAGCTACCGTCGTTGGCGAACTTGTTGGAAATGGAGGAAGAATTGTGTGCATTTGCGATTCTAGAACCAAGAGGGGACAGGAAGGGTGAGCTGGACAGACAAGGATGAGGTCCGTGTGTTTCCCCCACCCTAGTGGTCCCGCTTAGTGGGACCCAAATTCCAGCTTCCAGAGTTGTCCAGGGACGATGGGTGTGGTGAGCTGGGAACAATCATGGCTGGCTGAGCGCAGTGCTCCCACGGCCTGCCGACTGCCTCCTGATCTGTAGCTGCAGCGTGTCCTGCCTGTCCCTAGCACGACGCACACTGGCCTCCTCAGCCAGGCCCTAGTGCTCTCCCACTCAGGAGCTGCGTGTCTTTTTTTTTTTTTGACACAGGGGCTCGCTATGCAACTACCACGCCCGCCCCCGTGTGACTGCAGCTCCAGCCAACTGGGGGTAATCATACTCGAAGGGACACAGCCAAAGCAGTCTCCTGGTGGGACAATCACAAGGGGAGGTTTGCATTTTTGCTACTGTTCCTCTCCCTCTTTTGGTTTTGGCTTCAAAAATCTTCTGGTGCATCATCTGTCTTTTTGGTGGGTGCATGCAAATAGTTCCAGCTACTTGGGAGGCTGAGGCAAGAGGACTGAGCCCAGGAATGTGAGGAAATATAGTGAGACCCCCAAGAAAAGAAGGGTGCTGGGGATGTGGCTCAATGGGACAGCATGCGCTTAGCATGCACGAGGCCCTAGGACTTGTCCTCAGCACCACAGGCAACAACAAATCACGGTGACAAGAACAAAACATGGGTAGAAAAATACACTAAAATGTAATCGGCACTTGTCTTGAGGCCGTGGGTCACCGGTGACTTTGGCTTTTCTTTGTTTCCTTCTGTTGTTTTCTGTATTTCCTTCCAAGTATGCAAGTTATCTTTAAAGTCTCAAAAAAAAAAAAGAAAGGCAGTAAAAGCTACTTTATGTGAAAGAGAAGGCTCTGCTGATAAATCAGCCTTCGGTGGCCCTCAGCCCCCAGGGTGAATTCACTGTGTGCCCCTCCCTCCAGACAGACAGGAAGGAGCTGGGAACTACGAGAAATGGGAAAAAAATCAACCGACTGGCAGAGAGGAACCCAGTGATTCCTACTTGAGAATCGCGAGTAATAGCTAGAGGCAGGCCGCTCTTGTCTGTAATCCTACCTACTCTGGAAGCAGAGATCAGGAAGATCGAGGTTAAAAGCCAGCCCAGGCAAACAGTTTGTGAGATACTATCTTGAAAAAAAAAAAAAAAACAAAAACCACCGCAAAACAGGGCTGGTGGTGTGGCTCAAGTGGTAGAGTGCCTGCCTAGCAAGCATGAGGCCCTGAGTTCAAGCCCCAGTGCCACCAAAAAAACCAAAAAAAAAAACCAAAACAGAACTTGGCCATGAGAGCTGGGCTTGGGAGGCTGAGGCAGAAGAACGTGAGTTTGAGGCCAGCCTGGGCTACACAGTGAGACTGTCTCAAAACAAACACAACACTCCAAAGAGGTTCTGATGAAACTTTTTGTATTTTCTTGGCACTGGGGTTTGAACGCGGAGCTTTGCGCTTGTCAGACTAACAGTAAACTTTTTTTAGGTGCTGCTGAGCTACGCTCCTTGGCCCTATGTCATCCACATTTTACCACAATGAAAACATGAATAATCTTTTTAAAGAGCGTACAGGCAGAATACAAAATTGCTGATGACTTCACAGCACAAAGCAAAGACACGGGAAAGGAACACATTCAAATGGCTGTCTTGGGGTAACTTAAAGATTTTATTTCTTCAGCCAAAAATTCTAAACTTTGCTGTTCTGTAATTTTTTTTTTTTGGCAGGACTGGGGTTTGAACTCGACTTCGTGCTTGCAAAGCAGGCACTCTATCACTTGAGCCACACCTCCAGTCCATTTTGCTCTAGTTATCATGAACTATTTGCGAGGCTGGCCTCAAACCTCGATCCTCTCGATCTCAACCTTCCAAGTAGCTGGGATTATAAGCATAAGCCACCTTGCCAGTTCCTCCGCATTTTTACAATGGGGAAAACCACCTTCTTTCCAAAGCTTCCTGAGCTGCGCGCCTACTCACCAACGTCCCATCCAGTTGCCCAGTCCTGGGGCTGGGATCCTGAGACTGTGAGAGACCCTCTAGGAGTTGACCCTACAGTCAGTCACTCAACCCCAACAGACCGTATGGTCAAACAGTCACTCAACACCCAGGTACCTTGTTCCTGAGCTCCTTGGAGGCTTCAGGCACTGGGTCAGGCCTAGGTTGACTGCAATGAGGTCTAAGCACTGCCCTCTTGAGTAGCCACAGATTTGGAAAGGGGGGAGCTGGGGCGGACCTTTGTAGAAGGTCACTTCAGAGGAAGGGGCCTCCTCTGATTATCCACCTGTAGCCTGAAACTCTTAGATGCTGCCCTCCTGGTCACACCCCATCACGATACCATCCCCTGTGCAAACCCTCTGGAACCCTCAGTGTGTCACAGGGTAGGCAGGGAGAAACTGCGTGTGCCTCCTGTGGCTTTGCTCTGGTCAGCCCCGACACACCCTGACACTCGGGCACTCTTTCCACTCTGCCTTCCGCTGGGCTGCCTTCCCAGGGCCTCCAGAATGCACAGCCTCTCTGTGCCTGCAGCATGGTGCCTCGCACCGCCCCTCTGCTAGCAGACCGCGGCCTGGCAGTGCCCCACAGCTGACTGGCAGTGAGTAAGTGGTTCGAGCCGGCAGCCTGTCCTCCGGGCTCCTATACCTCCCCAGCTCTCTCCTGGCATGCCGAGACTCAGGCTGCAGCCAGGGGCAGGCACACACTGACTGCTGTGGCAAGCCGGGCCCTCTGTCCGTGACCCTCTTGGAACGCCAGGTCCTGGGGGCACTCACTCTGCGGGATGCGGGGACTGCGTGCTGGCCACCTGATTCTGCTTGGCTTTCTGTTCCATTTTCGCTTCGATTTCCCGTTTCTTCTGAGCGATGAGCTCTTCCTGGTACAGTATATTCATACTCATCTTCCCGGACTTGGGGGGCGCCACCCCGAACCACCGGTTAGCCTTCCCTAGGGAGGGAAAAGAAGCAGGTCACCAATCGCCTTGCTCCACAGTCGGCCCTAGCAGCTGCAACAGGCTGGATGCACTTGCCATCCACACGGACCCATACGCTCTTTGTTGTGGGTGTGTGAAGAGTCCCAGGAAGGCTCCTGGATTGAAGGCTTGGTCCCCAGCTGGTGGCACTATGGCCAGGTGAATGGATGACAAAGGCGCCAACCTCGCCAGTACATTCATGCACCCACAAGTTCATAGCTGAATGGGCTATGAGGAGGTTGGATAGAGAGGTCACAGGGTGCGTGCCTTTGAAGTGTGTAGCTTGTCCCTGGGCCTGCCCTCCTCACGCCCCCTTCCTGCCACTATCCATGAGGTGAGCTTTTTTCCACCACATCCTTCTAACATGATGTTCCCCCTTGTCACAGGCCCACACCAATAGAGTCTCTGAAACTATGACCCAAAATGAACCTTCCCTCCTTTTAAACTGTTTCTCTCAGGTGTTTTGTCATAGCAACAAAGAGCTAACTAACACAACCATTCGATTATTCAGGAAACACTTACAGAGTATCTGCTACTGAGCTAGGCACTAAGCAAGAGAGATGGGGTGTCTTCCCTCTCTGGCTGGGAAGACCATAACAAAAAAAGTTACTGCAAATCACGACCAGAGCTCTGCTGGAAACCAGAAAGCAATGAGAGAGAGATCGAGAGTAACAGAAGGACACCTACCCAGGCAGGGCAGTCAGAAAGCAAGCACTGGAAGAGAGGACCTTTAAGCTGGAGTATCAGGAGCCAGTGCCATGAAAACTCAGGTGGACAGGGATCTGGACAGAGGACGGAACCAATGCTAAGGTCAAAGCAGGAAGAACACCGGGAGCATCTGAGTACCAGCAAGGGCCCAGTGAGGCCAGAGGGACGGGCATGGCAGAGAGTCTGCAATCTGCTCTCAGGGCTTTGGAGGCGTCCAGGGAGGATTGCATTGCTGTGTGACAATGTCCAACGGGTCTTTTTATTTTTAAGATCATACTGGGGACTGGGTGATCGATCACCTGGCCAGAGTGCACAGGCAGCAAGACAAGCAAGGGGGATCCTGGCCTCAAGCAAAAGTGATGGTGCTGGGTGTGGTGGCCACGTCTGACCGTCCAGGACTAGGGGGCTGAGGTAGGGAGGACTGAGATTTCCAGAGGCCATACAGTGAGATTCTGTCTCAAAGAACCAACTATCTGCTGAGAACATGACTCAAGCAACAGAGCGCCTGCCTAGCAAGTGCAAGGTCTTGAGTTCAAACCCTGTACTGCCAAAATAAAAAAGAAATTAAGAGAGAAAAATGCCAAAACAAAACATAAAAGATGATGGTGTCTTAAGGGGAAGGCAGCCATCACGGAGATGGAGAAGACACCCCAAAGGTTCCTAGTGGGACTCAGGCTAAATTCCAAATTCTAAAAGTTGACTTTCAAGGCTCTGCCATAGATGGCTCCCCTCCCCAACTCCACTTCATTCTTGACCCTGTTCAAAAGGACAAGCCCCAGGCCGGGTGTGGTGGCACATTCCTGTAATCCTAATCCTAGCTATTCTCCATCAGAGGCCAGCCCCAGCAAATTGTGAGACCTCATCTCAACCAATAAAAAGCTGGGTGTGGTGGCGCCTGTCTGTCATTCCAGCTGTGAAAAGCACTGAAGAGGAAGATGGCAGTCCAGTCTGGATGGTGCATACAGAAAGACACCTAAAGCAAAAAGGGCTGGAAGTGAGACTCAAGTGGTAGAGCGCCTGCTTGGCAAGCAGGAGGCCCCGAGTTCAAACTCTAGTACTGCCAACAACAACAACAACAACAACAACAAAACCCACAGAAATCAGCGGCCTTTAACCCCCACCTCACATCACAACCAGCTCTTTGCAAATGCTTGCTCCTCGGGGCACGGCACCCCGGTAGGAAGGCAGGACCGTCTTTGGGTCCCCGCTGCATCCCCGCTGCCTGGCACCCAAGGCAGCACGAAGTATTTGCTGGATGGATGAATGCATTCTGCAGAGGGGAGGAGGAGGAGCAAAATGGGTGAACGTGGGGTTCAAAAGAGCTGGGGCGTGAGTAACGGGAGCCCCAGGGCAGCGTGGAAAAAGCAGCTTTCCGAGAGACCGGTGCCCAGGCCGGAGGACAGGTCTTCTTAGAAGAGGGGCGCGGAGCAACCTCGGGTGCCCCTGTCGGTGGGAGCAGAGCTCACAGCGGCCCTGAAGTCGGTTATTTTACAAAGCGGGCACGCGGCCGACCCGAGTGGCGGCCTTTATGGAAAACGAGGCGTCCTCCGCAAAGCAGGCGGGGGCGGCCAGCCAGCTGGGTCTGGGGTCTCGGGAGACGAGAAAGGTGCAGAAGCCACCACTCTGGGCTGCCCAACGGCTAAGGCGAGGGGGCAGTGGGGTCGGGGCAGAACCGATGAACCGGCGAAGAGGCACCACGTAGCTTGGAAAACCCCGTCCGGCGCCTGAGGGGAGGCGGGGGCTGTTACCTGCAACATCCCGGTTGTCCATCTTGAGACTCATCCAATCCCACAATGCTTTGGTGCCACCTAAGGGAGGGGAGGGGCTGTTATAGTGCGCATGACCTTATGGGAGTTGTAGTCTACGTCTGCCAGCCACGCCCAACCAATGCGTGGACCCTAAGGGTCGTCGATGGGAATGCGAACATCAGCCTGGGGGTAACGTCTAAGGATGAGTCCTGATGGCTCGGTGGCATCACCCTTTCCTCCCTCTTGACCTGAGCGGCGACCGCTTTAATCACAAACTACATAGTCCAGGATGCCGTGCGCGGCAGCTCTCGCGAGACTCACGAGAAGCGTTCAGCCCCGCCCCCTCGCTCCTGCTTCCGCCTCCCTGTGGAGGCGGCTTGTTGTTGTGGAGGCCAAAATGGCGGCTCAGGCGGCGGCAGCGGCCCAAGCGGCTGCGGCCCAGGCGGCGCAGGCTGAGGCGGCCGAGTCGTGGTATTTGGCACTTCTGGGTTTCGCCGAGCACTTCCGCACTTCCAGTCCTCCCAAGATCCGCCTGTGTGTGCACTGCCTGCAGGCCGTGTTTCCCTTCAAGCCGCCACAGCGCATAGAGGCCCGCACGCACCTGCAGCTGGGCTCAGTGCTCTATCACCACACCAAGAACAGCGAGCAGGCGCGCAGCCACCTGGAGAAGGCGGTGAGCGCGGGAGGAGGGCGCGGGAGGAGGGGACGGGGGTGGGGGGGGGCGGGACCCGCAGCCGCCGGCCTCGGGGGAGGGGGAGGGGAGGGGGGGGGGGGGGGGGGGGGGAGGGTCGCCCCCATTTGGCGTCTCGTTTCTGATGACGGAAAGGGGCTCCGAAAACTCGTGCTCCTTCCCAGGGTCCCCAGAAAGCTGCTTCCGGTAGGGTAACAAGGTCCCCCAGTCGCCGGGTTGTCACTTTTTGGTGGCAAGTGGGGGACACCTGAGCCCGACCTCTGGGTGATGCAAGGGTTCGTCCCCCGCCCCGAGGCTTGGTCTGAGCGTTGCCACCTGAAGTGACAAGGGAGAGGAGAGGGCGGAAGTGACAGTGGGGTGTCCCCTGGGAAGCCCAAGTGTCAGGAAAGACCCGGAAGTGTGGTGTTGACGGTGTCTTGCAAGGTCCTGTGTCCCCACCAGCAGTGCCTGGTGGCCTGTGGGACATGCATGAGACCCAGAGCCTGGGGTTGGCCATGTGAGGTCTTGTAAGGAGGTGAAACGGGGACCCCCGGAGTTACTGGGGTAGGGACGTCTCCCAGTCCTGCCATCTGTCCGTTAGCTGTGACTTCTCCTCCCATCATCTACCAGGCCATCCTCTTAGGAGCAGGCCTGCCCCTCCCAATGTCATGTGTGGCATCTGGATTTTGGGGGTTTTTTTGTGATGGGTTTTTTTTTTTTTTTTTTTTCCGAGATAGGGTTTCTCAAGCTATTTTCCCCGGGCTGGCTTTGAACCAGGATCCTTCTGATCTCTGCCTCCTGAGTAGCTGGGATTACAGGCGTGAGCCACAGGTACCCAGCAGTCACCTTTGGCCTCTTGATGCTTCAAAGAATGTGACCAAGTAGCTGTCACTCTGCCCTGGAGTAAACTCTCTGGCCTTGGAATTGTTTCTTGTGGAACTCTGTGCCCCTGCCAGACCCCCGCCTGCCTTCTCTGTTCTGATTAAAGGACATACTTAAATTTTTGACACTGGAGATTGAACCCAGGGCCTGAACCACCTCTGAGTACCCACCACCCCTATTATTTTTATTCCTTTTTTTTTTTTTTAGTGGGACTAGGGTTTGAACTCAGGGCTTTGCACTTGCAAAACAGGCACTCTGTGGCTTGAGCCACACCTCCAGTCCATTTTGTTTTAATTATTTTGGAGATGGGCCTCACAAATTATTCTCCCAGGCTGGACTGGAACTGCGATCGTCCTGATCTCAGCTTTCCAAGGAGCTAGGATTATGGGCATGAACCATTGGTGCCCAGCTGTTCCCTTTTTTTTGAAGGCAAGGTCTTGCTAAATTTCTCTGTGCTGGTCTCAAGCTCACATTCTTTTGCCTCTGCCTCCTGAATAGCTGGTATTATAGGCGAGTATCACCGTGCCAGGCTAAGGAGAAACTTGTTGCAATTTGTTTGGTTTTGGTGAGACTGGGGTTTCAACTCAGGGCTTTGGTGGAGTTTTTAATTTGTTAATCTGAGGTAAATCTGAGCTGTTCCTCTGCTAGTAACTAATTGCCTTTGGAGGGTGATCCCTCTTTCTTTGGCATACTGTGGAAAGTGAAAACTCCAGTTCTGCGTGGATCAATTTCCTTGATAAAGTAGGGAGGTGACAGGGCCCAGAGAAGTGAAGTGATTTGCCCAAGGCCACAGTGAGTATTAAAAAAAACTGGTCCAGAGCCATGTGTGGTGCACACACCTGCAATCCTAGCACTCAAGATATTGAAGCTGAAGGATGACCACTTCAAGGTCAGCCTCAGCTACATGGTAAAACCATGTCTCAAAAAACAACGAAAAAATCCCAGGCTCAGCTGGGCACTCACTGGTGGCCCACATCTGTAATCCTAGCTACTTGGGAGGCAGAGATGGGGAGGATCTCAGTCTGAGGTCAGCCCTGACAAATAGTTTGAGAGACCTTTATCTCCAAAATAACCAGAGCAAAATAAACTAAAACTGAAAGTGTGGTTCAAGCAGTAGAGCACCTGCTTGCAAACGTGAAGCCTTGAGTTCAAACCCCATCCTGGCAAAAAAAGAAAAAAAACAAAGCAGATGTAATGATGAACAGGTTCCATGCCACGAAGATGTATTGTTATTGTTCTAGTGAGGGTTTCTTTCCTTCCTCCCATTCATTCCAGCAGATATTGTCAGCTTGTGCCAGGTCCTGATGCAGGCTGGACTGTCCCTACCCATAGAAGCTTAGGTGTTGGTGAGGGGACAGACGCTGAGTGTGTAGGCAGTGATGTGAGATCAGGGATGAGTTGTATGCAGCTGTTTGGGCAAATACAACAGATTCTTTATGTAGGAGTGATGTTTGAGGCCTGAATGATGAGCCCCAGACCCCCTTGGGGTGTCAGGTCAGTGGCAAGAGGACCTGAGCTGTTGGGACCAGTGATTTGTTTCAGGGTCTCTCTGGTGTGTGGCTAAGACTGAGATTCAGGAAAATGCCAGGCTTCACTAGGAGTGGGACTGGAGGCTGCCACTGCTGGGTCTAGCTGCTCAGCTCCTCCCTCTCCTCCCTCCCTTGGCCCCTGGAGTCCCGGCAGATCTTCATCCTCCCTTTCTCAGGCCCTGGAGACATTCAGCCTCTTCTAGCAGGCAGAGTGCTGTTGGATTTTGCCCACTGGCCCTGTCTAGGGGACGTAGTATGCAGAAATTGGTGTCTTTTAGCCACTGGATGTCTAGACTCATAGACCCGTCATTTAAATCCTTATCCTTGTGAAGTATCTGCTCAGTTTAACAGAACCTTTTTTTTTTTTTGCAGTACTGGGGCTTGACTCAGGGCCTTCACCTTGAGCCACTCTACCAGGCCCTGTTTTTTTTATGAAGGGTTTGTTGAGGCAGGGTCTTGAACTATTTGCCAGGGCTGGCTTAGAACTGAGATCCTGCTGATCTATGCCTCCAGAGTAGCATCTGTGTTTCTGATAGGTGAGTGTGTTAGTCAGTTTTGTGCCACTGCAATAAAATAACAGATAGTTGAGTTACAAGGAAGAAAGATTTTTGCACCTGTATTTTTTTTTTTTATAGTACTAGAGTTTGAACTCAGGGCCTCCTCCTGCTTGCTAGGCAGGCTTTCTGTCACTTGGGCCACATCACAAACACACACACACACACACACACACACACACACACACACACACACACAAGAAAGGTTTATTTTGGCTCATGGTTTTAGAGGTTTCAGTCTGTGATCACTTGGTCTGTTCCCTTTGGGCCTGTGGTGGCATAGCGGATCGTCTTAGGAACACACAGCAGAAGAGGCTGCTTACTTCTTGGTATCTGGAAAGTAAAGAGACAGGAAGGGCAAGGGCCCACTATCCCCAGGGGTGTGTTCTCAGTGGTGTTACTTCCACTGGGTCCTACCTCCTAAAAGGTCCTTCCGGCTCCTGCCATTGGTATGGGTGGGGGACCACTTTTCCACACCTGTGCTTTTGGGGACATTCCATACTATAGCTGAGTTTATACTAGAAACTTCTCAAGATGCAAAAGAGAGGTTGTGCCCTCAGAAAGTGACCATCATGCTTGACACCAGGCCCATCCTGCAGCTTCGGGGATGTGTCGTGGTCCAGGGTACTGCTGATGCCCCAATCAAGCAGCAGTGACTTTCAAAGACTGCTGATGTCCAATCTGACTAGGAATTAGGGCTGTGTCTGGCACGCATGGACCTCAGTTCTGTGGCCATTTGCATGTAAGGAAGGCTTACTTCCTGGTGATGGTGGAGAAACTGTTGGCTATCTAATAGCTGGAGCCACTCTCTTGTTTCCCAAACACCTCTGGTATGGCAGCCTGTTGCAGGCGTTGGGGGCACATTATGGGATGTTGGCTAGTGTCCTCCATCTGTATGCGCAGTATGCATAATGGCGTTTTGGTCAGTGGTGAGCTGTGTGGGTGGCGGTGGTCAGTGTGGCCCTCTTAGTTCTGTGAGCACACTCAGAACCACCTAACGACGCTTTTCTCACAGTGTGTCTCTAGTAAGTAACTTGCGGAGGTTCAACTGCACACATGAGAGAATGGTGGCAGGTCGTTGGGCCTGGGAAACACATATTCAAGGGCTCTTGGGTCTGAACTGTGGGGAGCAGCAGTTCATTGGTAGAGTGCTTACTGGTGTGTGCACAGCCCTGGGTTCTGTGCCCGGCGTTGCAAAAACAAAACCTGATAAAAGCACTGAGACCTAGTTCTCAAGACTTGGAGCCTTGCTATCATAGTTGGTCCACACCTTGGACCAGCCCTCTGGTACTCACAACAGCCGGGGACACCGACACACAGGGCCTTCCGGACGAACCTTCGGACAGGTTCCTTCCCAGCTCCCAGCCCTGCCTTCCCTAGGAAAAGTGGCATGCTCTCTCCTGGCCCAGTCAGAATACAAGGGAGCTGGTGTTAGCAGACAGTTTGGCTCGTAAAGAAAAGGCATCAGTGGGGGCGAGAGGAAGTGAGGTCAGCCCCACTGTGTCCCAGAAGGAGAAGGGACAAGAAGCCATACATGAGGAGACACTGACAGCCCATGCGGACCTGAGCTCAGCGGCACAGGCGGAGGCTTCTAGAAGCCCATGCAGGCTTTCCGGGCTGCAGGATTGACAGCTGACAGCGTGTCTTTTCAGGAGGAGGGCTAGGACACAGGTGAGACCTCCATTTCATCACCTTGCTTAAGTCTGCTGGGGTGCATTGACACAGGAACCGAGTCCTGTGTGTGGACAGGCCTGACAAAGCTCACCACGAGTCACCCAGGCCCCCGAGTTTACTTCTCTAGTATGGCGTCCTCTCCGGTCCTGTGTTGATCAAATCGTAAGAGTCTTTGCACAGCTCTACCCAACTCTTGTCCCAGTCTCCTCCCTCCTGTTTGGGGACTGTATGGCGCTTCTCTGGCTGGTTTGACCTTGGGCTGGAATAGCTTCTGTGGAAAATGCCCTCCCACACACACTTCTTCTGTAACCAGCTTCTGATATCACAAGAGCTGCCCCCACACATGGCCTCCAACTGAGGAGCGTCACCTCTGGGCCACAGTCTTTGCCAGCGACACCCTGCCCCTCTGGAGCTCCTGTCCTTGCTCCAAGGGGGCCTTGGTGGGGCAGAGGAGGTGGATGCCCTACTGCCTCTGCAGCAGCCTCAGCGGCGGGTCTAGTCCCTCTTGCTGTCCCACAGCTCCTCCTCCTGGCCCACCTGTGTCTTGCAGGCATCTGCTCCCAGCTTTCAGACTTTCTCCACATGTTTGGTTTGGGTTTTTGAGACCTGTCTGGCTACAGCAGCCCAGTTTGGCCCAGAACACAGGTGTGACCTACACCCACCCCTCTTTCTGTGACATCTCCAGCCTTCGCTCATCCTCTACACCCTCAGCCCACTGGCGTCTCCAGCTCCTTCTCCTTGTGCTTTTTCCTGCATCCGGAGCATCTTAAAACTAATCTGGTCAGGAACTTTCGTTTTTCACCTCTCTCTGAATCAGATTCCACAGTTGGGGCTGTAACCATGGCCAGTACTGCCTCATGAGTGGTTCAGCCCCCTCAGCCATTCTCACCAGCTCTCTCTGCCTGGGGCACCTCCCCTCCCCTCCCCTCCTACTCCAGCCCCACATGGCCTCCATCTCAAGCAGTCCTCCTGCAGAGCAGGATGGGTGAGGGGCGGTGATTGGTTCTGCTCCAGTTCCCAGCCCCCTCCAGGTCTCTGTACACATTTACAGGATGAATGAGTTGGTAGGGAGAGGCTGGACATGTGCTCAGCTCTCTGGGTGATTGAACATGCTGGCTGTGTGAGTTACTCTTCTAACTGCTGTGGCAGAGGACTGACAGAAAGAAACAACCTGAAGCAGGAAGGACTGACACTGCCCATGGTCTCAGATCTCAGTACACGCTTGCCTGGCCCCGTGTTTCTGGGGCCGAAGTGAGGCAGCACATCAGGGTGGTGGGAGCATGTGCGGGAGGCTGCTCACCTTGTGACCCACAGAGCAGGGGCAGGGCAAGCTAGAACACCCAGGACATGCCCTGGTGACCCACTTCCAGCTGTGCCCACCTCCTGATGTTCCTAGAACTTCCCAAAACAGTGCCACCAGCTGGGGCTGAGCAGCTGGGAGGACACTTCACATACAGGGGTTAAGGGTGGGTGTGTGGCCCGGGAGCTGGCTGCCGTGTTGGGCAGAATGGCCCGAGTTCTTGGGCTGCTGGCCACACTGGGCCCTCCTGGAGCTCCTTCCTCCCTTGTGCAAGGCTGATCTTGCTTATTTCAAGCCACTTTTTTTTTTTTTTTTTGGCTGTACTGGTGCTTGAACTCAGGGCTTCACTCTTGCAAAGCAGGTGCTTCACCACTTGAGCCACACCTCCAGTCCATTTTGCTCTGGTTATTTTAGAGATGGGGTTTCTCAAACAATTTGCCTGGGCTGGCCTTGAACTTTGATCCTCCCGATCTCAGCCTCCCGAATAGCTAGTTATAGGTGTGACCACCAGCACCAGGCTTCTGACCACCGTCTCCTTTCTTTTTCTTTTTGAGGATTTCATTGTAGTAATTTCATAGGTGTACCTTTAACAAGTTCACCTCACCCATTATGTTCCTGTTCCTCTTCTTCCTCTTGGTCTAACCAGCTTTTAAATGTCACATCCTCACGAAGGACCCACACCCCCAAGCCTCACCTTCCAGCTGTAACTGAGTCCTGTGTATGGCTCTGCTAAATGTCTGTCCTCTCTGTGAGCCCAGATCATCTCTGGGCTTCTTCCCCCAGTACCCACCGAGCGCTCTGTAGCTTCTGTTCCCTTTGCTGGATCTCGGGTTCCCTGCCCATTTAACTGGACCCCTGGTTGCCTTGGGTAACGGGGCAACACGTGGAACCCCAGCGTGAGCCAGTGAGCAGGTGCCCAGCATTTGCCCAGAACTAATCCTTTTTTCTTTCTCTTCCAGTGGTTGATATCACAGCAAGTATCCTTTTCTTGTTGGTACCGTTCCCCTTTCTTTGGTTTATTTTTACTTTTTTCTGGTGGTGGAGATGGAACCCAGGGCCTCGTGTATGCTAGGCAAGTGCTTTTCCCTGAGCCACACTCCAACCGTAGACTGTGTGAATAAAAAGAATGTACTGTCAACTTGCATCTCCCCTGCCCCCATGCCATGACCCCTGGAGCCTTCCGTGTGCTCCTCCTCCTGGCTCCCTTGGTGCCCTGGCATCTGCCTGTGCAGCCTGCACCAGCTGGAGTCACTGGAAGAACACATCTGCGGAGTGGGAACCCAGCTGTGGCCCTACCTGCTGCCCTTTCTGCTGTGTCTGTCCTTCCTTAACTGGGTGCCACCAGATCCCGCAGTTTGAAGATGTCAAATTTGAAGCAGCAAGTCTGTTGTCCGAGTTGTACTGTCAAGAGGTAAGAGCAGATGTGGGGTTCTGAGCACAGGGCCTCTCTCCCTGTCACTAAGGCCCAAAGAAGATTGGGGATCTCAGGAGCTGGAGTCCCCCCTGGCTTTTAGTATTTCATGTTCCAATTGTCCTTCAGTGATCCTGTGGTTCCAGGAGCCCACAGATACCAAAAGCCTGGATGCCACAGGCCCCACTGTAAAATACCATAGTCTTTGCATAGAACCTGCACACATTCTCCCATGGGCTTTATTTATTTATTTAAATTACTTAACGTTGCTGTTCTGGGGACATATAAAGAGTTGTCCTGTACTGCTTAAGGAGTCAGGACAGGAAAGAGTTCTGTATGTGTTCAGTAAGGGCACAGTTTTTTGTTTTTTTTTCAATTAATGTTTTTGCAGCGGCAGGGGTGGAACCCAGGGCTTCACATGTGCTAGCATGCATGGTACAGTTGACCCCCCACCCTCTGGCTCCTGGATAGTTTGGGTATGTGTTTGCTCAAGTCCGTGGGTGCAGAGCCCAAGGGCGCAGAGAGCTGATTGTACTGTGCTGTACACACCAGCTGGCATGAGTAGTCACTTGCTAACAGGACGGCACTGGAGAGGGCTGAGAAACAGCCCCGTCCTGCCCAACAGGTCTGTAGAGCTCTCTGGAGGGGGTGTGCACACCTGTGAGCCCAACCCTACAGAGGCCGAGACAGGACGATCTCAAATCCCAGGCCAGCCTGGGCTGCAAAAAGAAAAAATATGCACACAGTTTGCCTTCTTTGTCTGCTTCCTGGTTTTGGCTGCAGTGAAAACCCGCTTCCCACTCTTTTGAAGAGAGACTGGGAAGGGGGCCCAGGAACGTGGAAGCTCCTCTGACTGCAGGATTTTCCACTGAAGCTGCTTTCAGTGAGGTGAACGAGATGTTAGTTTAAGAGCAGTGCAAAAAAGTGCCCGCCAGCATGTCCAATAAATACCTTCATTTTTTTTCTTTTTCTTTCTTTTTGTTTTTTTGGTGGTGCTGGGGTTTGAGCTCAGGGTCTTACTCTTGCTAGGCAGTCATCACTTGAGCCACTCCACCAGCCCTTTTTTGTGATGGGTTTTTTTTTCAAGATAGGGTCTTAACTATTTGCACAGGCTGGCTTCGAACTATGATCCTCCTGATCTCTGCCTCCTGAGTAGTTAGGATTATAAGCATGAGCCACCACGCCTGGCTTCTGTCTAATTTTTTCTTTTAATAAGTAAGTTGGCAGCTCCAGATCTCCCTGGGGGTGCAGAACCAGGCCCAGCTCAACGCTGGCTCGTTTCTTCCTCCTGTAATGTGCCTGTTTCCTTGCAGAATTCCGTGGATGCAGCAAAGCCACTACTGCGGAAAGCCATCCAGATCTCACAGCAAACGCCGTACTGGCACTGCCGCCTGCTCTTCCAGCTTGCTGTGAGTACTGGGCCAAGGCCTTGGGACACAGAGTTCGCGTCAGGCTGTTCACAGCCAGTGGTGGGGACCCAGGATGTTTCTATAACCGGCTCAAGCTTTGCTGTTAGTAGCACCCAGGCTCTGTGTGCCCAGGGGTGGTGGGTGGGAGTAAGTGAGTAGCTCCCCTGGCAGAAGAGGACCTCTGTTCATGAGCTACCTAGAGTCCCTCCCTCCTGGCCTCTCCCTTCCGCGGCTGCTCATAACAGTTGGGGAGCATTTCTGCTAGAGGTCCGCTGCGTTCTTTAAGAGCTGCGCCAAGATCCCCAGAGGCTGCCTGTTGGGCAGCAAATGCTACTCCCCTTTCAGCTCCCTGGTTGTAGGTGGTGCCCCGTTCTCTGGACCCCAGGACGCTGGGGCTGGCCTGAGCTAGGGCCTTCCTAGCTGCAAGGAGGGGCTGGCAGCCCCTGTGTGGACCTCTTCTCTCCTGGGCTCTGCCCCTACCTCCCTCACTGGGGCTCTCAGGTAGCCCTTCCTGGGCCAGCTGTCCTGTCCTTGACCCAGCTGGTTTTCCAGACCACCTCTTACATCCCACCCCCATGCTGTAGACCCATCATGCCGTGAGTGCACAGCGTGTGTGCTCTGGGCCAGAAGTGCCCCCTGGGGGAGCCCCTTATCCCAGGAGGTCTGGCTGAGTGGGGCTTGATTGGAAGTGATTCCCTTCCCTGTGGGCCCAACCTCTTCGCCCCAGCAGGTAAGGACATGAAACAGGTACTGGGTCTCCTGGCCCAGGTCGCAGAGCTGGTAGGTGGCATTTGTGTGTGCGCAGGAGCCCGAGTGAGGCCCGGAAGACAGTCCTCCAGGGTTCAGCCAGGCACAGGCCCCTTTCTGCTGGCTAAGGCTGGTGGAACCTGAACTCCCATAGACACTCGACCTCAGGGAGCTGGTCCTCCAGCAGCCCAGAGTATACCTGGGCTGCCCTCTTCATGGCAGCCCTGGATGCACTCACACCCATCCGGTGCTCTTGCAGCTCTGGGAGTCTGTGCCCACAGCACTAAGTGACGTGTGCATCAGCACATGGAGCACCAACCCCCAGCGTGAGCACCGATATAGTGGCTTCACCATCATGCTCATGCTGACACTGTCGTGGTCCTGGGGGTGTGGGAGGCCCGGCCGCACCTCCTTTAACAGCGGTAAGGCCAGTTCCATGGGGCTGGCAGGATGGGCAGTCACGGTCATCTCTCTCTCCTTTTTAGCAATTGCACACGCTTGAGAAAGACTTGGTGTCAGCCTGTGACCTCCTGGGTGTGGGGGCCGAGTATGCCCGCGTGGTGGGATCGGAGTACACACGGTAGGCACCTGGAGGAAGCAGCAGCTTAGTGTGGAGATGCCCGCCTCTCAGTGACGGGAGATGTGCAGTTCAAAAGTTCTGTGTGGTGGCTGCTAGGTGCGGGGGCTTGTCCGCAGTGTTGGCACTTGTGTTTCCGAGCCTCTTACAGTAGAATTTGCTTGGCCCCTGCCCTTCATCTCACAGATCTGCCCCAGTGGGGTCGGGTGTTGTGAGGCACTGGAGCAAAGTAGCCAGCATGAGTGTGAGGGCTGTGGAATTGCATTCCACGTAAAGCTGCTTGGCTGATCAGCGGGGCCTCAGCATTCCCCACGCCACCCCTGAGGGCAGACTCTAGACTTTGGAGGTCCCCAGGGCACCACACAGCTTCTCGCAGGCTGTCCTCATCCTAGAACTGTGCTGGTGCAGGCAGAGCTGTCACTTGCTGTCCTACCCTGGGATGGTAGCTGTCCTGTTGTCTAGCCCAATGACCCTATGTTCCAGACCCACCCTGTGCCCTGCGTGTTGTGATTGTTGCTGGGTTCTGGTGACGCACCAGCCCTAAGGGCACAGGGGCTTTGTCAGCATGCCTTGAGGCCACCTTCCCAGAATGTGCTCACCGTGCGTGTTCACCCATGGTCTTCGGCCAGCTGTCCTGTGAGCTGTACCTGCAGGTCCCCAGGCTCATAGCCTAGGGACCCCAGCACAGACCTCCTAGGCCAAGTGTCTTCTGTGTGACAGGTCTTCCTTGTAGATGTCCACAATCAGGTGAGGGGGTGACTGTAGAGTACCCAAGCTCTGAGTTAACAAGGAACAGCACAGTGTCCTGGAGGACAGGCAGGGGACCAAGCTGCATAGTGTGTGTCCCTACCCTGTCCCTTGCATGCTGTGTGACCCTGACCTTCTGTCCTCAGTTTCCACCTGGAAAATGGGGAGAGTGACTGCAACTTGCTTGTGTGTTGTCCTAGCACAGAGAACTCAGATGACCGGTAAAGCAAAGCTTCAGTGTTGAAAAAAGGGGCTTTGGGGTATGACTCAGCAGCACAGAGCTTGCCTACCACACATGAGGCCCAGGTTCTGTCCCCAGGGCCAGTGGGCATAGCACAGGCACAGCTGGTGGGGTTCTGCAGTGCTGGGCAAGCACCCATCACTGAGCCACACCTCAGCCCTAGTAGCTGTTCCTAAAGTCAGGGTCCTCTGTGCACCGTGGTGCTTGTTGGAGTGGGGCACAGGTCTGCTCCAGCTCGCTCTGGTTCAGTCACTGTGTGCTGAACACCCTGTCTGTGCTCTTACCATTCTTCCTGCACATTTGTGTAGAAAGCTCAGGAGGATAGGGAGGGAAGGCCCCAAGGCTGGCGTGCAGGTGGGGGTGTGACGCAGCTGATGTGTGGGCCTTCCTGTCTGTCCTCTTGATCTTGAGGATGCTGACGGGCACATGGCCAGGTTCACAGACAAGGATGAGCCCTGTGCCCACCCTGGATGTCTCCTGATGCCAGGCCCCCACCTGCTGTCTGGTGGCACTTTGATGATAGTAAGAGTGCCACCTGTTGTCCTACCTGGAACATGGCCTTTTAAACTTTTCTTGGCGGTACTGGGGCTTGAACTCAGGGCCCATACTTTCATCCACTCCACCAGCCCTTTTTCATGATGGGTTTTTTTCTAAATAAGGTCTCACGAACTGTGTGCCTGGGCTGGCTTTGCGCCATGATCCTCCTGATCTTTGCCTCCTGAGTAGCTAGGATTACAGGTGTGAGCCACCAGTGCCCAGCCCCTTGTAGACTTTTGACCCTTGAGGGTGCCTAGGCCATACACAAAAGTAAAGAGGCCGCCAAAGTGGCCATGACTGTCATCCTAGCACTTGGGAGGCAGAGGCCAACTTAGGCTGCAGAGTGAGATCCTGTCTCAAAAGCTGAAAGAAAATCCAGGTGCTGGTGGCTCATGCCTGTAATCCTAGCTGATCAGGAGGATCGGAGTTGGAAGCCAATCCAGGCAAATAGTTCATGAGACCCTTTCTCAAAACAAAGCCCGTCACAAAAAGGGGCAGGTGGAGTGGCTCAAAGTGTAGGCTCTGAGTTTAAAAAAAAAAAGCAATTAAAATGCTAAAAAAAAAAAAATGGTAGAATAAATGCGGCAGTTCTGTTAATAAGACAAACCTTGCCGTGGACAGTTCACTGTCATCTACGTGCCTGTCTCCCAGATGGCACATTAGGGCCGCGAGCATTGGGGTGGCCATGCTTATCCCTGTGGCCCTCTCAGAACTGACTTCGGTCTCTGTTTTCCAGGGCGCTGTTCCTGCTCAGCAAAGGGATGGTAAGTGGAGGCAGCGCATTGCAGGGTGAGGCCAGCGCAGTTTGCCCATGGCTGTAGAGGTGAACATCAGACTCTGACTTGGGTTGTGTGTGGAGGATGGGGCCTCGTGCAGCTGGCTTTGCCCAGGGTGGTGGCTCTGCGCCGGGCAGGGGCTCCTGCAGGACACAGTACAGCACACAGCCCGTACTCTCCCACAGCTGCTATTGATGGAGCGCAAGCTGCAAGAGGTGCACCCGCTGCTGACGCTGTGTGGGCAGATCGTGGAGAACTGGCAGGGGAACCCCATCCAGAAGGAGTCGCTGCGTGTCTTCTTCCTGGTACTGCAGGTCACCCACTATCTGGATGCTGGCCAGGTGCGTGGTGCCTCGGGGTGTGTGAGGCAGGGGATGATGGGCTATAGGCTTTGATGTCCTCTGTGTCATCCCATTGCACTGTGGTTTGTTGTGTCCACTTACACACTCTACTTTTACACAGGCAGAGGTTTTGTCCTGGAGTCTGTGTTGGCGTTAGGGGTAGTGACTTGTGGCCTCACACATCTACCCAGTGTATGCATTAGGGCAGAAAAGGGAGTCCATGAGAATAAATGCAGGGGTTCTGGGGGAGGTTTGTCACTCAGCTGGCGCTTAGGCAGTCTCCCAACCCACTTACCCAGCCCTGATATCTGTATGAGGCTCAAATAGGGGGTCCCATCCTCCACTCTGTAACCCCTGTGTGCCTGGGGGTAGCTTTGTCTGAACACCTTATATCAGGCAGGGTGACTACCCAAGCCCTCGCTGCATCGAGGCTGCCCTGTCCAGCTGGTCCCATGGGCACTGAAGGCAGGGCATCTCCTTGGGTGCCAGTGGAGCCTGGCAGCAAGAGGTTCTAGAAAGTGCCAAGTGGGTGTCTCCAGAAGGGCTTCCTTGGTTCCCCACCTTTCCCATTGGGCTGAGCACCTCACTTGGCATGTAAAAACATGGCAGACTACCTCACTTGGCGATTCCATGGCCACCAGGTGTCATGGGGGTCCTGAGAGCCAACAATGCTCTGTGGGCTTGATGCAGACAGGACAGTGGGTGGGAGCCATGGTGCCGGCAGAACTCCTGGGCGCAGAAGGCCCCTGACTGCAGGCAGGCCAGGTGCAGCTTAGCCAGCATCCGCACAGGCCTCTCTCAGGCCCAGAGGCCTGGTGGGGAAGCGGGGAGGCGTGGAGTGGCAGGCACTCACTCACCGTGTGCCTACAGGTGAAGAGTGTGAAGCCGTGCCTGAAGCAGTTGCAGCAGTGCATCCAGACCATCTCCACGCTGCACGATGACGAGATCCTGCCCAGCAACCCCGCGGACCTCTTCCACTGGCTGCCCAAGGAACACATGTGTGTGCTCGTCTACCTGGTGAGTGCCACCAGCTGTGGGCCAGGCTGGGCCGCCTGAGGGCCGGGCCCTGCTGACTGCTGCCCATCTCATGCCAGGTGACCGTGATGCACTCCATGCAGGCCGGCTACCTGGAGAAGGCTCAGAAGTACACAGACAAGGCCCTCATGCAGCTGGAAAAACTCAAGAGTGAGTGGCGCCTTGATCTCCCCGCCTGTGCGAGGTGGCACTCTGCAGACAGATGGTGTCTGCTTTTCTGATTGTCATAGTGTGGATATGCTCGGGGAGGCCAGGGTCAGAACCCTATCTCTCACTCTCCTGTGACGGGACCTTCAGAGGTCGTTGATTCTTTCCACTTTCTGGACTGTTTACTCCAGCCTGGGGGATCAGGACCCTTTGTCTAGCATGAATCCAAAGCCCCCAGTATCTGTGGCTGAGTGTCCCCTAAAGTCTGCCTTCTGCTCCCTGGGTCATCCTGAGTGCTCTGCCGGGAGAGCCCTTCGCTCTGGTTCCACTCAGGGCTGCCAGGGCCCCCCCACTGCTGAGGCTGTCAGAGCACCTTTACCACGTCCAGAACCTCCCGTGTCCAGCATGTTCTCAAGCACTTAGCAGAGTGGGGTGACGACCAAACACAGACCTCTCCAGGGTTGGTTTTTTTTTTTTTTTTGTGGGGACTGGGATTTGAACTTGGGGTGTTGCACTTGCAAAACAGGTGCTCTACCACTTGAGCTGTTCTTCAGCCCATTTTGCTTAGGTTATTTTAGGAGACAGGGTCTCAAGAACTGTTTACACAAGGGTTGGTAGAGTGGCTCAAGTGGTAGAATGCCTGCCTAGCATGCGTGAGGCCCTGAGTTCAAATTCCAGTACCAGGGCAAAAAAAAGAAAAAGGATTTGGAGAACTGTTTGCCTGGAGTGGCCTTGAGCCATGTTCTTCCCGATCTCAGCCTCAGCCTCCTAAGTAACTAGGATTATGAGCCGCTTTTTTTTTTTTTTTTTTTTTAAAGTCAGAGTCTCAATTCGTTGCCCAGCCTGGTTTTGAACCCTTGGGCTCAGGGAATCCTTCAACTCCAACTTCCTAGCTGGCTGGAACTATAGGTGTGCAGCACCTTCCCCAGCCCAGCCAAAAGCTTCTGCTTTTTCCTTTTGGTGTGGACACGCAGCCCAGAGCCTGTTCACGCTAAACACATGATCACTGAGCGTCCCTGCCGAGACCCTCGGTGCACCCACACTTAAGCCCCTCTCTTCGCCTAATGGGGAGGCAACATGGGGCTGCCGGAGCACGGGGCAGGAAGCAGAGTTCTAGCAGGGTTCTAGCTGGGCAGCCCACCCTGCGCTCATCTGTGCTCTCGCCCCAGTGCTCGACTGCAGCCCCATCCTGTCCTCGTTCCAAGTGATCCTGCTGGAGCACATCATCATGTGCCGTCTCGTCACGGGCCACAAGGCCACCGCACTGCAGGAGGTGAGGCTGCACCCGTGCTTACCCGCAGGGTGTCCCGTCCTGTCACCCCACCCCTTGGCAGTGCACACTGCCACAGTTGCAGCTGACGGAGAATCCGATACAGCACCAGCAGTTCCTAAGATGGCGTGAGCAGGGCACAAGTCGCCTCTCGACTGAGACCCAGATGGAAAGGGTGGAGGGTCGCTGTCCATGGGAGAGTAGGGCTGCACTTTGCCCTGGTGGTGGGTAGATGGGACTTGGGCATGTCTGCCAGCTTGGGGTTACTCTCCAGCACTGCTCAGAAACCAGGTTCCATGGCCTGGGCTCCTCTCCCCACAGATCTCCCAGGTCTGCCAGCTGTGCCAGCAGTCCCCCCGGCTCTTCTCCAACCACGCAGCTCAGCTGCACACGCTGCTGGTGAGTGCACCCAAGCAGAGAGAAACCAACCCACCCCAGGCGAGGCCCAGAACGTCCCAGCCTGGAGTCCTGTGACCCCACCCCAGCCAGGGCCCGGAGTGTCCCCAGTTGTCTCAGGTCTGGGGAGGTGGGGATAACCCACCGTGTCATCTTATGTAGTGTTGTAGCTGGCTCAGTGGAGCCACTTACTCGCTTGTGCTTGTCTAGGTACAGCACTGTCCCCTGTCCCCCCGCCCCAGGCACTGCACGTCACTGTCATCCTAGCCTCTGTCCCTTGGGGTCGGCCCTGTGGCTGACATGTCTTCTCCTAGGGCCTGTACTGCGTCTCTGTCAACTGCATGGACAACGCGGAAGCCCAGTTTACCACAGCACTGCGGGTGAGGAGCCCCTCCTGGCACAGGCGGGTGCCGTAGTGACAGTGCTCATCCACATTAGGGTGGCTGTGGGGGGAGGAGACCCCTGACCAGCCTGAGAAAACTGAGATGTGAGGGAGAGACACAGCATGTCGGGGGCACAGGGAAACAGGTGCCATGGCCTTTCTAGCCAAGTTCCCACCTCAGTTTGCTCACATCCCAGCTGGAGTCACCCTGGGCTCCGGGGATCCCTAGCGCCACCGAGTGGTGAGTAGCTGGTCTGTGCTGGGGCAGAGGAAGAGGCTCCGTCTGGGGCATCAACACCCTAGTTCCTGACCTCAGACCAGGCTCTTCTGGGTCATGTCCCAGCTCTACCTGCCCTGCATCAGGACCGACAGGGTGTCCCCACCTTAGCCTCAATGTCCTTGTGAGGAAAGAGACCGGCAGTGAAGAGGTGGGGAAGCAGGACTTCCGTTGGCCACTCAGGCTGGTCGTTAGGCGGAGCTCTGACTGGGCGAGGCTCCTCCCTCTGTGGTGCTGCTTGTGCCCCTGGCAACTGCTTCCCCCACCACTGGCCTGGAGACGCACAGGATCCCTGGCATGCCCACACTGGCCTGGTGCTCATTCCTCTGCCCCTCCCTCGTTCGTGGCCCCATAGTCTCCCGCCACCCATCCTCCCTCCTCACTTCCCACAGCAGCTCAGCACTGGCTCCCAGAACCCATGGGGAACATAGGAAGTGGTGCAGCCGAGCCGAGCACCCACCCATGGTCCCACCACAGTGCCCCTGACATTGCTCTTATTTGTGTGAAAACTTTTCAGTTATATTATCGTAATGGGGGCACATTGTGACATTTACAGAAGTCTTTGTGATATACCCTAGTTAAATTCATCCCCCTCCATCATTCTTCTTTATCCCTCCTACCCCTCCGGCATTGCTCCATCTCAGGACACAATTTGGTTCATAGGCCACCCTGAGCCAGGCTCGGGCCATGTGCTCCGTCCCTCTCCTGCCCATCTTGTTCCCCAAGAAGAGCTGAGGTGGGCTGGGATACTGCTCAGTGCTGGCTACTTTCCTAGCATGTGCGAGGCCCCTCGAAGAAAAGCTAGTGGCCACCTGTCACTGCTCATCCGCATGCCTTATGGCCTCTGGGTGGGCAGTGCCCCCAGTGGAGGGAGAGCAGACCCCTGGGCCCAGTGTGTTCCTCAGCATCACCACACACGTGCCCAGGTCACCCCTGCGGTGTGGAAGGAGGGAGCTACCGTTCTGAGCAGGGTGGGCAGCGGCTCTCTGCTTTTTCCACTTGCTGTGTAGCAGGCGGTTTAGAGCGAAAAGAACCAGTAGCTGAGTTGCCCTTACCTAGGATTAGGAGGTGAGGGGGTGTGCCCAAGATGAAGAATTCCAGGTTCCTGCAGTGACCACTGGGAAGCTCTTGAGTGGCTTGAGACAAAGGTGGGCCCTCGTGTGATGCATCTATGCCCAGCCCGACTCCCTAACGTCCCTGTGTCTCCTTCCAGCTCACCAACCACCAGGAGCTGTGGGCCTTCATCGTCACCAACCTTGCCAGTGTGTATATACGAGAAGGAAATAGACACCAAGAGGTAGTAGGTGACATGCTTCGTGTTCGGTAGCCTTCTCTCACTTCTCTACTTGGGCTGGGTCGTCCTGGGGCCCACAGACTTCAGCAGCCCCAGGATGCTGACCTTTTGACAGGGTGGCTGCCCTTGGGGAGGCATGCGGGACCTGGGTCCGCGGCTAGGGTAGGAGCACTGCCGCAGCTGTGTAGTGCCTCACCCCACAGAGGGTGAGCCAGCACTACCAAACCCTCAGCGAGACCCATTATGGAAGCCCACTATCTGCAGCCCAGGCTGTGCCTGTCCTTCCCTACGTTGTCCTGATGCCCAGTCTGGGGAAGGGGTGGTAACGCACGGCTTGGTGCCCAGGACCATCCATACAGATGTTAGGTTCACCGTGCTGTCCCCCTCAGCCCTTGGGTCCCCTCCATGGTATCCCACTCTCTCTCCACCCCCAAGCCTTGTCGCCCAGGAGCTAGCTCACCTGTTTCTGTCCCCCCCACCAGTGTTTGTGTGACAAGGGGATGGCACTGGGCTCAGCCTCAGCGCACTTCTGCCCTCATCCGCAGTCAGTCCTTGCAAGGGTCCCCACCCTCAGCAGGCTCTCAGGGCGAGCTGAGGGTGGGGGTTCCAGCCATGCACCGCACCCTCACATGCGGTATAGGCGGCCCTGGTCGCCCCAGTTGCACCGCAGGCCTACCTTGCTCCAGCGTGGAGACGAGGGTGAGGGTGATGCTGACTCGCACCTTCTGCTCCTAGTTGTACAGTTTGCTGGAGAGGATAAACCCGGACCACAGCTTCCCTGTCAGGTGAGCAGCCCTGACCCAGCCCGCCGGCCTTGGGAAACCTGCCCTTTGGGGTGGTGCTATGTCCCCAGGCCCCAGTGTGTCCGTGATTGCTGGTGCCTCCTTGTCCCTGCAGACAGCCCCTGCCCCTTCCCCTTGGGTACTCTTTTTTTAAATTGCTGCTGCTCCCATGATGCCGTGTCTGTGTTTCCCCAGCTCACACTGCCTGCGAGCAGCGGCTTTCTACGTGCGTGGGCTCTTCTCCTTCTTCCAGGGACGCTACAATGAGGCCAAGTGAGTGTGGGGGTAAGGAGGTGGTCATGTCCTCTTGCGGTCTCCATCTCAGGCTGAGCCCAGTCTCCAGCCACTGCCTCTCCTCTGCTAAGCATAGTCCCCGCAGGGCATCAGCATGCGTGTCTCCTTGTTCAGGAGGTTCCTGCGGGAGACTCTGAAGATGTCTAACGCGGAAGACCTGAACCGGCTGACGGCCTGCTCCCTCGTGCTCCTGGGCCACATCTTCTACGTGCTGGGGAACCACAGGGTGAGCGTGTAACCTGGGCCAGGGACGGGGCTGGAACAGCAGGAATAGCTGCCTGGGGAGTGCCACCCTATTGCCTGGGGAGCTTCCTGTGCTATGAGCCAGGACAACCCCAGCATGGTGCATTGCCCCTAACACCACTCTGCAAACCCAGCAAGGGCAGTGGGCAGCAGGTAGCGCTTGTAGAGATGTGAAGGGTGTGCCTATCTGGGGTGGGAAGGCTGAGCCAGCCTAGGCTTTGGTCAGCCAGGGCCTAGAGCTCATGGACTGAAGCTGTCCTCTGTCCGTCCACCCGTGGATACCTGGGACACATGGGGCTTCAGTACTGAGGGCAGCAGCATCTCCTCTCACTACTCTCCTGGGAACCCCATGTCCTAGCACATGCTGTCCCTTAGGGCACAAGTGGACCTCTGGGGCTGTTCCCACCCCAAGCCAGCAGTCTTTGGTGGGATCAGTAGTCTCAATGATTCTCCCACATCTGCATCACCTACTGTCAGCCAAGTGACCTCATGTGACTTCTGACTTTTTTTTTGGTGGGACTGAGGTTTGCACTCAGGGCTTCAGGCTTGCAAAGCAGGTGCTCTACTGCTTGAGCTCCTCCTCCAGTCCATTTGGTTCTTGTCATTTTGGGAATGGGGTCTTGTGAACTGTTGTCTAGGCTGATCTCAAACCTCAGTTCTCCTGATCTCAGCTTCCCAAGTATCTGGGATTACAAGCGTGAGCCACCAGCACCTGGACCTTTTAACTCTTTAAAGATACTTGCAGAACCAGAGGTGAGCTTCAAGAGGCAGAGCACCTGCTTTGTGAATGTGAAGCCCTGAGTTCAAACACCAGTCCCACCAAAAAACAGAAAAGATAATTGCAAAGTATGGTGTGTAGCCAGGTGTGGTGACCACACCTATCATCCCAACACTTGGGAAGCCCAAGCAGGTGGATTGGGAGTTCCAGGCCAGATTAGGCTATATAGCAAGACCCTTTCTCTCAAAAAAAAAAAAAGGGAGAGAGATACAAGAAAAGAAATCTGACATGTCATGATAAACATTTTGAGAGTCGGGTGCCCTCCACCTGCACCCTTTGCACTGCCCGCCCTGCCCCAGTTGGTTTGTCTTGTGACATCATCTGAAGCATTTCCTCCATGACGGTGTGGGCTGTCTGCAGCAGGTACTATGACTAGTCTTGGTCTGTGTGTTCGCTGATTGCACCCCAGGGCCCCTCATTGGGTGTTCTTAATGAGCCTGGCTCCTCCTGCCCTTGAAGCCATGTGGCAAGCTTTGGGCGAGGCATGGGCCCTGTAGCCTGGGCCCTGGGAGCCATGGCCTCAACCACCGGGGGCATCAGCCCTCGAAGGAAACACTTTTGAGTTTGTCTTTTCTGGTGGTATTGGGGTTTGAACTCTTGACCTCGCACTTACCAGGCAGCCACTCTGCTTGAGCCGTGTCCCCAGCCCTAGTTATTTTTTAGATAGGGTCTCACGCTTTCACCCTCGCTGGCCTGGACAGCGAGGCCTGCCGGCAGCCTACCGCATAACAGGGGTAACAGGTGTGCACCACCACAGTCATTTGGTGAGATGGGATCTTGCTAACTTTTTGCCTGGGCTGGCCTTGAACCATGATCCAGCTGGATTGCAGGCATGAGCCACTGCACCCAGTCTCTTGCTTTGTCCTTCTGAGTAGATTTCCACTCCTTCTAGAATGTTCTTCCCCTTCACCTGCTAGCCTCTGAGCATAGTGGGAGCACCGTAATACAGTGGAATGGCCGTGGTGTGTGGAGGGCCCCAGCACTGAGGCCTGCAGAGGGTGGGCTGCGACTGTCCTAGTACCAGGTGGAGCCTTGGGTTACACAGCCCCAACAGCAGGCCCAGGATCGGAAGCTAGACCCCTCCTGGCTAGAAGCCCCTAGAAGCTGCCTTGAGCCAGGCCAGGGCACAGAGCAGCTCCTCCCTGCAATGTGGCCAGTGTCTCAGGCCACATGGGCAGTCTCTCAGCCTCACCCCAGTGCTCTGCTTGCCTGGGCCCACAGGGGACGAGGGATAGGGGCAGGAAGTTCCCAGAACCCTCAGGCCAGGTCCTGGCCTAGAGTGACTCAGAGACACAGCTGGGTACAGTGAGCTAGCCCTATGAGATCAGGGCTGCAGGTGCCCACAGAGCCATCAGCCCTAGGGTCTGGGGTGGTGGGGGTGCAGGGTAAGGATGGCACAGCAGGTACCATGACAGCTGGGGTGTAGACCTCTTTCCCAGTACATGGGCATCCAGGCATTGCTGGTAGCCTCACGTGGACACTGAGGATCACACAGTCTGTGGGGCTACTCCAGGTTGGTGTCAGGAGCAGGGGCCAGCCTAGCCTCCCTTGGGCCATCAGCAGTCCCCAAGGGTCTCCAGAGGGCCAGGAGCAGCCTTTCCCACCTGCTTGTGTTCAGAGGTTTGAACTAAGTTTCAGAGGATTTGGCTAAGTTTTTAGAAGCTTCCAGACTCACGCTGGGGTGTGAGTCAGTGGTGAATGTTTGACTGCCATGAACAAAACCATGTATTCCATCCCTGGAACTACAAAAATAAGTAAGTAAATAAATAGTGGAAGAAGCTTCCCGATTGGTGTGGAGCTCACACTCAGGATATAACTTTGGGCAGTGTGGGGGCAGCTTTCGTGTCTAGGGGAGTGTTCTGCACACGTGCTCCTGAGAGGCTGGGTAGGGCCAGTTGGGTGTTCTGTTGTGTTTACAGGGCTGGGATGCAACCCAGGGCCTCCTGTGTGCAAGGCGAGCCCCTGCCTAGCCCTGGCAGTTGGGTACAGGTTCTGTGCCTCAGCTCCGTGACAAGTATCCCCTGGGCTGCTGGGAGCTATTGCACAGGCGTTCTCTCAGCCCCTCCCTGAGCCCAGCACCCAGGTCCACAGCCTGGGCAGTGTCCCCTCACGGTCACGGTGGGGACAGGGACATTGATGATGGCCCCTCACAGCACACACAGGACTCCTCCAGCCCCATCCTGAGGCACCGGGCCTCAGTCCCTCACAGCTTAGGGACAGCTAGCAGAGGAGTCCACACCCCAACCCAGTCCCTGTTGTAGGTTCAGAGCTGGCGGCCCTCTGCGCCTCTTGAAAGGCGCACGGGATGGCTGGCCATTGACCATGCCTAGGTAAGCAGGTGCACACAGATTGGGACTAAGGCAATCTCTTGCCCAAGGTGGACGAGGAGTACTTGAAAGACGGCTGTTTTAAGTGGGCCCTGAAGTTGGGGTAGGAGTTTGCCAGGCAGCATCAAAAAGAGCACAGACTAGGCTGTGTTTGGCAGGCACAGCCCAGGCTGTCCTCTGCCGTCTGGCTCAGTGCCCCCTGGCTGCTCTTGTTGACAGGAGAGTAACAACATGGTGGTGCCTGCCATGCAGCTGGCCAGCAAGATCCCGGACATGTCGGTGCAGCTGTGGTCGTCCGCCCTGCTGAGAGGTCAGTGTGTGGTCACCCCACCCCTCCCCGCCAGGAAGGCCTCTCCCGGCCCAGCCTCCCAATATCAGGTGGGGCCTCCATGCATCTAGATGTAGCATGGCAAGGCTCACTGGGACTTGGCAAGCGTTGGTGTCCCTGGTGCAGGGCAGTGTTTGTGGCTGCCACCCCCAGATACAGAGTGGGAAACTGAGTCCGGGGACTGAGGAGGAGGCCGGGGTGGGGTTCCTCCTGTCTGCAGGGCCTTGTGGGCTGAGTCGCTGGGCCTTAGATGGCATCAGTGTCCTCCAGCGAGTTGCTGCCCCTCATGGACCCTGTGCTTGGGCTTGGTCGCCCAGGTAGGCTCACGTGGTGACATGTCATCCGCCCCACCCTCAGACCTAAACAAGGCCTGCGGGAATGCCATGGACGCCCATGAGGCCGCGCAGATGCACCAGAACTTCTCACAGCAGCTGCTCCAGGACCACATCGAGGCCTGCAGCCTCCCCGAGCACAACCTCATCACGGTGCGTGGGGTCGGGGCGGGGTACTCCCTTCTCTGCCAGGGCCTGGAGTGGGAGATGGCCACAGCACCTCCTGTGTGACTTCTCCCCACAGTGGACAGATGGCCCGCCTCCTGTGCAGTTCCAGGCTCAGAACGGACCCAACACCAGCCTGGCCAGCCTCCTGTGAGGACTTGGAGGGGGCCGTGCGTCCCCACCTTCCCTGGACACCACCTGAGCTCTCCTGGAGGCAGGCCCTGTGGATGGCCCCAGCTTCTCTCAGTCTTGGGGAGTGGGCGGGGCGGGGCCCACCTGGTTCTGGGACCCCTGGTGTGGAAGCCACAGGTGGGATGTGGGCGCCAGCTCCAGTGCCATCCTCTGAAGTGGACTTGGTGGCCTCCTGCTCCCACGTCGGTGTCTTCACCCACTAGGAGTGGGTACAGGTCTTAGCTGCCTCTGGCCTGTGCCAGCTGGCTGGTACCTTGGGGCAGCGCCATCTGATCGCATTGCCCCAGCCTCGATGCCCAGGGCCAGTGTTGGCCGTGCTCAAGGCCACCAGTGTCCAGAGCCAGAGCGAGACCCCATTTTCTGAACCAAACTGAGAAGGAGCCATGACCCTCACAGGACGTGACCCAAGGCCCAACATCTCTCACCACCTGCCTTCCTCTCCAGTGCCTGCCCCTGTGACCTCGGGGCCTCAGCTCAGGTTCTCGGGGACTCTGCTTCCAAACCACTGCACCTTGACTGGAGCCACCATCTGTGTTCTGTGCTGTGCTGTGCCATGAGCGTGGCTGTGGCTGTGCACGTGTGGTGGAGATTGTCAGCTGCAGCCAGCACTGAGGCCATGTTTCCGCTGCATTGCTGCATAGGACAGGAAGCAGGCAAGGGGCTCCTTCCCAAAGCTGAGGCCTCTTCACCCAGCTTTGGGGCAAAGCAGACGGCCCTCGGACCTGAGCCAGACCTTCTTCCCGTGGACTGCACTCCTCTACTGAGGACACTGGGGGGGACCTCAGAAGGAAGTCCAGACCTTCACGAGCAGGACCCCAGGGAGGTGCTGCCAGGCCCAAGCGGGCACTGACTTCCTGCTCTTGGATAGTCAGGGAGGTGCTGCATGCTGCTGCTGGACTGGAGTGGCATAGTGGGAGTCAGCCGCGCCCTGCATCTTGAAGTCTGTCCCTGCCACAGATGAGTGGCCGCAGCAGCAGGGTGGGCAGTGGGCTTGGGTCTCGTCACTCTTGCACTGTGAGCAGCTTCTCGGAGTGTGGGATCTGACTACAACGTGCCAGGCACACTCAGAAGCAGGTCAGCAGTAGCCTCTTCCTTGCTGCGCCACGCCCATGGCTGGAGACAGATTGCCCAGGGCACCAGACAGGGCACGTAGGCCCTGGCCTGCTCGTCCCGACGGGGCCCCGGCCCTGCATCCTGCTGCACGGCCTTGCAGCACCCCGCAATCACGTGCATCGTGCTCGCCCCGCCTATTTATTTCAGCCTTTCGCTTCTAGGGCATTTTGTGTTAGAGCAGTTGAAGTGAGGACCTCGGCCTGACGTCTGTCCTGCTGCAGAAGTACAGAGTTAAGGTCAGAAAGGCACAATTAAAAGTTCCGTACTCGGTGTCTGCTACTCCACATTGTGTGTGTGTGTGTGTGTGTGCGTGTGCGTGCGTGTGTGTGTGTGTGTGTGTGCGTGGTGTTGAGCCTTCCCTCCGCAGCACTCCTGTCACCCGAAGCTCGAGCTGAGTTCCTTGAGTGCGGCCCACGCCTCACAGTTCTGCATTGCATCATGGGGATGGGAGGCAGGCAGCCAGCCCCCACGGGGACAGTGCACACAGTGTCCCAAAACTGAGTGGCTGGGAAACACCAAAGCTGCAGGCGGTGCTGGGGGAGCAGTAGAGCAGGGACTCCGCGGCCTGCCCGGCAGCTGCAGTGTGCGTGCTGGCTGTGACGTCTTGTCACGGGTTTGTGGTAGCTCACCGTGGCAGCAGCCCCGAAGACCAGCTGGTGCTTTTGATCGGGCAGAACGACTGCCCATACGGAACGTTTAACAGCACTAACCGCCACGCGTGGCTTCCTGTTGCCGGGCAGCTCTTCCTACGTGTTCCAAGTAAAGTCTGTGACGGGAGCCATCACTTGCCGTGCCTTTGTCGCTCTGTGTCCCACCCGCGCCCTCCCTGCCTGACAGGTGGGGCCTCTTCTGTGTGGCAGCTTCAGCTCACAGGTGTGAGGATGCAGATCCCCCATCCTGTCCCCGATTTCCTGGTGGGAGCCACTCGTAGCCTGCTCCAGGACTGGAGGTGTGGCTCAAGTGGCAGAGTGCCTATCTAGCAAGGGCCAGGGCCTGAGTTCAAACCCCAGCATGTTCCTCTGGTTCAGTTGGCCTGGGGGGGGCGGAGGTGGGGAGGAAGTATGGCCTGCTACACCAACTGCCACGTGCCTCTGGGGACTTGGTTTCCTTCATGGGGTCTTTTGGGATGGGTTTAGAACTATTTGACAGGGCTGTCTTCGAACCACAGTCCTCCTGATCTCTGCCTCCTGAGTAGCTAGGATCACAGGCGTGAACCACCAGCACCTGCCTTCATGGGGTTGTCGTCTGTTGAGTTGAAATTCACGTAAAATTAACCAGATGTTTGGGTTTGTTGTTTTGAGACACGTTTCACTGTGTTACTCAGGCTGACCTTGAACTCCCGGGCTCAAGCAATCCTCCCACCTCAGCCTCACTAGTAGCTGGGACCACAGGGGTCGCCCCCATGCCTGCCATTAACGGTTTCCGTGTGGACCGGTGCAGTACAGTCGGGACTCCTTACCTGCTGCCCATACCCGTGGGCTCAATGGATTGTACACCGCGTGGCATTTTTGCGTCTGGCTTCTGTCACTTAGCATTGTGTGTTTGTGTTTTTGAGGTCCATCCACCTTGTAGCATGTGTCAGTGCTTCATTCCTTTTCAGGGCTGACTGATACTCCACTGTGGTTGCACCACCTTTTCTTTGTGCTCCATGGTTCATCCTTTGATGGACACCTAGCTGGTTCCACCCTTGTGGTTGTCAGGAGTGCCACTGCTGGCACGCCCACTCTTGGTATTTTTGAACATGTTTTCTGGATTTTGTTTGGTTGTCAGGTTTTGGTTTTTTTCGGGGTGGGAGGGCCTTGCCCAAGTCACACACACTTTCTACCACTGAGCCACACTCTGTGCTTCCAGCATATTTTTTGGCGGCTCTGGGGTTTGAACTCGGGGCCGCATGCTTGCTAGGCAGGCGCTCTCCCACCTGCACCATTCCGTCAGTCAGCGCTCCCTTTAGTGCGTTCTTAGCGTGCACAGATGAGACTAGGTCAACCCTCTCCAGGACAGCATCGACAGCCTTGCTTGTTCCTGCCCATGTGCCAGAGGGTGTATCCACCATGCTTTCCTTGTCGTGCCTCACGGACACGTGGGGCGGCAAGGGGACATTGCTGGCACTCGTCCCAAGGGCTGTCCCAAGAACCCTTTCGGCTGTGACCCTGGGGCCAAGCCACTGGTCACTGAGTGTGCAGGTGTTTGATGCACCCCATCTTTCCCGAGAGCTGTCCCAGTCCAGGTGACTGGTTGCCCCTGTTCAGCGTGGGTGTCATTTCTGCCAGACAGGTAGGCGGGGGCCTGGCCCTGGCGCCTGTGATCCCCGATGTTACTCCAGAGTGCAGAGCAGACAGTGCACTGTGTGCCAGCCACCTGCGGCCTGTGCACAGCCGCCATGCTTCCGGCTGGGAGGTGGGAGTCCACGTGTCCTGGCTGGCCAAAGTTGCACACAAGGTGTGGCTCACGGGTACAGCGTGCGCTCGGCATGCATGAGGGTCAGGGTTCCAGCCCCAGCACCAAAAAGTCTTTAAAGTGACTCCAAACAAGTCTTTCAGGCTAGGGTCCCAAAAAGCCAGGACCACACCATACATTCTGGGTCACTTGGGCTCTGTGCAGCAGCTGGGAGCAAGGACCCCACCGTCTCTCAGGAAGTGAGAGCTGTACCATAGCTACAGCCCTTTTTCTTCTCTTGATTGTTTTTTTCAGTACTGAGATTTGAACTCCGGGCCTCACGCTTCCTATCGCTGGAGCCACTCCGCCAGCCCTTGGTGTGGGTGTGGGCGTGGGTGTTGGGTATCTCTGAGATGGAGTCTCACTTTTTGCCTGAGCTGACTTGGAACCTCTGTGCTCTTGATCTCTGCCTCCTGAGTGGCTAAGATGGCAGGCGTGAGCCTCCTACACAAGGCTTCCTGTTGCCGTTTTGAGACGTCTCAGTAGACCAGCCTGGCTCAACTTTTCCCCCACAGGCAGCGTGTCTTGCTCCCACTGGCCACATCCAGCAGCACACTTTCGGAGCACACAGCTTCTAGAACCACCTCCTGATGACAACTCTGTTGAAAACCTGACCCAAAAGCCCCCACACTTCAGCATGTTTGGGGTGCTATCACAAAACACCACAGACCACACGCCAGGGATCCCACACTCGGGGCCGGGGCAGGAGGACTGTGAATTCCAGGCCAGGCTGGGGCTGCACAGTGAGACCCTGTCTCAAACACAAAACAAGAAAAACAACAATTAAAACAGATGCAGTTAGCCGTGTGCCTCAGCTACTTGGGAGGCTGAGATTGGGAGGATCGCAGTTGAAGGTCAGCCCCACGAAATACTTCATGGGACCCCCCCCCCATCTCCTAAATAACTCGAGCTAACCTTACTGGAGGTGTGGCTCAAGCTGTAGAGCACCTGCTTTGTAAGCCTGAGGTCCTGAGTTCAAATCCCAGTCCCACCAAGAAAAGGGGTGGGAAGCACCTGCCTAGCATCCATGAGGCCCTGGGTTCCATCCCAGTCACCACAGAAAAGAAAAAAGCTCCCAGAAACCGGGCCCTCTGGACATGGGCCACTGTCACCGTGCATTGCCCTGGCTCTGAATGCTGTCTGGAACCATAATTCCTTACACGTGGGGTTCAGGCAACGTGGGGCTCAAGGCAACGTGGGGTTCGCGCCCTCTCTACGATTAGGCACATTTCTCCAGAGTGAGGCCCTCTGTGGTCCCAGTGGTGTCCATGGTCTGCAGGACTCTGAGCACAAACACTGCCCTAAAGGGTTAAGCACAAACTGCTCTCAAGTCTGGCTGTGAACCGGAAGTGCATCTCCCACTGTCTTCACCGCCTGTGTCACCAAGTGGCCCCTTGGCCACCAGGGGGCACGGCAGGCCTGGGAGCAGTCAGGCAGCCCTGGCAGGGTCCCCCCCCAGGTAGGTCCAGTGGGAGTCCCCAGCCTGCACAGGAAGGCTGGCCTGAGCATCTGAGCAGAGAGGTGACTCCCTGCGTCCTCGTTTCCCTGTGTGACAGCAAATCTGTACAAAGCCCCGGGGGTCAGGGCTACGCCATTCCCGCAGCTACTCCCCAGGCATCTGTGAGGCTCCTACGGTGCTCTGGGCGCCAGGACACATCAGGCAAAGTCCCTTGGAGAGTGGACATGTGGACATTCAACTCCCACCCGTAGGAGGAGCTGGCACACAGTAGGTCAGGATAGCCGGGATCCCAGCATTTGGCAGGCTCGTGAGTTCAAGATCATCCTGGCTATGTAGTGGGACCCTGTCTCTAAAACAAAAGGGCCAGCTTGTGTAAAGAAAAAGCCCCAGTGGCCGGTCCTCTCCTGTCGGGCTGCTAAAGGGAGGACATCCAGGGCTGGCAGAACACCTGAGGTCCCCTGACTGGTGAGGGATTGAATGCCCTCGTCCCCTCAGGCCACTGTCCTTTGGGATCTTCCCCCCACCCCCCCCACACACCAGGGTCCACATTTCCAGATGGTCAGGTGGGGTGTCCAGGGCTGCACATGTGACATGCATAGCGGTCAGCGGGTGACAGAGCCACCATTGGTCCCTGCCTCCCTTGAACACTATGTATTCCAGCAGAAGGTGCTCGGGGTCCGGCACCCTGGACACTGCATGGTTGTGACTGTCCCTGACTTAGGAAACCAGCCTTGAAGTTAGGTCACCAATTCAAGTGTCCCTATTGTCCTGCCCACTGGCCACCAGGCCACCTTCCCCAGGGAACAGGACTTCATCTTCCCAGGAAGTTCTTCCTGCTTCCAGAACATTTCAGAACATTCTCTGGCACCGACAAAAGGAAGTCCCTTTTAGACCACACCCTGGTCCCTCATTCACAGAGCCTTTCTCCTCAGGCCCTAAGTGGCAAAGGGACCAGTTCAAGGGATTATTTGTCATCTGTGGAGTCCTTTTCTTCTCATGGGATTGACATGTTTCACAATGGTCGCGTCCAGGTTTGGCCTGGCTATGGGGGGACGCCCACGTGGGATGTCAACAGAGTTTGGGGCCAAGGTGGACTTTGCATACAGACAGAACCCGTAATGGGATTTACGGCGTAAATCATCCCGTAAGATGATTTACATCATCTCCTTTTTAGCATCTTCCACATCACCCCCTAGTGATCTGAAAGATCACTTTGGTTTACACAGCCATTGGGAACCCCAAAGTGCTGAACACCCCCATCCCTACTCAGAAAAGGATAGCTGTTGGGTGCCAGTGACTCCCGTCTGTAATCCCAGCACTCAGGAAGCTGAGGCAGGAGGATGGCGAGTTCCAGGCCAGCCTGGGCCGCACAGAGAGGCCCCATTCCAAAACCAAAACAAAATGACATTTATTTCATTTATTTATTTACTTTTGCAGTACTGGGGCTTGAGCTCAGGGTTTTCACCTTGAGCCACTCCACCAGCCCTTTTTCTGTTAGGTATTCTTGAGATAGGGTCTTGTGAACTATTTGCCCAGGCTGGCTTTGAACCTCGGTCCTCCCGATCTCTGCCTCCTGAGTGGCTGAGTCCCATCCTGATGACTGTCTAGACTTCCCCTCCCAAAGGTGTCACCTCTGAACACCAGTATCCCTGATTGGATACTGGGGGCTTTATAAGAGGGAGCAAGACCAGGACATATACCTCTCCCTATCTTGCTTTTGTTTGAAAGATCCAAGGGGGCAAGGCTCAGGCCTGTAATCCCAGCTACTCAGGAGGCAGAGATCAGGAGGATGGAGGTTCGAAGCCAGCCCGGGAAAATAGATCGCAAGATCCTGTCTGAAAAAAAAAGGGCTGGTTGCGTGGCTCAAGTGGTAGAGGACCTGCCTAGCAAGAGCGAGGCCCTGGGTTCAAACTCCAGTCGCCCCCACAAGAAAAAAAAAAAAAAAAAAGAAGAAGAGGGTGGGGGAAGAGGTGAACAACCTGGCAGAATTTCCAGGTTGAATTTGGGCAGATTTAATAAGTGAGTGGGGTTCTACCTGACGCAGTAGAAGATACTTCCATAAGGAGGGAGCATCCATTAGTCACTAAAGGTTGAAGAAAACGCACACTGTCCAAGCTGTTGGACAGCAAGCAATGAAAAGCTGTGAGCGTGGACCACAGGTGAGTCCCCGACCTCTTAGAGGAAGCAGAGGGGCAGGGCACAGGGTGGCTGTTTGCCCGGGCTGCCTTCGAACCACAATCCTCCTGATCTCGGCTTCCTGAGTAGCTAGGATTACAGGCCTAGCCACTGGCATCTGGCTGAGAATTCCCTTGTGGTCAGAAATGCTTTCCTTCCTGGTTGGGGAAGTCACTGTATGACTCAGAAATTTTCTATCCTGTAGGTTTGCTGGTATGGATAATAGTTTTGTTGTTTTTTTTATTCATATGTGCATACGTGTGGGTCATTTCTCCCCCCTTCCCCCATGGATAACGGTTGATAATTTTTTTTTTTCATTTTTGAGATAAAGTTTCTCTATGTAGTCCACCCAAGTTAGACTGGAACTCTTGATCTTCCTGCCTCAGCCTCCAGACTTC